GCTGCGAAAACGGAGTGCGAAGTAGTGCATCAACCTTATTCATTATGAGGTCTACGGCTAAGAAATGCGAAGTCGGAAAGAAGTGAGGAGCTCAAAAGGAATGTGGAAAATCGAAAGCAAATGGACTAAAGGTCTCTAACTGATTCAAATAGCGAAACAAGCGACAAAAACGAAGGCGAGGAAACTATCAACTCTTCAAGCAACCAACGAACGAGAAGGAATGCGTGAATATGTCAACGCGTTGTTGTAAGAAACGTCGGCATTGTGTCGTCATAATTTCGGGGCTAGCCCCGGTGATTTAGTAAAAGAAACAGAAAACAAACGAGACAAACGCGGCGAGTGGAAGATAAAAGAGAGAATACGATATACAATGAGCAACCGGGGCAATTTTTCCTTGATGGAATCAAAGATGATTATTGTAAAAGTTTTGGAAGGAAATCTACGCTTACTGTGTCAGAATAACGAGTAAATTTTTTGAGCGTTGTTGTTCCTTGTATTGACTAACTTAGTTTTTCGGCATTGTCCTCTTATATTGCAAATTAGCCAAAGGGAACCGATATACTTCAAGTTATTTTTAAGCTTGTGAAGGCACCTCCTATAAAGTGGATATATTAGAAATAAAATTTCTTTGTAGGATTGGTCCAAATGTAATTACGCTTAATGCAAGTGTCTGTTAGATTGGGGAATGGAAATTTAAATTTTGTAAAGAACCGATGACGTACCGGATGAAGTTGCAGATTGACGAATAAATATTATCATGACCTAATTTATATATTTTTAAATATTTTTAGATTGTTTATTTAGAATACTCTTGTATTTTAACATAACTCATAGTGGTAAATATCACTATGTTTCGCATGATGTGCTTTTCTGTTATCATCGGCATTTTTCCAGAGGGCGAATACTGGCTTATTGGTTAGTAGCAAGCCTGATTCGGTCGATTGTACTCCATTCCGTGAGGTTTTGGAGCGCATGTTCATCGACTTTGCAGCGATGTACCTTCGTGGTACTGAAGAACCCATTGTACCGGAAGCTTTAGTAAGATCCACCTACAGCGCAAAATTTGTTTATCACTTATTACGGAGAAGACGCCTCATCCTCAAGATTCAACGATTCTTTGACAAAAATTCTTCATTCTGATCCTGGAAACAAAGGGAAGGATGAACCAAAAGGTGATGCTGCTGTTATTGAGGCTGATCTGTTCGTTATACGGGACAACAAAAGCAGGAAGTTATAATATTGCTCGAGAAAAAATTGGTATTCTTCTATATAAAGCTGCATATGAGATTGTAGGGGAGACAATGAAGAAATACACATGCATTGAAGATGATAATACGAGTCAGTTGGTATCCGTTATTTTTTAATGAACTTGCGAAGTGAGTTTTATTATTCTTTTTATAATTCATGCGTTCTATGTAATAACATATATATATATTCATAGCGATTAAGGTAGAAATGTATTTCATATGTATATACTTCAATTTCAGTCTTATTACAGTATTTCCATCAATTGAAATCGACGCTATTTGGGTGTTTTCAATCCAAAGTTTAATAAAAGCAAATAATGAGGTCGCTTAAAAGATGTTGAAATTTTTGCAGGGTGTTCTGAAAGGTCTTGAAAATTTCCAAACGTATCAATTAGATATACACATAATAACATAACCCAGGATTTTTTTTACATCAAATTCGTTGTCGAAAAATTGCATATTTCTTCAGTTTTTAACAAGTTGCAATTCATGTGCCTGAAATCTGAAAAAAAATGGTGGCTAGTTCTATTATACCGTCAATAACATATAATAAGTGATGGGCTAAGTTTTACTATTATTCTTGTTAGTTAATTAGTCTACGACCCAAAATTACTAGTTCACAGTAAAGTACATCATAGCAACAATTGTCAAAGTGTACATTGATATCATCAATATTTTGTTCGTCACTCTAAGTTACTTTTTTGCAGAATCAGAAACGAAATCGGCAAATTTCAATTTGGCCAATTTCTTAGTCTTGGTTCTGGAACAACCCTCGCGTTTGCTATTGATGATACTATGAGTGGTGGAATTCAAACCGCAAAGCAACGAGCCATTGTGAGATTTCATTTTCCAAACTTATTTGAAACTGTTTTTGTGCTCCAAATATTGCCATTTCCGTTTTTTATTGTTTACTAGGAAAAAACCTAGTGTGTATTCATTGTTTGAAACTATTTGCGAATTTCTCATCATCAATATATTTTCTTTGTGATAACGTCCCATGTGCTACGAGTAATAAAATATAGCCCAAATCTTGTCGAAGCTCACGTTTTGGTTTCTAATTAAGTGATATAATTTTGTTGAGTGCTCATATTTCATCATTATATTTAACCGTTTTCAGAATATTATCAATCAGCGTCAAGGATCTCTCGATCAGCCACAAAATTTTGTTATTGTTTCATTTAACGATCCTACTGTTGGGCATCTGACTGCCACACACGATCCTGATGCATTTAAAAGAGCTATCAACAAGTAATATTTTGGATGAGCATTTTTTACTTAATTCTTTGTATAATCTTATATTTGTAGTCTGCATAATGAATACACCGAACTACCTTTTCCCCCTCGTAGTCGTTCTTATTACCTATATTCATTCCTTCATGTGATAATATAGTTCTACAACAGTCCTATTATTATCAATCATTATTATTAACAATAATTATGTTATCTTCAGTCGGAGACCTGTTCACATTGAAATGAAGACAATGCACGATTACAGTAAAAAGGAAGAAGTTGACCGTTGGTTCATTCCACGCGTTGATGAAATTTTCGAAGAAGATACTTTCCGATATCATCTTCCTAAACTTTTTGCAAAGCCGAACTAATAGACACTTCAAGAATATTTTGTAACGATTGTGTTTACGAGGATGTTCAATGCTTAATAAATAATTTTAAAACTTAATCGTTGAGTGTTGGCTTTTGACACAAAAAATGAATTTTGGGAACTCTTACGACCTTAAATATACTGTAATTGCAAATTGGCAAAGTTTTTTTTACCATAGCCTCGTGCTTTTGTCTATTTGGAGTGTTGTGTTGAAAAATTTCGGATGGTATAACGATTAAATGTATGTTAATTATATATTCGACGTGATTTTTACATTTTGTTAGCTATAACAGAATGAAAATTCTATAAAATATAATAAACAAAAATTCTTGTAATATTTGTCAAGTCGGAAATGCCGGAGTGGAAAATTTTGAAAATTTTCTTGAAATATTTCTGGAGCAAATTAGGCTACCTGTTAATTAATGATGGGTACAAAGTAAATGAAAACAAAGAAACAAATTGAATGTTCGAATTTTACCGCAATTGGTCTTTCATCTCAAATACTTCTCATGTTACCACTAATGAACTTTTAGACTATTTTAACAAAACTAAATTAAAACACACAGCCTCCAAGCTCAGCCCTACAAAATTCACGAATATACTGAGTTCAACCAATAATATACTTTTGGTCTGGTCCCAACAATGTTGAGAGACCAGCAGTCTGTAACGTTTGGTGTCAAAATTGTCGATCATCGCGAATAACCGCTTAATTATGCGAGTAAAATAAATATAATTGTGAGAGACTTTTGTATCCGCTGTATGTTATATTTTGCGTCGCAAACGTTATCACACATGCCGTTAATGCGGAGGAATTAATGAAAAATGCCAGTAACTTAAATTGTTTGTACATTAAAAATAAGACTACTTTTATCGAGAAGCTATTAACAATGACATTTCTTGGCATCGTGATTGAAACGATTCAAAAAGGTTTAATGGAAATAAGATTTATCACTATAAAATTGATAATTTTATTAAAAAAAAAATAGTCGTCGGTATACCTAGAATGTAATGAGTATGTGAAAACAATTCAAAACGAAACATATCTGATACACAAGTATGAATCATTGATATGGGTGTAATTGGATTTTTCTGTCCAAAACTTGATATATATTGCAACGATAGTCAATGTTCTATATACACTGCAATTCTTAACGTCTTTTAAGTGTACCGTTCGGCTTTTAAACTTCAGACCATTTACTTCTTGACATTCGCACATTAAAAGATTCAGATGCATTTTCTGCGTAATAAAATTGTGTTATTAGTTAGTTACTAAAAATAATCATGAGTTTATCTATTTTTTTTTTATATAGGAATGTTTCGAAAAAATATTTACGTCGTACTTTCTTAGGATATTTCTAATTTAAAAATTTCCACAACTAATACATACTGTTGAAATTCCGAAGATTTGCAGACATCGTTTTTTTACACATGAGGATGTAATAAGGTCAACAAAAACCACCTGTATTTTAGCAGACTACTAAGAGGGGAAATTTATGCCGCGAGGAATCGTTGTGGGTATTAACGATGTTATATTATGTGTTAATATAAAAAGTCGTTTCGGAATGTTCGCTTATAAAACTTTCACAGATAAAAGTTGCGTTTAAATTCAAATGTTAAGACAATCTTTGGAAGCTGTATAAAGAACTTGCTAAATACTGGTTTCTAATGCACACATTTTTCTGCGATGGATAGTATATATAATAGTATTGCGCGTTTAAGATCCACAGTAAAATAAAGTGCAAGTTGTGTTTTTAGAACAACAATTATACCTTCAAAACAGATTTTTGAGGCAGGACTTTTGTAGAATAAAATTTGGTATTTTTATTAATACACACCTTGGATGAGTAAAATTTCCTACTCATATTCTGAACCTATACCGAAGAATATCGCTCAATTTTTCAATTTCTTGGCCTGGCTGTATATAGTCATTGGTGTATTGATTAATCTGATGAAGTGTCGTAGACAGGATTAAAAATACGTGATGGTCGTAGCGTTAATATTGTAGATTGTTTTCGAAAGATAAAATTTGCGTTCGTAGCTTTTTTCTAAACCTTTATTTTCTGTTCTAATCATATTTTAATGTATTTCAACTTCATTATATTTTCTAGTTTATCTTGGTACAGACTATAGTATTAAATTGTTTGGAGATTTGGAGTTTGAAACAAATTTTTGAGTACATGAATACGTCAAAATGTTGCGAATTGTATGTTTCGTCTTAGTCTGCGGTCTCGTCCAAAAGACGAGTGGTGACATTATAATTAACAGTCACTCTTTGTCGTCCGATTGCACCCCGTTTCGCAAAATCTTAGAGCTCGCATTTGTGGAATACGCAGCAATATATTTTGCTGATAATTCTCGTGGTACACAAGCACCAATTGTTCCAGAAGCACTTGATCCGCCCACTGCTCAAAATTTGTTTATCACATATTACGGAGAAGACGCCTCATCATCTGGGTTCAAAGATACAATAACAAGAATATTGTATTCCGACCCAGGAAATGGTGAGAAAAAACTCTGCATAACGAAGCTGCTATCCTGGAATCTGACAGGGTCGTGTTACGTGACCTCGTCTACACGTATGCCAAAGCTGGAAGTTATAATATTGCTCGAGAAAAATTTGCAGTTCTTTTGTACAACGGTGCGGATGAGTTTTCTGGAGAAAAATGGAAGAAATACCGATGTATTGAGGATGATAATTTAAGTCAGTTAGAAGCAGTTATTTACAATGAACTTGCAAGGTGAGTCTAATTCTAAAATCGAATATTTTCTATATAAGTTACTTATTTATCATCAATTTCAAAGTTAATATTTTAAGTTAAATTTTGATATTTAAAATCGCTTTTTTATTATTCTAATTCAAATAGAAGTTTTGATTACATTATTTTTAGAATTCGAAATGAAATCGGCGAATTTCAATTCGGCCAATTTCTTGGTCTTGGTTCTGGAACAACTCTCGCGTTTGCTATTGATGATACTGGAAGTATGAGTGGTGAAATTCAAGCCGCTAAGCAACGAGCCGTTGTAAGTCATAAACTACTTACTAGTTTTTGTTTCATTATTGCAAGATACAAAAATGGCTCTGAAGTTAATCTTGATAGAAACTCATATAAATATGTTGCAGAATTAAATGTTATAATTGAAGCAGCTTATCGCTGATGTTCACCCTTTATCATTTTATCAAAATAAAAAAATGTTGCAATTTTATTTGATGCTTTTATGAAATGTACGTGAATGGAATTTTATTCTGTTATTGGATGAAGACCTCAAACTTACTAACACAATGGCCTTATAAAGATCTACTACACTAATCGTTCGCAGTTGATTCGTTTAATATTAAGTATGTTTTTAACCGACCCAAACCAACCTTGCTTATTTTTATTGCATAATTCCGTCCACCCACTAACGCAATATATACACCGAATGATTGTTTTTCATTTATAGTACTTTGTATTTTGAAGCTCTAACGTTTTTTCAGAATATTATTGACGAACGACAAGGATCTCTTGATCAGCCACAAAATTTTGTTCTTGTTCCTTTCAACGATCCTACTGTTGGCCCTTTGACCGTCACACATGATCCAGATGCTTTTAAGCGGGCTATTAACAAGTAATATACATATATGTTATATCAGACAAATGAAATTTATTTAAAAGATCTGAAGAGTTGCACTGACGTGGTTTCTAACAAATTGTTATAGTTTAAATTTTGAATTTCTGCTGAAGTATTTGCTAAATGCATTTCCACAAATGCATTTCGTGAAAATTTTAATGATAATATGCAGTGACTATCATGAACTTGATAAAAAAATAAAATTATCAGCGATAATAGCTATAAAATACTACATAAAAAAAAAAAAATAATCCCCAGGTTTATGGACACGAAATTTCAATATACAGTGATTACACTGAAACTCATTGTATGATCATCCAATAACAATATATCAAAATAGTGAATCAAACCCCACCGCTGCAGCAATTCACATCGGTACCGATAACAACGCAGCTGAGCATTGAGTAATATCACGTGATGTTGTAAATGTTTGTATGAGTAGTAAAATTTTGGTTGAGATATCGAGTCGCATGACTCTCAAAAACAAATTAAACAAAAGGAGTAATAAATAGCCATGTAGCGGTATCAACCATAAACTTTGAAAACAATTCGTTTATTAGTTTAGAACAAGAGCGATTTATTCCCACAACAACAAGAAACGCAACAACAACACAGCAACAGCAATTTAGTAAAATCGCTGTGTTGACTTCGTTTATGATTATCTTGTACAAACAACATGTTTCTATTTATTTATTAGATTATATGCACATGGAGGTGGAGATGCACCTGAACTAAGTATGAGAGGAATTCAATTAGCTGTTGAGAATAGTAATGCAGGTTCAACTATTTTTGTTATCACTGATATTGATGCAAAAGACGTGGAATTGCAAGTTAGTAAATTACGTCATATTTTTTTTGCTATCTTTGTATTTGTCTTGTATCGTAACGTCTTATTTCACTAAAACAATATTTTGTCTGTCAATTTTTTTAAACTTCATATCTAACAACTACAATGTTTGCTAATTTTAGGATAATGTGATTGCACAAGCAAAACAAAAGGACATAAAAGTCACTTTCCTTTTAACGAACCGAGTGTCAACGACAGTATGCGCCAGGTAAGATAGATTGAAGAATTTTATTTCAGCAAATTGTCTATAAGAGACGCAACTAAGTCGACTAAGTAGTGCTTTTCAGTTGGTGTCAATGGGAAATAAATTTAAAGCTATCATGTATTTTCACATGAGCACTCACAGCACAAAACTGCATGAAATTTTGGACTTTTGTACAGTACATATAGTAACGTAATAACAACGTAATAATGATAATCGTTCAGAATTTTGATGAAATGATTTTTGTTTTTTTTCGTTCGAAATTATTTAATTATCCATTACACAAAATGAAAATATTCCCCGTGCATTTTACAACATGTAATTAACTCTACAATTGCCACTCGAGGCTGAATTTTTTTGTGGAAGCATTAAGAAAGCATTTATTATTATAGCTTCAAAATTTGTTTATAAATTTTAAAACCTTTAATAAAAAACGAGCATATTTATGTCCTATATGTTTTATCGCAATGTCTTATGTTTTTACCTAAAGGTTCATATTGGCATTTTGTTATATAAGTGCGGAACTTATGCATTGGAAGCAGATTATATATATACGCATTGACAATACCTATATCAGATACAACAATATGCAGACGGGTTAGATATCCAATTGCCGCTTCATATAATACTTAACTACGAATTTTAATTTATCACTTGAAGGCGTACGCGTGGATATGAAAGTCGCGTTTGTGGAAACTCCTCGGCACTTAAACTCGGCTATAAACTTTATGAACATATTGCTAAAAGTACTGGAGGTAGAATATTAGTCGTGTCCAAAAGCAATATTTTCAAAGCCACTGAAGTGATCGAAAGCACGCTGAAGCAAGGATTGGAGGCTCTTTTGATAAAAAAATTTAAAAGTAAGTCAGTTCCTATACTTCTAGTTATTAGAAGTTTTTGATAAATAAGAAATAAAGAAAGATAAGTAAAGAAAACTCTTGATCTGTTACATTAAATAACTTACACAAAATACAAAAGCAATAAAGTTGGCGCGTTTTTATTATATTTTCACGTAACTAAAACCTTAAATAGACTGAAGTATATATCGAATGCTTTTCGCATCAATAACTGAAATTTAAACATTTCTAAACTTAAATAATTTTAATATATCAGGCTCAATATTAAAATTAAACTAATGCTTGAAAAAAAAACGTAAATAACATACAGAATTATAAATTTTTAGAAGGAACTACGGATGCCAGATTTTATGTAGATAGTACCTTGAAAGAGATATATGTTGAATCGGAAGGTGATTGCAAAACTATTACTATTCTTAAACCAAATGGTACAAAAGTAAAACTGGAGGTAAATAAATGAAACTATGGTTTTTGAGAATTGTTTGTTACAATTCCATGGTGATTATAATGCTTTAACCTAATATTTCCAGGGTGAGGTTAGGGTAGATAAACTGAGAGTACATCGCGCAGCCGTGAATGATTCTTTTGGACAATATAAGTTAAATGTACGTGCAGAATCAGAATGCAGCATCAAGGTAAAACACATTCCATATAAACGTATCCAATTTTAAAAGGCTATACAATACATGATGTAGTCCGCCTAATATTTACAGAAAATTTGTACTCTGTGTTAATACAAGTTGTTTGTCAGCTCATAATAATGTTTCAAAATGATGTACCAAAAATGAATCACGAAATAGAAAGTATGTGTCAAATCCTGAATGTTAAAACATGAAATATTGAAATCAGCGTAACAATTTGGTATCAATGTTTTGATGTAGTTTCAATTTTTTAAATTATCTCAATGCCTATAGGGCAACACTGTTACATGTTTGGACGTATGATTAATACGATGATTTATATCCGTAAAAAATTTAATTAAACATGCGCTATACATAAATTGTGCTTAGGACGTGATGGAGTTCCTCTGCCAATAAGAAACTGGTGGTTCACACATCCATTATCGTTGAATGACATCATAAAAGTTGTTTTCAGTTTCATGTCATGGACGATGACATAACGATGGTATAGCGTTATTAAATCGACACTGCCAGAATCAGTATATTGTACAATTTGGTCATTTTTGTTTCTTGGAAGCAAACTCTAATCAATTATCAAGTAACCAAATCGACAGTGGTGACTACTTGTAAATCGAAGAGCCAAAAGTCCACGTATTTCATACCAAATCAGTTATAAATTATTCACGTGCATATTTTGGAATAGTCGTTTCGGAATGAAATTTCAGTTTTTTCAAACTCAAATATTATTTTAGATTTCTGCTAAGAGTACAAAAGGATTTGTTAAAACATTGGGAAGAAAAATAACTGATGCAAAAACAAGGAAAACGAGAATAGAGAGGTTTGAAGGTAGCAGGGCTTTCATTTTTGAATAAATTTTGAACATAATTTAACAAACTTCGATTACTGCATTTTCACAGCATCTTAAATTTTCACCTTGTGCAATATACTGCATATGTCAGTAAAATGTCGATTCGGTACATTCAGCAGTATACGCAGTCCTGCCACTGACTAGTATTGACATTCACAGTTGAACATGAATCGACAATCATCAGTGATAAAATAAACTTACTTGAATGTCATTTCTATGGAATTTTGCATATATTTTCTGCGTCACGTTCCTTATTGTTGATTTCTATCAAGACACAACAATGTTGGATCAAATCCTCTAGTAGGCTCATCGAGAAAAATGGATTATTTCAATAAACCATTACGGAAATGTGTGGACTACGTATTTCCTATTACACGTTCCTGTAGTTTTGGACCTGTAATCTATACCAATTTATTCAAATATCATTTTATTTTTGACGAATTATTTGAATTATTGTTGTAACCTAAAATATCATCCTGATAAACAATAGAGTGAAAGACGAGACATGGATTCGATGATTATTTCAAGTTGAACATGGTGATTTGTATTCATTTCAGATAAACTTCATCATTTTACTGGAATCGATCTAAATTTTTGTTATCAGGTCAAGCTCTTACGACAGACAAAGTTGTAGTTTTTATTGATGAATTTGGCAAACAACCTGGAGATATTACTGAGAAGGTCGAATTCATATCAAGTGATTCCGATGAAAGCTATAAATTCACTATAGAAGACAAATCACTTGACAACTATGCAATCACACTTGGTGAACATGCAATGAATTCACTGATGGTAGTGCTGACAGGAGTCGACAATAGGGGATACCGGTTTCAGAGAGTCTCACAAGCTGAAATTGAATATGTTTCTGTTGATATTGACTGCTCAGCGTTCAGTGATATAATTTTCAGGTATATAAGACTTGGTTTTTATGTATATTTGTATCTTTTTTTTCATCTCTAACAATAGTTTAACTTTACTTCTAATACCAGAAATATTTACGCGTTATTTTTTATCCATGCAAAGTCAATATTTAAAATAATTTCTATGAATAATATCCAGTTTGTGGTTATTACATATATTTGGCCCTTTACCGTCTTTGTGGATTTAGAGCAGGGGATAACGCAACTGTCAACGTCACAGTACGAAACAATGGAGAAATTGAAGAATTGTCAATGGAAGCTAATGATGATAAAGGATACGTTCGTGATGAAGAAGCGAGAAAAATTGAAATAAAGAAAGGAAAAATGGGAACATTCTCAATTTCCGTTTCTGCTGGAAAAGGGGAACAGACAGGAATTGTCAGCACAGTTACGATTACTGGTAAATAATCTAATGAAATCATTCATTCTTCTAAAATTAACAAATACTGTTAAACTCGAAAATCTATTGCTCGTAAACCAGCTTTTCAATAACAAATATTCATAGCGATGATAATGCAGCACCAACACTAATACTTTTATGACCAAGACTTTCTTTTTCTGTATTATCTACAGCGAGTCTAAAAGGTTCCAACAATCTGATATTTAAGCAATGCAGATTGATTGTAGGACAAAAAGAAACACCGGATATTGAATCATTTCATATTGTCAGCAACATAAACTCAAGATTCGTTGAAACTTCTGTCTCTAGCACCGTTTTTAACAAGTGAGCCCTTGATATCTAGAGTATTGGATCTCCAATTCAAAAACCAATTCTGAGTGAAGGTATTCGTTCATGAGTTATCCACAATAGAATAATTATAAAAATTTAATAGGGCGTCGTCTAAGAATGACAATGTGAACACCATGAATTCTAATTATAGAAATAAATTGGATTTGATGATATGAACAGACTGCAAATTAAAACGTGTTTTTATTTAGTGCATCGGTTGGAAGGACAGCAGAGTTCAATGTTATTATGCCATTGGACTCTTTCATCACAGAGTTTTCTATGACCATAGGCAACGAAACATACCCTGGCGAAATTAAGGAGAAAGAGCAAGCAAAAAAGTTATTTGAAGCGGCCAGAGTGAGCTTTTTGTGGCAACTTTTGGTCAGATGCAGATTCGCTAGGTCGATATTGAAATAAGCTAAAACAAAGCTTTTATTTTTAGGCTAGAGGGATAACTGCCGGACACGTCGCTGCTCGCGAGGAATCAACAACTGTATTCAAGACTTCAGTAAATCTAGAAGCAAACAAGAGAGTTTTGTTCAATTTGAAGTATCAACAATTGCTCAGACGCTCGCGAGGACAGTAAGTAGTATTAGGTATATATTCATATCACTATTAAATATCGATGAATATGCAAGAATGCTCAGCAGTGTAACACCAATATATATATTTGAGTATTACGCTCCAGAGTAACAGACGGTTTATGCGATTTCGACCGAAACGACAGGGTGTTTGATACGAATCGCGGAATAGAATCTCATGTAGTCTGGTTAGACATGTTGAACGCTGAGAGAAAAATGCTTTAAAAATGATGTCAATTAGTCAAAACAGGGATAATTTAGTTCAGTGTTTCATAAACTGGGTTCGGTGTAGCTGTTCCAGTGGTTCGACGAAGGTCCTGTGAACCATTCTTATAACATAAAATCTTCCTATCACCCAGACTACTAATTATTTGAAAATAACATATAGGTATTGCAAATATACACCCATTTTTAAACAACTCACAAAATTGCTTAGCTGTGTGATGCTTCGTTTTCGTTTGCAACAAAATGGTTTGCTCATTGCTACAATCAGCGAGAATATAAAATCTTCAGTGTTGGTATTACCATTAAATCGTAAAGAATCGAAAGAATAATGCTAAGGGATTACCAAAATGTTGTCATTCCGGACGATAACACTACTCGTTGGTTTTTGTTTCAAATAGAACCAGGAGCGAGGCATGCGTGAATGAACTTGCGAATCGGATTATTACGACACAAATGCGCTTTGTTGCGATTTGCGCTAAATAGAAAATAACGTTTTACCTACTTAACTGCTTGCTACTGTAGACTAGCCTACTTATTTTTTATCTGTTACCGGATTTAGGTCCATTCCGATACAAACGTGAGTAATTAGAATTTATTAGAAATACAAAAACTTACTTGTACTGCGCTTTGGGTCCACCATCATGCACAAAATAACATATTTTCTGTTAAGTCGATTGCGCTCTCAACTTCGATGTTGTTAGAACGAGCCGTCATCCGAATATCAAATTTACAATTTTTAGGACAAAATGTTTGTCTCGACAAAACAATTTTTTTTGATTCAAAGTAAAACCAGCTACTATGTTGTATGCACTGCACCGCAGATATGTTGATTAATATACTGCCTTTCAACGTAAGACAGTGGTTCTTAAACTTTTTCGAGCGCGACCCAAATCTGAGTTTTATGAATACTCGCGACCCAATCCTAATAACGCAAAATGTGTTTTTAATGTTAGTACAGTTTGACTCAAATACAGACAACTATATATTAGAAACAGTCCAGTGACTCAGTGAGATTGATGAAACTGAAATTTCCTTTTCAATATATCTTCAATACACAGCTTTATTTTACTGAGCACAATACGCAAGTTGTCACGGGAATCGAGGCGATTGCGAGCTTAGTTTTGATAACCGTCAGTGCCAAATTTCCTCGCTCGCACAAGTGCCTTGTCGCGAATAGTAGCAGAAAAGGCGTCCGAGGTCCGTCGAAAACACGACATCCTAGCTGGCCTTCGGTATCTCTCGCAATATACAACTTTTTACTCATCAAATGTGCACACACTGCTTCGTTCTGCGGTAAATGGTGCCTCGAGATGAAGTCACATTATTTCTAGATATTGAATAATCTAATGTCGAGAAGCGAGCTTTTTCATTGCGTCGTCTATTACAATTTACATTACCAAAAAGACACCCATTTTTGGTTATTTTAATCTACTAAGACAGTGGTTCTTAAACTGGGTTCGATCGAACCCCTGGGGTTCGGTGGAGCTGTTCCAGGGGTTCGACGAAGGTGCTCTGAAACAGTTGCATATTATGAGACTTTTTTATCACCCTGCATACTAATTATGCAAAAATAACTATAGTTCATGATGACTAATTACTAATGACTTGAACAATTGAATGGAACAATTAATTAGTGTTACCCTTATTCATATTCTACCGTACTAATAAAATTTAACTCAATTTTACGGATAAATCGAAGATAGGCAGTATTGTACATGAATGAATGCAAAATCATAGCGTGTTTGAATTTCACTAGGTGATAAATTTGCGACAAGGAATAGTTTATCGCAGAGCTTTACCCGAAATTATTATGATCCATTCAGGACAACCTCGATATGGCGCCGAATTAATCCTATCTATATTTCTGTAAAATAAAACAATTGGCAAACGATTTTATTCGCATTTCAGCGCAGTTTAAAGTTTGAGAACAAATTGCTTGGACTACCAACGTTTATGGGGTATATTATCATCTTTCGGATTTTCAAAGTTATTTTTTATCAGTTTTCGCCATCTGCTCATTCTGCCGCCAACGTCATTGTGACAAAACAATGGTTATTCCCACATGGTTATTGATAGCTAAGGTTTCATCACAATGTTCATATTCTATAACCTTGCAAGAATTAGCTTCCGCTTTATGACGTTACGGTTTGGCTTCTAATTTCAACCGTTCAGTACAATGGGGTTCGGCGGGAGCTTGCAGAATAGCGCAGGGGTTCGGCAGGCTCACAAAGATTAAGAACCACTGCACTAAGACGACATTCCACGCGGTCGACACAACGACAAGCAGGGTTACCGATACCATAAAAATAATACACGTGACTGGCATATCAGAATTGTGATGTAACAATGAGCTCAAGACAGTTCTTTCCGTGAATAAAATTTTATATTTCATTATTTTTAAATACCAGAGTTTAGAAGCTAAATTGAAACATTGGGAAAGCTGAAAATTCGTCCTTCTTCTCTTAGATTTCCCTTGCATTGACGACCTTGTCGCGACCCATTTTTAAACCTTCCGCGACCCATGTTTGGGTCGCGACTCATACTTTAAGAACCACTGACGTAAGAGGTTCGAAGTTTACTTGTTACTTATCTATCTCGATCGGTAAGTATGTTGCTAGGTATTTGTTTGTCTGTTAGACACTATCGTATGTTACGCGATATCTCACGAAAGCGAGATCGAATCTGCTCCAAATTAGCATGTGCATTGCCATTCATCATATCTCGGACCAGAAGCATGTTACGCGATGTCGCTATTGAGTCAGAGCGAAGGATACACGCCGCTAGATCGATAAGTCGGCGGTCTCCGATCGCTGTCCGGTTTACGTTTATTCAATCTATAGAATGCTGTCGATCGCTGACAATATAACACCAAATCCTTACCAAAGTCGATGCAAATACCTATGCAAACATTTTATCTACTCTGTATAGTACGTCATGCAACTTACAAAACAATTAACTACCGTAAGTTGGCGCACTACCGTAAGTTGGCGCAAAGACGAACTTACAAACTAATTGTGCATCAAACCTCGTAATATATACGATTCGAACATATCACTGATGATTGTTGAACAAAACGACGGATACGATAATAATTGCAAATCATAATGACGCAATGACTAATTTTTCTTGGTTTCTTAATTGTAATTACATTCTATTATTTATCTTTACCGTCTGCTCGCAACAAAGTGTAGGCTATATTGCAGCAATAATTTTCTCCTTTGCAAATTAGGTGTGTCACTTACATGCAAATCAAAGAAATACCAACCATGGAAGAATTCCAACTATCTTTAGTCAAATAGATATTTTCCATATGTCGGTTCTTCATCTTTCTAATATCACATTTGACTGTGAAAGCAGTTCGCCGGGGTAAAAGCATCAAAAGTGAGTGGTGAGGGGTAAAAGTATTATTATTAAAATGATTTGCTGTCGTAAAAAAAAAATATTTCACCTTTTCCATTAATTTCCGACAAGCATTTTCCTAATGTATGATGTTTTTCGGGGTCTAATCCTCTGAGAGAGTTAGGGGTCCAAAAATCCATAGCGTACACAGGGCAAACACTAAGATTACTTCATATTTAACATTTCCTACTTAACATATATATAAATCTTTGCTAAACTTGATTTAATGTTATCGTCACACCCCAACACAAGGACGGGTGTAATTCAAGCTGCATTCCATTATTCGTGTTATTGTACACGTCAGTGGACATAACGATCGTTCCAATATTATGTTGTTGTTTTTGTTTTTCTTCTCCTTCGTCACAATAAAATCGCTTATTTCTTCGAATACTGGACAAATTGCTTTGAAATTTTTAGTGGGAAAAGATTGATTTTTTTGCCAGAAGGCTAATTACTTTTAATTATTTCAAAAAAAATTTATGTGGACTCCAAGAGATTCGTTTTCCAGCTGCATATTTGGTCAAGAATGTCATGAGAATCCCAGAGAATGGGATGGAATGGGACAGCACACATTTTGTCTCATGAACAAGCCTGAGTATTCACTTGGGCCCTAGTTGAACACCGGATTTGCTCAGCATTAGTATTGCTCTGTATTCTGTCCCGTAAGTTGTATAAAAATAGCAAAAGCTGTGTGAAATATCGTTGCCCTGAGGCACGCGGGGAAACATGAAAAAAAAAAAATTAAGAAAAGAGTAGTAATAATTAGCATTCTAGTAATTTGAGGCTTAATATCCGTGATTATCCGCCCTAAAACTAAAGCGATTCACGTCGGTACTGATGTGAACCCCAATAACAACAATTGTCCACAGCGATCCATGTGCCCACTCAGGTCTGATAAGCAACTTGGTTAAAAAGCAGTTTCTAGTCTGAAATTGCTTATAAGTAAGTAGAGGTTCTTTGCATGCACATACCCCTAACTCTACCTCAGCGATGTGTGTATTCTGGCCCCCCAAAATACCGATTCTTAACATGTTTATTGTAGTTATTGGCTTATGTCGTTTTTATAGCGGGCGAGAAAAACAACACATGAATATCCTCAGCAGGAACAATGTAAGTTGGATAGTTTCAATAATATCCTATTCTACAGCTTTCGGAACGCCTGATCTTTTAGGTTACACATGCTCAGCGCCTGGTACTGAACTATAAGAGTAATATTAAAAATACACCAACATAAATTAGTATAGTTTATAATAATCAGATCATATATTGATAGCATTAGCAAGATTTGTAATATTTTAATTCTAAGAATTTTAAGTAATTTTTTTATTTAGAAGATTAAATTTTAGTGACATGTAGTATCTTTGAAATGAAATTTTGAATAAAACTAGCTGTAATTTTGAATTTCCCAGCAATGGAATGTAACATTGAAAATTATCTAGACAAAGTATGATAAAGTTGAGAATGAAAAAATGTAGTTTGAGGTATAGATACAGTCTAGATTAAGGCAGGTACCAAAAATTTCATCTAGCTGCAAGAGAAAAACAAACTTTAGAAAATGCAGAAAGTTTGAAAAACCATGGTAAAAATTGTTGTTTATATAGGCAGAAGTTCTGAGAGATCATAAGGGAAATATTTATGGGATACAAAAAATGCACCTTTATATGGAACTACTCTCATATGCCTATCAAGTTCTTTGGTCTTTACAAGGTCACGGTCATCAATGAGGAAGTCAAATATTTCTAAGTTTTCTTGAATTCTTTTTGGATTTTCACTTTTAGGAATGACAGACGTTCCTCTATCTGCTAAGTATCGAAGTATAACTTGTCCAACGGATTTTTTGTATTTTTCCGCCAACTGTTTCAAGACGGGATCATCGAAAAGCTTTATTCCTGATTTTACGACCCATGGCCTACTAGGAGATGCGAATGGACTAAATGATGTAACAGCAATTCCCTTTGACTTGCAAAAATTCAGCAATTTTTCCTGATCCAAATAAGGATGAAATTCTATTTGATGTATTGCTGGAATGACTTGTGCATAATCCAGCAGACGACTTAGCTGGAGGAGGTTAAAATTTGAAATCCCGATTGCTTTAACTTCACCAGATTTATAAATCTCTTCAAAAACTTTCCACGTATCAACATAATCTATTGACTCATCGAATGACGATGACAAATCTCGTTTAGGATCCTTTCCATCGTATGTCAATCCAAAGGGCCAATGTATCAAAAACAAATCCAAATAATCAAGCTTAAGCTTGCGAAGACTTAGAGCTAAACCTTCTTTAACGTGTTCAGGTGATTGGAACGTAGACCAGAGTTTGCTTGTTATAAACAAATCGCTTCTTTTTACGTACCCGTTGCTGATGACGTCATTTATCGCATCGCCAACGATATCTTCGTTGTCATTTATTGCACCACAATCTATGTGTCGATACCCCACGCTGACTGCATATTTTACAGTATTTTTCAGATCTTGGGGTTTAGTGAGCGAAGTCCCTAGACCTATGACAGGCATTTGACTGCCATTATTCAATGTAATGAATTTTGGCATCATCTAAAATAAAGTTTGTCTAAATAAGTATCATTTAGGGCTTTATGCAAAAAGAGATAAATTTCTATCTATCGGAACATGCTCTATTTGTAACCGATTTTATTTACCTTGATCTAACTGAACGACAAGTGCCCAAAATGCATGAGAGGTAATACGTAATTTTTTTTTTTTTAATGCCTATATTCTGTGGTGGCTATCGCTTTTTGCCCAAACGACTTTTTGGAATTTTAAAAATTTTACTAAATAAAATGTTAGGAAACGTGATCAATTATAATATTTGAACGGCTAATAATATATATATATATATACAGGCAATTTCTCTTCACAACACATTATCCCGCAGGCGTTGTGCTTAGATTTAAAAAAATAATTTGGTGTTTTGTGAATTGAAATTCGAAAATATTTATGAAACTTTTCATTGCCGATAAAAACAATAAAAAAAGTTTTTTCCAGCGATTTGTATTTTTTCTCCTGACTTTGCCCTAATAATTTATCTAATCACAATAAAACCGACTGAATCTTTTATGCGACTAAATCTTATTTGATGTAACTGCAAATCATACTAATGAAGATATATACTGGCCAAATCTTAACCTGAAATTTAAGAGTACAGTATTATTGATAGAATATTTTGAAGCTGTTCGCGTATTATCCTTCACTTATACGACTTCAGCCTGTAACTGGACATCGACAAACTGTCACTACTTACCGATATTCGTTATTTACACAATGTTGCTTTCCACGATGCCGGGCATCGATTACAGATTGTGCTTGTGATATTAGAAAAGTAAACATATTTAAACAAATAAACGTCCGAAATGAGTTAAGCATGGCCAGTATAGCGATTGACTTGATTCTGTCCTGGTTAGCTTGTATTTTTTTTTTTCATAATTCCGCTCGAGATTTTTCATTCAGACCTGGTTCAATATGATATCGCATATGTTGTCCTTTAGAGTCAAAAAGCGAACCTCTCTGAAACAATGTTCATTGCACAGACGTTTAGCTGTTACGTAAACTTCTAGACCCGCATTGACACAAAATGCCCATACCCAGTATGCCCATGGAATACTTTTTTACGTCTTGCACGCTTGTATACGGAAAAATTATTATGTCGTATAATTGAAACTTATGCAGCTTTTTTGTTAGATATTCTCTTGCTAGCATTCATTATGCGATGACAAATATTTTTTCACTTCATTCGCCGTCCTTGGATATGTTTTTCTGGTTCAACTCTGATTGAATGAGACTACCAAGCTTGGTTTTTATACAAGTCAATTCAAAATAAGAAATCGATTAGAAGTGAAAAAAGTTTTACTTAATTTTTATAATAGAACCCTCGGAAAAAAAAACGTTTATTCCTGCTTTTATGACCCATGGTCTACCAGGAGATGCAAAAGGACTGTATGATGTGACAACTATTCCTTTGGACTTGCAAAAGTTCAGCAATTTTACTTGATCCAAATAAGGATGAAATTCTATCTGATGTATTGCAGGAATGACATGTGCATGTTCTAGCAGACGACTGAGTTGGTCGAGGTTAAAATTTGATATCCCGATTGCTTTAACTTCACCGGATTTATGAATTTCTTCAAAAACCTTCCACGTATCAACATTCAATATGATATCGCATATGTTGCCCTTTAGAGTCAAAAAACGAACCTCTCTGAAACAATGTTCATTGCACAGACGTTTAGCTGTTACGTAAACTTCTAGACCCGCATTGACACAAAATGCCCATACCCAGTATGCCCATGGAATACTTTTTTACGTCTTGCACGCTTGTACACGGAAAAATTATTATGTCGTATAATTGAAACTTATGCAGCTTTTTTGTTAGATATTCTCTTGCTAGCATTCATTATGCGATGACAAATATTTTTTCACTTCATTCGCCGTCCTTGGATATGTTTTTCTGGTTCAACTCTGATTGAATGAGACTACCAAGCTTGGTTTTTATACAAGTCAATTCAAAATAAGAAATCGATTAGAAGTGAAAAAAGTTTTACTTAATTTTTATAATAGAACCCTCGGAAAAAAAAAGTTTCATTAAAAAAAATGCGATTATTATTTTCTGGGTAATGCAAAATAACATATAGTATTGCAATAAGTATAATCACATTGTGAATGAGTGACAACGTATTTATTAATGGTTAGAACATCGACAGAGTCTTGATAGTTGAGTGCAGGGGAAAACCAATAAATTATTACAGATACCAATGAAAAAAAATATATATTTTTGCAAGATTGCTTACTTTATACGCATAAAAGTGTTTTGCTTCAGTTGTATTGTATCTTTAACTGAAAGGCTGATTTTTATTTTAGTTAAAATATACAATTGTTATAAATGTCGGTGTATAATGTAGATGTAGTCCGCTGTATTTTAAGCCTCGGCGAAGATGCTTGATAACTCAACGTATATTCTTATCTTCGCGAATCCTGTTTGTAAATTCTAAGACTCCAGCATCAAGACTCTTGCAAGCACAGGGTCAGGGTTAACAATACAATTCCCTTCCTGCCATAAAAATGTCACCAACTTGTACAGTTGACAGTATATTATGCTGGTACGCCGTGTGTGCTCTTTACATTCAGTCCACCTTAACCTTATGCACACAGTCTAACGTTACCTCGTATTGTCAACACCGCCAAACTATTTTGCAATATAATCACCATGGTTACATAGACTGTGGCGCTTGGAGTCTACCTTCTTTTGATTGAAATGGCGACTGCTTGGTTTCACCAGGTCGCCTTGACGTGCCTATTGCTCTTTCATTTTACTTATTAAATAACATATTTTTGTTGGACTTTATTGTATTTATCACGTATTTTTAGACTTTCTCAACGGTGTCGCCGCTCGATAAACAGCTTTGGTTTTCGGCGTCTCCATTCACCCTGAAACGCGATTTTTTTTTATATATTTCTTTTAAATTGTGTATGTAGAATTCGTAATTTTCAGCATGGTGAAAAAATAAATTACTGATTACTGACTGACTGAATTAGATTAGCTTTAAAAAATCAAAAATTTCCAGAAAGTGCATATTGTTTGAAAATTTGAAGAAAAAAAAACATTTGCTGTCTATTGCGGCAAGAGTTCCGCGGGATCATACGGAAAATATTTATGAGATTCGAAAAATGAATTTTTGTAGGGCATTATCCTTAAATGCCGATCGAGTTCTTTGATCCTGACAATGTCAAGGTCTTCAAGAGAAAAGTCAAATATTTCCAAATTGTCCTGAATTCTTTTTGGATTTTCACTTTTAGGAATGACTGACGTGCCTCTGTCTACTAAGTACCGAATTATGACTTGTCCAACTGATTTTTTATATTTTTCCGACAACTCTTTCAAGACGGGATCATCGAAAACGTTTATTCCTGCTTTTATGACCCATGGTCTACCAGGAGATGCAAAAGGACTGTATGATGTGACAACTATTCCTTTGGACTTGCAAAAGTTCAGCAATTTTTCTTGATCCAAATAAGGATGAAATTCTGTCTGATGTATTGCAGGAATGACATGTGCATGTTCTAGCAGACGACTGAGTTGGTCGAGGTTAAAATTTGATATCCCGATTGCTTTAACTTCACCGGATTTATAAATTTCTTCAAAAACCTTCCACGTATCAACATAATCTATTGACTCATCGAATGGCGATGACAAGTCTCGTTTAATATCGTTTCCATCGTATTTAAATCCGAAAGGCCAATGTATCAAAAACAAATCCAAATAATCCAGCTTTAGCTTGCGAAGACTTAGAGCTAAGCCTTCTCTAACATGTCCAGGTGATTGGAATGTAGGCCAGAGTTTGCTTGTTATAAACAAATCACTTCTTTTTATGTCACCTTTGCCGATGACGTCATTTATCGCATCGCCAATGATATCTTCGTTGCCATATATTGCAGCACAATCTATATGTCGATACCCCACATTGATTGCATACTTTACAGTATTTCGTAGATCTTGGGCTTTGGAAAGCGAAGTCCCTAGACCAATTGTTGGCATTTTACTACCAGTATTCAGTGTAATGAATTTTGACATCATCTGAAATAAAGACTTTCAAGTAAGAATTGGTTATGGCTAAGTCCAAAAAGAGGACTACCATGACATCTTTTTTGAAAACGCCGGAGTTGTAACGGGTTGGACCTGTTCATCCATTACCGCATTTGGTTACATTCACTTTTTGCAATTCGAAAATATGGCAGAAATGGTAATGACCATTTTTTTTATTAACGATTTAAAGGTTTCATACTTCATATATATTCTAAACATGTTGTGTTTGATATTAAGATGTTTATATATTTATTGATTCGTGAATTTGAATTCAAGCACACTTGTAAGACTTCATAGTTCATGAAACGCGTAATCATATGTTTTCATTAGGTCGCACTAATTGATACATATGCAACTTCGCACAATATTGACATTTCCATTTACAGCTAGACTGCAACCACAGACACTTGCACTAATATCTGGTTAACGCGTTACCTTTCCTATAAGTTCATTTTTATCTGTAGATATTGGCATAATACCATATTGGTACATTATCCTTATTGATCAAAGCTTTTAATTAAACGAGATCAGACGTAACATTTGCCACAAGCGCTGATTACTGACCAATTTCAAACCACGTTCCTGTGCTAGTGTTAGAGAAAGAAATCGGCTTTTGTGACAACTGTGACTGCTTTCGTTTGCGATAATATGTATCTCTCATTAAAGCTCTACCTCAATATTCTATTTGATACGAGACTTTATTTGATGCAACTTCAAACCGGATTAACTTTGCTAAATAGCTTTATTGGGAAATTTCCGCTTTCTTGGCGTTTTCGCTATCGCCTCTGAAAGCTGGATTCCACTTTATCAGTAATGCAAAACATTATAGTCTGACAGCGTATTACGTCCTACACCGTCTTCACTCGTCAGTTCCTGAACACCAGTCAGCTCCTATAACCTATTTTATACATTATTTGCACAAACCCAAAGCGCACGTCGCAAGCCACTACGTTCTCGCATGTGTGTGAAGAATGTATTTGATATAAACAAGACCGATGACAAAGCATAGAAAGTTAACCAAGCGTAACCAAAAGCCATTGACTGGATTCTGCGCTGATCGGGTTTCGTGCTTAATAAGTCAAGTAAGCTTAATCTTATCGGCTCAGGTCGGGTTTCATTAGAGACATGATGAACCTAATTCAGATTTAAATTTATCAAATGCGGATCCGCGAAAACACCCCAGATAATAAAAAAAAACTCTTGGTGTTCAAGTATGAGCCTATTCGTATCGCACACAAGTAACTGCCGATATTTGAACTTCTATACTTATTGAAACAAAATTCTCTATACAGTATATTAACCGTACACATTTACAAGTTGTGTGTTTCATAAAAAATATGGAATATGCATGATCTAATCGCTGTTTCGCTCGAGCCCTAGCGGTCGCCCTACTGCAGCTATTCTATGACCTATTTTCGGGTCAATCATCTTAATATTCGTTTGAACGAGACTGTAGAATTTGCCCAATTTAAGGTCGAAGAACAGCATAATCCTGACTCCATTTATTATCGCCTGTTCAATTAATTCTAAGCATCAATACTAACGATACCTGATATAAATTCTGAAAATTCATACATTCAAACCGCCTTGATTTGGTTTTTAGGTACCGTCACGAGATAATTGTGCAAACGAAACAACCAGTCGGGGAGTTGTTGATTGATGTTTATATATGTGAAACGAGACCTTTGGACAAAGTTAAGGTGCTCGGGTTTGACACAGAACAATCGGTTCTGCCTGGAATGATGACGATGCCCGGTGCAACTGTCGACCAGCAAAGGTTCATTTTATTTCTAAGTTTTTCAAACTGTCTCACACCACATATTTTTATTTACTAAATGCTTTATTCAGAACAACTGCGCACGTTTCCTTCAAGCCAACCCGCGAAGAACAACTGGAGCTTTCTCCTCTCGGATTGAATGGAAAATTTATCGTTGAATATGATGTTGCCAGAAATCGCGACAAAGAAGTAAATGAAATTGTTGCGGATGACAGGTATAATGAAAAAGTTCAGGGCAGAAAGATTAAAATTACGGCGAGCCATATCAGGCCGGTAGGGTTTTTCAATCCTGATTGAAAAAACCAAAAAATTTACGCTTTTAATTAATTCTATATTCATGGTTGATGTTGAGTGTGATTGGTTCATGTCTACCGTTTTGTAACGTCACATTTGTCTTTAGTTTTGCTTATTTTACTCATTAAAATATTTGAGAGTGATCTTATACATTTTGATATTGTCATGCTACCCTGTTGCCGTGAGTTGCCATTTGTGGATTTAAAAAAAAACTAGATTACAATAAGTCGATACAAGCCAAGCCAATGTTTGCTTGTCAGGGTTAAATCGGCCCATATTCAGAAGTAACCATCCGTGGATTCTGGGAGCTTTCTACTTTACTAATAACAATACAATCAAGCTGAAAAACATTCGTGAGCAAATCATCGAGGTAAACTTGCAGATGAATACTATGCATACCGTGGTTGCTGGTTAGTTACCTGACATCCTAAAGCTGACATAGAACATTCAAGTGATATTTGGATCGACGTGTCTTTGTTAAGAGGAGAATTACAACATGTTTCAGTTAGATTATGTTAAGCATTTATGTTCCTAAACGTTAACTATTTGACGTTAAACGTTGACTTCATGCTGTCATGGCCAGCCAGTGTGTGTTAAAAAAAATTGTTCTCTCCTGTTTCAAAAACTTTGTTCGTGCTTGGTCTAGGCTGGTGTCTGTAAGTGAACATTGGACAGGGATATAGACTAGATAAATACAGGGATATATACTTCTGAAATATGCGAAAAACGTCAAAAATCTGTAAACTGTAAAGATAGGTTGAATTACTTTTAATTCAACTAATAACTCTTATTTTCACAATTTTATGTACAAATGGAAATTTGTATAAACAATTGGCTCAAATATTCGAAGATGCAAATTAAATTTGTTTTATATATTTCTAGGCATTTCATACATTTCCTTTCCGCCGATATGGAAACGATAAGCAAACGAGTTGTATTTTTGCTGGATAGTTCAGCGTCAATGTTTGGTCGGAAAATGAATCAAGTAAGGAAAGCAATGGATATCATTTTGAATGGACTGAGCGTTGAGGTATTAGGTATTTTAAAATGAATTTTCTTGAGATATAAGCTCTGCAGATCACATTTTGTAAACAGTAGAAACTATTTACTTTCGAGCAACAAGGATATGATAGTCCAGTCTGTAAGTAATGTTTTATGTAACCAACGTTTCCGGGTTTCGAGTACAAAAATACTAAGTGTCTTTGGTTTCGCTTTGGAACATGACTTTGTTTACAGAAATGTCATACCGTTACTCTGCGATTACTCGACATTATAAGTTTTATTACTCGAATAGAAAATATATTTAAGTTAAAAATCATGTACGATGAAAAATTCGTAAGAATAAACGACCTCTAAATGTCGTTATTTCTGAAACAAACATTTCCGATTTATCTTCTGAATCAAATATAATAATAAAACGCTAGAAAACCGCTTTTTCCGCATATGTTTTTCCTATTCAGAGTATTTTCTTTATATTATAGCATGGGACTGATTAAAATGCATTTCCAAAGTCGACTTTAAAACCATGTTGTCCATTTTACATTCCATTTATTTCCTAACATTAGCGTTTCAAATTTATTGTTTGATTACGTGTTAAGGATCACTTTGCCATTATTATGTTCAACAACAATGTTACTCGATGGAATCCAGGCAATGGCATCATGGCATACGCTACGGATGAAAATAAAGCTTCGGCAATAGATTTTCTGAACAATATAAAGACAAACGGTAGCACGAATATTGAGACTGCAATCATATATGCTATCGATGTTTTGAAGAACTTTTCAGAAAGTTAGTTCTGGTTTAAACATGATTTTATTATATAAATTATTTAGTAAGAACAGAGATTTGTGATTTATTTTCTTAATAGCAACGGAAAAAAATCACCGCACTACATCCGACTTCATTTTGCTCTTGACTGATGGAAGACCAACTGAAGGAGAGGTAGATTCAAAAAAGCTTGTCGGTTTAATAGATCTTGCGAATAAGTGAGTTTGCATTTTTCTCTACGTACACGTTCTTTCTTCATAAGGTTACAAGTGAATTCACTATTTCCGTAAAGAATGTGCTGTTTTTGGTTATATTTTCACTACTTACTCAAGTTTCTTTCTTTGTCTGAGAAGTGAAAAACTATCAAGGCCGAAAACAGTTCACAATATTCTGACAAACTCCGTTTTATTTATAACTTTGTTTATTCTGTTAGGTCAGCTTTTCCTAATCTTACAGATGTTGAAATTACAATAAAACTTATTCGATTATATATAGCGGATCATTCGGGATTCACACAATTGGATTCGGCTCGCTTGTCGATGCTGACACATTGGCAAAAATTGCTTCTAGGAATAATGGATCTTCAGTACAAATATTCGAAGACATTGACGCCGATTCCCAAGTATGTAGATCAGATCTGATAAATTTTGAAAAATATAGTCAGAACAATTCAACATAAAATTAGATGAATCACTTGTATTTGACACAATACTAGCAAGTTACACGAGATCGTCGCCAATTGAGATTATGAAAGACTATAATCTGTTGATATTTCTATATTATGTATCATTAACAATTGTAAAATTGACAGTTTTAAGGGGGTTAGAAGTTCAACTTCTCACTGTAATGCAGTGAGCACTATATTTTGCTAACTTCCATTTTCATCAATATGCCGTTGCCGATGTTGTCATTTTTTATTCGCCAAAAGTAAGTCTTTGTGCTAAGACTGATGATTGAACCTCCTGTAAAGCATCGTGGGATAATCTATAATATTCTTGCAATGTTTTTGATTTTGTTCCCCTAGTTATCTTACTCAAACTCCGTTAAAGAAATTGTCACATGTGTGAAATAAATTTGCATTTTATATATACATATATAGATTTCTGACTATTTTGAGACATTTGCTCGCCCTATGCTTCATGAACTAGAAATAAAGTACGACGCTGATCAGGTGGGTGAACACATAATAAATTTTTCCGATTTTTGCTAAAACAGCTTTGAAATACCTTTGTATCACTTCCAGGTTGAATCCGCATCCGAAACATTGTTTCCTGTGTTATATTATGGATCAGAGATAGTAGTCACTGGAAAATTGAAAGACGATGCGTTTAGGCCTCACTTGCAACGAAGGCGCAGACAAATATTTGCAGCGCAGATGTTCGATTTCACTGTTCGGGGAAAAGGAAAAGATGAGAAAGACTTTTTTCTTGATGTTGAAGTTCAGCCGACCGCCCCCAGCATCGAATGCATTGAAGAATCTACTAAAGTAAGATGGAAGATCGATCTAAACTGCTCTTTTAATATATGATGAAACAATATAAGTTTATATATGTGACTTGTTAATCCTTCATGATTGTTTAACACGTGATATACATAATGCCGTTTGGTAGAATATATAAACATTATATTATTGAATGTTACAGTGCAATCGTTTTTACCTGACTCGACTCACATAGGATTGAAGTATGCGATGTACCTCTTTAAATCAACTGTCTTCTTTGTTTCGTTGTAGATAGAAAATTTCACAGAACGTTTAAGCGTATTTATGGAACTTCAACATATGTTAAAAAGAATATCGGCTGAGAACAATGATACTGTTAAAAAAACTCTTACACAGCAAACTCTAAACCAATCTCTCGAGTAAGTGAGAAACATTTTAATCTTAAAACTCTAAATTTCGGGTGAACCACATCTTATCGAATCTTAATTTTTTCAATTTGTACTCTGATATGCTCATAAAATTTAATAAATATTAACCTCATATTAAAACAAATTAGAGATTAATCATAACGTTGTAAAACTTTGTATGTATTTTTGCAAACGAAGAATATACTTGCCAACTAATATCTTGATAAAATCTTCTGAATTGTAGTTTTCTCACCTTTTTTAAATACCAATCATTTGTTATTATTCCATGAATTAGATTCGGTTTTGTTACCCCTGGAATTACTTCAATGATTGTTTTGAAGCCCGAAGACAAGGAGAATCTACTACAAGATTTGGAAAACAAACAGGTCTGTGGGAATTCATATTAGACTAAAGGACGTTGAAATTATGAACCAACCGTTTATAATAAGATGGAAAGTTTTTTATGCTACCTGATGATGATAGTTTTACCGCTCATCCTTTTTACTTGGTCTTTGAATAAAAATTCTGCACCATTGCTCCTTTGTTTTGTTTATAAGAAGCCGTAGAAAATGGTACACTTTGTTTTTTTTAGGAAGATGTCGAAGTTATTGAATCGACCGAAGAAGGCAGTGAGTTCAAAGAATTAGATTTACGTAGACCGGAAAGAGGAGCAATCGCAAGGCTTGGTGCTTTACCTAGAATAGTGGGCGATAGCGATTCAACAGATAGACCAACGTTTGGTTTTTTTGGCGATCCACATTTTGTTGTAACTCTGAGTGAGCAGCTAACTATCTGCTTCAATTGGCCTGGGCATGAGGGACAGGTAATTACGTCATACTTGTAAATTTTGATTAAATGGACAAAGTTGTAAATTTCATATTTGCGATAATGAGTTTTGAGATATTTCAATAAATTAATGTCTTAATACATATATATGTATATTCGCAATTGCTAGTATAGTTGTCCGTTAAATTAGTTAGATTGGACGCTTCATTGTGTAAACCATAAGTTCTTGCCTATAACATAGAAACCTAAAGCTATTCAATTGAAGAAGAGCTTTCTTAATTAATAAATAGATGGAGTACATTGGCCAAGATAATCTATTGATCGATTCCTACGTGACGCAGAAGTCATTGTGATCTTATGTAGTTTGAATGCAGGGGTGCCTTGGTCGAATTGCAGTCATGCCTGAAATTATTTTTTTTTTTAATCGTGGCCTGATATAGTATTTATTATTTTTGACAGATTTTTAACCTAATTGATGACAACGAAAATGGAATTACTGTTAATGGCAAAATTAAGATTTTAAGAACTCCCGGAATAAAAAAAAAGAAAATATTTGTGGATGAAATTGGAATTGTTCTTTGGCATCGAAACATGACTATTCGTGTATGTTGAGTACTCACTTAACTAATTCAACACTATATTTAACACGAACTTTTACTGGTATTATTTTGTTGTTATTGTCGCTAGAATTATTTTTCTTGTTGTTTTAAAAAAATCGCATTTCTCTTCAATTACCCGACCAACTGCTCTAATATTTCCAGTGGTTAAAGAAAGTATTTGTCGACAGAAGGCTCTTTTTTTATATTTGTGTCATAAATTTCTGTGGGTTCTGTGGGATTCTTTTTTTGTGTGTGTGCGATGACGCTGTCAAAATAAAAACTTGCGCACCCTGTGGTGGTACAGCGTTCGCGATATGGTGGCCAGGCGAAGACAGCGGTACCGCTAGTCTACTGTTAAAGATCAGACACCGGTACTACTTCGCTTTGATCTTCGTGTTCATATATATATTTGAGCATTGCTCTCTTGTTTATCTATATAGTTGTTTTTGTGATATTGTACATTAGTTGTGATAAACTGTTTCACATAAAGAATTTGTCATAAAGTTGCGATAAGTTTACTAGAATCTGTTATGGTGAATCGCATAAAATTAAAAATATTTATAACATGATATTCTTTTAGATCACTTGCAAAAAGATCATTATTGTAAACAATATCCATGGAAACTCTACTAAAATTTCTCTAATCAACTCAAATAAAACACAAATCGAGAATATCAAAATCCTTGTCGATGCAAATGGTAAATTTAACGGTGACATGTTTTTGGAAATACAGCCCGGAGTAGTATTTAGGGTGAGTATAATAAAAAAAAGAACAATAAATTAGAAAAAAAATCAGAAATCTTTGCTGCAAAATTGTCCCGTGTGTTGGTGCTTTGTACAAATTTTCTTCTTGGTAAATTACATAGCAGCGGAAGCGGATGTCAAATCGTATTCGATTGAAATAGGCCCAAAATATTGTAAACAGCTCACTGTCATTCTATATGAAACGGTACTCCCGTAGTATGTGTACTAGGTTAGGGGTAGACCACAATTTTATTCCAATTTTAGTTCTACTACGAGTTCGAGGACTGTTTGTGTTAGCCAAGTGAATATATCCCACCCCCATAGGTTTCAGTCCCTTTACACAACTTGATGTAAACTAGGCGAACAAAATTAGTTACCTCCATATTGGTACACATACTTCTGGAGCGCCTCTGAAATGGTAACACATATCCTACAATATGAATTATTATTCATGTTATATAAATGTTACTCAAAAGAATAGATAGATGTACCTCGTCCTTCGGGATATTCAACAGACTAAATACAATATTTTTGCATGCTGAATTATTCATTATGGTCCAAATAAATAGTACGCTGTTGCAGTGGGATCAATTTGAAACGGACGGTGTCATTTAAATCGAGTTGTTTTTTATAGTTTGTTGTCTGTTAATTTTCAGATAAATATTTTGAAACCTGTGTCTTTTTTCTTATTGAAACTTCTGCTCTTATTTATTACGTTGTTGTTCTCAAGTCTGAATATTTAGAAGCATTCTACCAGTTCCTCCTTATCAAACAAACTGTCGCCAATACGCAACGCTCATCAATAGTATTACCTAAAGTTTACCGTTTAATGTCAAGTCGCTCAAACTATCTCATTTTTCTTAGTCATTCGGTATTTAAAAATGATCCTTAAGCAGATGTGGGATTCAAATTTTCGTCAGCCGGTTCCATCACAAAATTCATATTTTTCAGTCGGTTCTTTAACAAAAAGTCATATTTTTTAGCAAATAAACTGATTATTTTTAATTAACATTTCAAAATAATGGTAAGAATCGTTATGTCAAAATTAGCATCGAAATAGAAAAAACACGTGAGCTACTTGATCTCCAAAATCGGTGTGTCAGACAAGATGCAAAAATCCATTGACAGTCCCAGTCATGCTAACCGGTTCGCTGATCTAATAAAATTCCGTGAGACGGGTATATAGAACCGGTGGGAACCGACTGAATCCCACCACTGCCCTTAAGTTAAAACTTGTTATGACAATGATTAAGTTGTACAAATTCATCATTTCTTTAGATCCACAAAATGATATCAAAGCATATCGATAAAGTAGCAAGTCACTTAGATTTTTCGATAATCGATCAGGAAGGAATATCTGAAAATGCATTTGGAGTTTTAGGTCAGTTTTCTGAACACAAGGACGGAAAGAAAAAAGATGATGCTTCGATTGATGTTTCAATTGGGAAAACTAACGAAGGCCTTTTGTGGTACAAGTAAGTGATTCGACCATTTTGCTATTCTCTCCTATTACTGTTTTCACATACCTGCCTATATTGTTTAGCACATTAACATCCTCTATCTTATTTCTACCACATTCTTGCAGCAAAAAGAATGTCGTTTAATGTGTTATTCTATTTTTAACAAGCTTTCTTTTATACAATTTGACTTGGTACTAACCTCAGCACTTAAATTGTAAAAGTATTGATTTAGGAGTTGCAAGCAATGTTGCGACATAGATGCCAGTAAATAACGATTGACATGCAACAATTCAAACCAAAATTGCTATATAAACAACAGGAAGAAGAAAATTCAGCAACAACATGAGAAATATTATATAATCTAGTGAAACAACCAAAACTACGTTTGGTGACAAAAACAAACGATTACAATTTCTCATATAGGCTACCCGTAAAAATGATTGAAGCTAAATTTAGAAATTTCGAATATCTGAAGCTAGCTTTTCGTCTATTACCTTTATTCTGTTAACGATTACCAACGCTCGTGGGAGACGCCCAAATGTAACAAAAAAAACATTTATACAAACCAGCAGGAACAATCCGTTCGCCTTTATAAATTTGTTAGTTCTGTAAAGATTCAGATTGATAATTGCAGGACCCATGACTCGCAATTATTACTTATCGATCTTAAGATCGGTAAGTATATTGATAGGTATTTGTCTGTATGTATGTCTGTCTGTCTGTGTGTCCAAATTTTGCATGTGCATTCATCATATCTCGGACCAGAAGCCTATTGATTTTGGATGAATTATGTCGTATAATTAGCGAGGTATTAATTAATTAGTGATGAAGAGATCTGGATTTTCATAAATCGAGAGATTTTCGAGACGCGCTGAATGTGTGTGTGCGTATCAGATGCGCAAGTTTTCACGCTAGTGAGTCAGAGCGAAGGATACACACCGCTAGATCGTATCTCGTGATTGATCTTTGAGCCTTGTCCATATCTCTCTTGTAACTTTGACGTCGTCGCGATGCGCAAGTTTCCTTCGAGAAAATTCCCACACTATTGAGTCAGAGCGAAGGATACACGCCGCGAGATCGTATCTCGTTACTTATAATTACTCCTTAAAGTTTAAGCAATGACCATATCCCTAAATCAGGTTCGGGGTTGCAGAATTCCTCACCAAAATATCGCTAGGCTGTGTTTGAATAGCCGTCGCAACCTGGGTTAGCGCCGTTGTATTTGACACAAACTATAGGATTGGTAAATACAGAAATAGGCTATTGGCTGGAAACTAATCGAAACAATCCAGTTCGGATTTGCAGAATTCTTCATAAAAGTATTTCCTCGAGTAGTATTTCGACGACATGGGGAGTTGGCTATTGTTTCCTACATTTCTGATATTGGCTGAAAACTAATCAAAACAATCCAGTTCGGGTTTGCAGAATTTTTCGAATCGAAACCGCAGTTTCTGTTTTGGGGGATCCCCTAACTTTCGATCGATAAGTCTTCGGTCTCTGACCGATATTCTCGTTTATGACATCATATGATTTGCCAAACCGCTGCCCTTTCTAATCTTCCCATTATTTCCCTTTGAGCTTTCGTTTTTTCTACATATTGTTATATCTTCGACTAAACTATTGGTGTTGCAATTTAGCAGCCTCACATATGTTTGTTTTGAGCATAGTTTGTATTTATCACGTATCTATTTTTACTGTAAGACGCAAACCAATCCCCGTCAAGTTGAAGACAATGTATGATTACGGACATGGCAAAGATGTGGAATGTTGGTTCCTGCATCATGTTAACGACGTGATGGATAAAGGAAGATACAGATATCTTTTAAAGGGGCTATTTGATAGACCTGACATACCACAGATCTCGCCCCGCTATCGCTCATAAAGTTATTATGCAGTTTAGAGAAACAGTATGGACATAATGGATTTGATTTTGTATATTATAGATTTATAGAACGACGAATTGATATTAAAAGTAAACGACACATTGATTGCTTATTGTTTTTGCCTTATTGTAATAGTGATATAATAAACTATCATGAATGAGCAAAATATGTTATCATTTTTGTGTTATTTGAGCACAGAAAACATAATAGCGCCTGCCGTCCCAAACGATGCAATTGGTTTTGTTTTGAAATTTTTTCTTTATCACTACTGAAATTAGAGTGACAAACAAATAGCACGATGCTTGAAGGTAGACTTTAGCCATGTCGGACACGGTGTGAACTCTCCAATTTTTGTGTGAAGCGAATTTTGATATCCATATTTCTGTAACGCTTCTGCAAAAATGAGACCAATATAAAATGTAGAAAAATGAGAAATTCAAACGAACTATTGCTAGGGTGAGAAAAAAATGAAATCTTATTCAGTGCAGAATCAATGTTGCTGCGGACTTTACAATCACTGATAGACTGGAACTAAAAAACAGTTCATATGTATTTATGCAATGCAGCAATCGAGTATTTGTAAAAATAAAACTTTAAGACACAAATATTTTGAAGTCGTGATATGAATGCGGCATACGAAACCAGTGCGTCAACCGAGTAAGCTGTTGCGTAACGTGACGCAACCTAAATTTAGCATATGTTATTAACTTGGCTATTAAGTTTAAACTATCACTATTGTTTATTTATAAAGTTGCCAGCTTTGTAGTAGTCTACGTAATAGATTTATATATAAATGATTGCAATGAGCAAGACATTAACTATTGTTTAATTATGGTTTCACAAGTAAGTTATTTATATCTAAACGCAACAAGGAACTTAAAAACTCGAAATAAGACATAGCGCAACATAAATTACCCTGCACTACAGCGAGCATATAAAAGGTGCCGTAGGTACAGAGACGTCGAAATAACAATGAACCTTCATTGTTAGAAGGACCTATGAATTCACCTTTGATATAGGTAAGTAGCGGCAACTTCGGATCTCGGCGCATCAATTCCGTTACGCAAGTAAATTTTTGAATCACTTTAAAAAAAGTCTGTTGTTGGATTCCTCTTGTCGTATTAAATTTTGAGAATGCTTATTTCTGATGAAAATGAAGATTCATTCAGGTGATGTTTCAGTTTAGTTTCTTTGAAAGTTATATTATTTTTAAAAAAGTTGTCATATTTCATCTGGGATGTAAAAATGGCTCTTGAGCCAAAAATTTGATTGACAATTCATAACCAACTTTTAGTATTAATCTATTTCATTATTGAGCAAAATATTTTTTTTTATCATTTTCCAAGCCCTTTTTGACTAGGCTACTATTATTTATACACATGTTATAGAAGCTTGGATAATATACTCAACTAGTTATCCCATAAAACCTTCATATTTTGATCCACGATTTTATTTTGATAAAATATGTTGACTAAAGGATCGATTCTGCGACATATTTATGAATAGACTTTTTACGTTTCTCAAAGCTCTAAACTGAATGTCATGTTTTAATGTAAAAAATATTATTACAGATTTTATTTTTTTGTTTGTGACTATAATTTGATCGTTTTTGTTCAACGATGAATAACATTAAAGAATTGATGATTATCGCATTTGCACTCATGCTCTTCATTAACTTAATGGAAGCAGGTAAATAGATGTGCTTATTGCGTTAAATTCGTTTTTATTGTCTGATCACATTGTGATTATTTGGTAAATTTTAAGTAATTCGCAATTTTTAGTTACTCCAGTTTGTTTAGTGAAGATATAAGCAGAACGAACTATTCTAAAACTTTCTGGTAGATTTACATATTTAAGTAATGGTAGAAATGTTAAGCTTCCATATAGAATAGGTAACACATAACACAGACAGTTAACGTTATCGGCTAGGTTCTGTCTAAAATTTCATGCTTACTAACAATAAAATATTCATGATTCGTTCTTGCGCTTCGCGATTTCACAATTTTAATACTGTTTAATTATTTTATATGTCAGCATCGGTGCAAAAGAAGCTGAAAAGGGGGTCATTTAGAAAAAGAAATAAACAAATCAGAATTATCCTGAATTGTACACCTTATTGTGAATGGAATCACTATCGTGAAAGATATTTGGGGAAATGCTTTTTCAAGGATGATCCAATTGAGATTAATTTAACAGATGGCGTTATTCAGATGACAAAATAATAATAATGAAAATCTTTTCTGTCCCTGAATTTTGTTTTACATGAGGATATTTTAGTTGAAATACTCGAATAACATTCAATTGGCTATTGTGGGTTAATTTGATATGATTTTTCATAGGCGTCATTCTAATTTTGGATCAGTTTATTGATTCAGATTTTAGAAGCACGAGCTCTAGTTTTATTTAAAAATAGAATTTGTAAATGTGCAATTTTTTGTTTTCAGATTTATGTCGACTTTGTCGAAAACTCCGCTGCAAATCGGGGACAATTATGGGTTAAGATTCACTTAACTACGGAGACGACTTCAATCATGAATAGTTCACTTTATTTGAAGAATTTACTGTCATTCGAAGTTGAATTATCACATAAATCAGCTTTAAGTTCAATTAAGTAACATAACATCATAGCGTCGAAGATTATTTTTGTTAATAAACTATGAATAACGAAAAAGCAGACACGAAAGTGAAAATGACACACAACAATCATTAATAGCAAAGCATCCGCATGTCAATAAGTAAAATTTTATCAGCAGTTTTATAATATCAAAACCATCCAGAGTGCCATTTCGTGTTCGTAATGAATTCTTGTAGAGTAGACAACATCATACAAAAATTTAAAGCTCGAATATGCTTGAAGTTAAAATGAGATACCCAATATTTCTTGCATACTTCATTTCAGCGAATTTACCTCAGGATAGATTTGTTTCGGACGTTCATAGAATATGGAAATACTGTAGGTACAGCTGGTAGCAATTTCCATTACAGTAAGGCTAATATAATTATAGCGAAATCTTGTCTGCAAAAGAATATACCACTGGCATATACCATACAAAATGCGTTGGAATTATAACAGCTTGAAGCATTGAAAGAATCAGCCGCGTCTTTGCACTGAACTATGAAACTTGAATGCCTACCTCAAGAGATATCATAAATCAACACAGTTCTCTAGAGCAGCGTTTCCCAAACTGTGTTCCGCGGAACATTATTGTTCCGCGAGCGTCTTCCGAGCGTTCCGTGGAAAAGGAATCAAAAATACGTCTAAATTGTTCACAGTGGCGATCTAGGGATCGTGAAGTTGTTGCCCAACTGACCCATTCAATTTCGCGTCACCGTCGGCCTAAAGCGGACTAACTAAGGTAGGTAGGTAAGGTAATTTCGTTAACCGCCGGCCGAACTTATAGACTGTTAAGTTTATTATCTAGTTTACAGCAATCCTTTTGGTTTTGCTATAAGCAAACAAGTAGGTCTAAAAAAAATGCAAAATGTCAAATTTTCTTTATTCATCTCTGCCTGATTTTACTTTGAAATGCTAAAAAAATCAATATTCGCTCAACTCGATTCAGCAGATAAATTAACTGCAGGTCTGCAGCTCGCGAAATTACAGCAAGTGCTTCTATCTCCATTAGACGTAACATTAGAGGCAAACACTACGTAATGGAAAGTAAAAGACATAGAAAGGGAAAATTAATTTATTGATTCGTATACACAGCATTTAAATTGAGAGACAATAGATGCAATATATAAAATATTCAATCATATTTTAGGTATGTTTAACACAATTCTGTTAGTTTTCGCGGCGCATTTGGCAACTCGCCACGGCGAACCTATTGGGAACCGCTATTCATTTGGTTTTCTGCTGAAGGGAACTTACAGATGTCAGGACATTTGAATAGCAAAAATGATGGGGAATTGGAATGGGGGGAACAGCATCTCCGAAGGAGGTTTTAGTTAGATTGTTACTCTCAGTAACGTGTACGGAATCGGTAAACATCTACAAACATGGCATAACTCGTCCGTATTGGAACTGAAATACGGAACTTTACGTGGTGGTGTTGGGAACCTTCTACAGTGGTTCAAGCAAATGGAGACGACCTCCAACACATTAAATCGCACGTTTGACGTCATTTGAAGGTCATTTGGAACATATTCTGAAAATAACACAACTTTTGTGCAAAACATCACGGATCTTGAAACTATGGGTACAATCATACAGAGCCAGAAGATTAAGTAATAACAAAATTTAAAGATTTACTCCATTTTCATAGAGATAAAGAAAATAGTAATGGGTTCTGATTTTTGGGTTACCCTGTACTTATAAAATCTAGTTTCAAAATATTGTTATGTTTGTTTTACCTATTGTTATAATTTCTGTCACTCACTTTTGCGAAAAGTGGTTTCTGTTATCATTATTAAATACAATTATATTAAATTGTCTAATATGACAGATTAATGTATTCCATTCATTGTTTATAACTATCTCGTAATAATCACAAAATACTCGGCTAATTCGGATTCATGTCCGATGAATCAGGTGCCCAATCGACGTCATTGCTAAATGCTGATCAGCGTTTCCTGAAATAGCTCTCTTGGCCAGTACATGGTGTAATTTTATGCGTAAGGGTCACCTCGTTATGCTGAGACCTATATGGTAACCTCTATCAATCCACCGTTTGAGCTATTTCATTTTGCCTTTCAAGTAACATGGACTGATTAGGTCAAGATTGAAATTAATTACCCATACCGTGCACTTTAGTGTAACGGCTTCTGTAAGACTTTCTTCGGAGGTGATGTGCCCCGTTAAACATTATTGTTGCTATTGAAATGTCCTGACAGCAGAAAATACTCTACAGCAGAAAACCATGTAGGTGAATAACAAGTTTGCGCAACAAATGATTAATAAGATAATTTGGAACATATTCGAACAGCAACAGGGGGAATATGACTTTTGTACAAGGGTCTTAGATTCCTGAAACTTTCGGATATGCTCATACACAAACAGAAGTTCGAGCGCAAGCAAATTCAGATACTTTTATTTTCATTTCCGTGAAAGTGATTAGGAATTTATTGGGTTTCATATTTGGGTCCCTGTACTTGATATTGACTTAAAACTCGTACTTGGACCTGCATGGCTTCATCGTTGAGACAAACATATCACTACTGGCAGGATCAAAGTACAATAATGTAGATTTCTTCGTGAGAAATTCTGTTTCTTGGACGGGGTCGGGACAAGTTTTATGTTTCATTCATTTTTGAACACTATTTCATTCCCTAATCAATCGAAGTAATTCATTATTGACAGCAGCTGTTTATTGGTGTATACGTATGTACGGGTAAGAATCTAACAGTTTTCATCCATTTTTCTACCATTGAATATACAAGTCAATTGTTGCCATGAATTTATTCAGCATGTATTTATATATTATTCTGGTATTAGCTACTAATTAAAATGAATTGAATATGAAGGTCTTAATATGCATTGCACAAAGCCAATTCCTCTGGTGAGCAGAAATTATTTACAATCTGTGTTTTAGGTGAATTAGGGTTTTCAAAATGGCATGATGTCGTCGTGATGATTTGACATGGCAAGATGATCTTTTGTCTTGAAAAACAAAAAAGGAAAAGTTATAAATAAATCAAAAAGAAATATTAAATTCAAACTGCTGCTTTGCGACTTGCTATTTATTGAAGCATCACAAACCTGAAAAGTGAGTGTTTTTTCGTAAACAGTTCAATTAAAAATAACAATGACATTAATTGGATTCAAACAGACGAAATATTGATTAGGATTTTTTTTTCAAAGAGACTCATTCTAATGACTGTCATCGGGTTTTATAGGTTGCAAATTGTGAACTCAGTTCCCAGCTAAAGCCTCACTGAGGCAATGAGGAAAAACTCAGCTTTTATTTAGCTCTTTTTGTCGTTAATAATGAGTAGTGTCTATTCCACCTAAAGGGTTTCGGGATTTGTTAAAATTCTGCATTGCAAATTAGCGGAGGAAATTGATACGTGGGAAATATTAACCTCATCTTACCCTTTATTTTTTACGCAGCATACATGACGCACCGACCTCTATAACATGCATCGGATCTTCGGGGGCAATCGTAGATTGTTGTACAATCTGATGATTAAATGAATATATTAGCTTTAAAAAATTTGAACCTGAATGTATAATTGTGGTTTACTTATGTTTTCAACAGAAAATTATGTTAAAACAGAGACGCAACAACAAAGAATCTTGTTCTGCAAGTAACTGAAGCAGATTTTGGCTAGTTTTCAATAAAATTCCAATACTGCCAGTACAGCATCACAATTAAACTAATCATTCAAATCATTTCGCCTGTTTAGACTTGAAAAAATAATAAATGAGTATACTTACTATACGCATCGGCTTCAGTCATCAAGCTTGCGATGATTAATATCATCATGTACATCATGATCAAAAACTCTTGATAGGAAATCATTTTGCACGATTCTAGTTTGCAGAAAGCAAATTTTAGCTAAAATTAAATTTTCTCTAAATTTAAAAAATTGTATTAGATAACGTACGTGGGTGTGACTTGATTGAAAACAATACACATTACAATCTAAAATTATTCGTTGAGTTCGATATTAAATTTAATATTCGATTTCAAATGAATTGATGCTTATAAAAACCCGAGCCTATATTTATACCGTTTGCTAGGTTGTTTTTAAAGCAATTGTAATAAATAGTTATTAAACACCAAAATTGCCTACTGAATCGAAAGAAATATATGCATTATCGAAACTCAATTAACGAATTGAAATTTGATTATAATAATCGAAAGTCATCAGTGCTACATCAGTGCTATTTCCCGCAAGCTTGTCCACGGGACATATTTTTCTGTCCCATTCCCTTCCCATAGCAATTATGCCCGTCCCATTGGAATGAAATTCAATAAAAATTGTTAAATTTAGGTTTAGGGTCTACTAAATAGGACTACATGTTTGAAGAGACATGCAAAACAACAAAATATACAGACTTTGTTACCTTTATATTTATAACTATTATACATGTGTCCATCAGCCCCTTCACGGAGTATATTGGCAATGCTGAATATATTTTGATCTTCATAACTAAAAAGAGAGCTATGCTGAAATATATGGCCACGAAGTTCATAACAAAATGCATTATCATCATTTCCTCGAGAATCATGGTTTTCGTGTCCCACGTGTCCCATGCGAAATACAAATGTGTGCTGTCCCATCCAATCCGATTCCCATGGACAAGCTTGGCTATTTGGGAATGGGTGTAAATCAAATCAGGAGTTTCGTTTTAAATACGGCTATAACTTTGCATAATTAAGAAGTTTCTGCTAAAACTCATTTGAATTATCGTCCACGTGGGACGGAAATGACGTCGGGGATAATTTCTAATATGTGATTTAACAATTCATTTTTATGCTGGAGCCCATTAAACGGCGTATAAAAAGTGGATCACGATTGATTATGAGCTTACATATGCCCCACATGATAAATTTATTAAAATGAATATTTTCCTTCCAACATATTCATATTACCTTTATGCTTGTGATGATGAGAATGTAAACTTTTTTTGGAAGGGGGAGGGGGGGGGTGACAATATTTGTTCAACGAAATAGTGACTCATTTCAAAGACTGTTAAGAACTTATTTGCCACTTGATATTTTAGCCCCAATATTTGAGCTTCAAAAAACATTATTCCGAAAGCGATCATATCACATAGCATCTGGTTGATTCAAATACCTCTGATTACTTTTTATAGTGGCTTGTCCGATCGTTTTAAACGTTGCTGTATAGATTTGTATTATGTATTTAATGTGCATGACATTATGGATGCATTTTATTCCCACTTCATCACTATATGATTACGTAATGCAGGCTTTGTTTTTATCTTATGCTGAGTAGAGCATGTACCAGTTTGCTTAGTGCACAAAACCGAGTATACATACCTAAAGGATTGCATGTGTCACCGAAATGCACGATTTTAAACTCAAATTGGATTTTTCGATTCGTTTCAATTGTTTAGTTATCACAGATGGATAAAACATGAAACAGTGCTACCCAAAGTTGCAATTTGTTTTTGAAATCATTTTCCGACAGTCAAGTCGTTTTCTATTGAGATAATCGTTGATTTATTAATATCATTTATTTACGATACTAAAAGTAATTGAGTATCAATAGGCTACATTTAACGGTAATTTGTCAGCCAAAAAATTAAACTGTTGTAAAATCTATTTTTGGCAATATCGCTTTGCCGTTGTCAACAAAATTTCAGAGAATATAAGCACATCTACTGAATGCGTGAATTTTTCAAACAATTATAAAGTGGTTCTGTCACTATATGATGTAATAACGGATTTTAAAGTGGGCATTTCATATTTAATATTCCACGCTTTACTGTTTATTATTGCTTTGATATGACTTATATGATGGATATACCTTTGTAAAGATCTTCACACTCAGCAGCATATAAAAGTGGATATATTATATGAATGCGTCAATGGGGATCATATTTATCCAAATTAAATTTATTGTATGTGTCTCCGAATGTTTCAATGAAAATTGCGCATTCGATATTATTACATTTATAAAATTACCCAAAAGTACATTCCATATCATTAGACTTTCACACATCACATCTTACCATGATCGCATTATTCTTAGATTTAAACTCGAAAACATTAAAATTTGTGCTTGCATACGCACAATCTATTTTGATATCTTTCTATCCTAATTAGGGGTGAAATGAATGTAAACTAAGGGGCTTCAGTATCAAATTAAAACTGTTACCTAAATCTTGCAACATTTGATACAATATACAAAAGGATACTATTATTCTTTTTTCATGGAATTAAATAGCCCTAAATAAATATTAAATCGAAATTGACAAAATTTTCTAGTAAGGAAATTTGCCGGGGGATGGACCTTCAGTTGGATACTTTGGGTGAGGGTCTTCGTATCTTCTTTTTTTTTAATCTTTTTTTAACATATCATATTTTGTATTCATCTTGTTCGCTTTATGTTTATAAAATATTTTCACAAACGAACTGTGAATAGAAGAACAAGGATGTAATCGTTCACCAGTTTTTAATGTAAATTCACCGTTATAGTAATAAAAGAAGAAAATAATCTTGTGACAACTTGCGACGTATCTTGCATAAAACAATAATCAACATACTATTCATGTAATGTTCAAGCCATTGGGCAATAAATAATAATAGATTCTGCGTATAATCAAACGTTGTGTGAAAATAGTTCCTAAATATGTTGATTGTGTAAATGATTCTTGCTGAAAATCGAGATTAGTCGATATAAATTATAAACGATGTTTCTCGAATTTGAGAAGAAAACCAAAGTTCTTATTATTCTTAAGTATTTTCTGGTGAAGTCTGAAATATAAATGATCTGGTAAGTAGGAGTTGGTGGCATGATGAGGAATTCTTCAAATCTTTGTTTGCTACAATATTTACATGTTTGACAAGTGTCCTAAATACACAACGTCTGAGAGATTTGCCTCGAGTCACTCAAACCAACGCCTGGGATGTGTGAAATCCAGTGAAAAAGTGTGAAATTTAAATCTGATCCAATAATTACTCGAAACTGTTTTACTTGTCAGGGTAAACTGAAAACACATTTTATCCATTTCCATGAACCTCCAACAGTTGAAGGACAGTTTGTGTAAGTTAAGTTGCACTTCATTAATTTGTTTCATCGTTATCGTAGATTTATGTTATTTTTAAAAAACCTACTATTAATATACACAGTGTATCCTGGGCATCCTGAAAAGATGCCAAGCATCAATTCTTTGCAAATCGCTTTTTCACTAGTGGATTCAAACGAATAAATTGCAAATGATTGACAAACATAGGCCAAGTGATTTCACCGTGTCTGTAAAACGATTCACTGTGTGCGTTGACGAAAGTACGATTCGACAATTATTCATAGGAAATGGAAATCTATAAATGTATACGATAGGCAATGTTTAATGTTTTGTCAGATTGAAAAAATGCTAAATCAATATTGGCTCAATACTGAAAGCACATCTAGGTGAATCCGAGTGCATGGATATTCAGTTCATGCAAAAGAAAACCCTTTATTAAAAAAGATGTGTGATACGCTGATAAAACGCATAAAGCTCATTTTAATAATTATATTTTCAGTGTCCTTTATTCACATAACTGGAAATAATACTGGAAAGGTACAAAACTACACTACGGGTCCCGATAGTAATTAAAGCCATTAATAAATGGGTTTTGTGTAGAAACTGATAATACGTACTGAGATCGTTTTCTTCGTTAATAAGGCATAGTCGTTTATATACTTTTTATATCACTTATACTGTGAATTGCAGTAAACCACAATGTAAGCACCAATTTTTGACGATATTTTTCACGGCCCAAGATTCTCGATATTTTGCAACCCCGAAGGCCAGTGAAGTCTTTCTGTTTGACGCTTCTAAAAACGTAACAAAATACTAAAATTATATTTATCATAATATGTATTGAAAAATTGATGTATATTTACTTCTCGTATTGTCGTCCGGCTGTCACAATTAAAATTCAATTAAATTCAGTTCAATCAAAAATTATTCATTTCATTAGCTCAATTTAAAGAAGTAATTCTTGGATTTCCCTATGGATAAGCAGATGCTCGTACTGAAAAGCATCTAATTTCTACTATCACAATAACGCATAGACATCATTAAAATATACTATCAAATAAACGCGCTTTCTATTGTATACTGACATTCTAAGGATTCAAATTGTCTCTAACGTTTATATTATATACATATACTGGTCACACGTTCTTACTGATTCTCTTTTTCGTAATTTTCAGCACAACAGAATGCTTTCAGCTTTTGTTTAGCTTCTGGATCTTTGTTTGTTACGAGATCTTCGACGAGGTTTTGCTTGATCTCGTGAGCAATATTTGTCACTTCCATGATCACGTGATGCATACCAGCTGAACAAACAAATCAGTTAAAATTAGCCATCAGGTGTATGTAAATGGAAAAAGTGTGCATACAAAAAAGTATATATATATATATGTGTGTGAACCTATGATAGTATTTTTAGAATCTTTCCGGTTCGACCATGGCCATCCAAATTACTACATATAATATATATAACAATAAAACAGACCTTCTAAGCAGTGTTTCAGAAAAGATCCGTTCAAATCAATTCGTGTTTTACTATATCCTCTGTAAAACTGCGAAACTGCTGTTATTCCGCCTATCAGACGAACGTTGTAATCACGAAGATCTGAGCAGGTGCGAATCAAAGAAATTGCTTCAAAAAAAGTCTCTCCAAATTCATTGGCTCCAGGTTGGCTGTTGATAGGTGTACGAGTCACTACGGGATCCAAAATCACTTCATTAGGATGAAATCCGACGGTTTCCACGAGCAGTTTAAACATTTCGATGCAAAGATTTGCCTTTTTCTCTGGAGTTCTGGCCTTTGTAAAAATATTTAATGAATTGGTAGATATCCCCTCTTTAAATAAGAACTTGATAAGAACATTTTGATATGAACAATTTGTTTCATTTTTGCTGAATTAGGTCAACGCTAAATAATCGCACGGATAGAATCATTGTTCGTCATCTAAATACTTTTGTTTTCGAATACCCACTAAATCAGTTAGAAGAGATTACAGCAATTCACTAAAAACCTTTTCTTTCTTGACGTTTCATTATCACTTGCGGGAGCTTTACACGGGTTTTTCTTTAGGAAATTAAATTAATTCAATCATACTAATTTGCCGGCACTTACCGGCGCCTCTTTATAGTCCTGTGCAAAGGCTATTATTGCCCCAGGACCAAGTTTTTTGATCAGCCTTGCATCTTGTATAAATTGCTCTTTGCCATTGTAAAATGAAAGATAATTAGCAATTGCTCTTCCACGTGTATACTTTAGACCAGGGGTCACCAACTTTTTCGAAGCCGAGAGCTACTTTTTGGGTACAGATTAAGCTGCGGGCTACCAGTTCAATGTACACTTCTAAAAATCTCAGTTGCTCGATTAAGCTTCAATTATTGATATAATTACTGGTAATTAGTGAAGTATATACACTAATAAACTTTAGGATTCTTCAGGGAATCAAACGCATATCACAACGTTGCAAATAAATTTCTATCAATAACACTTGTATTTCAAAACTGAGTGTTTTTAAATTGATTTTCAACAATCTGCACAAGTCTAAGATAAAATGGACTCAACAGTTGTACTATCAAATGTTGCAGTGTATTATACTCCGACGTCTAACTTGACACTGTAACTCTGAGCGAGTCTTGCAGTTTTTCATCAGTGAGGCGTGTTCCTGGTGGAGTTAATCGTTAGGTTCGCAGGTTAGAATCCCATGCGGGGATAGTTATGTACGAAAGGATTGCTGGACCCCTCGCCGCGGTAGGGTGGTTCACGTAACGTTACCGCTGGTCGTTGAGGCTTCCTTCGCCATCAAGTTCATGCTTCCGGAAAAAATAAATAAATAATCCCATACCCGACATCGAATGGTGACCGGCGAGAATCCGTGGTTTGTCATATGATTAAGCCGTCCTATCGGCTATCTTCTCCCCCGGGATAAATATGTAAATCTCCTTCTATCCTGAGTTTATGTCAAAAATGTTGATTCGAAAGGATAGGTTGAAACAAACGATGGTCTCGTAAAATAGGATTGCTGTATAATTTGAATCGCGAGCTTTCTCTGTCCGTACTGTGCTGACCAGTGGGTAGTAAGCGCGGAAGATTACGTGACAAGATGTGAAATATCTCTCCGCTTTGCCGTTGCTAAAATCGTCCCACTAATAAGACACACGCAGGCTGTTTTCATGGTGGTAAAAATATATTCACTTCCCATTCATCGTGGAAGTGAAGTCTTTGGAATCAATAATTGTATACTGCTCCGCTAACCAACGGACAAGAAAAAACGCGTGTTCGTGGAAAGTGATCTCAGTGTGATGTCATAATTGGAAGAGTGTTAATTGACCAGTCACATTACTGAGGTCAAATAAAAATAAGGTTGATGGTTATAATAATTATTATAGTGTCATTTCTAGTTCCCATATAAGTGTGATTCATACTAAAATAGCAGGACAAAATTTAATTGATGTAGCTTACTTATAAGAGCCGTTATTAAGCTCAGTTTGGAACAGACCTGCGGGCGACTCATATGGTCTTCGCGGGCGACTTGATGCCCGCGGGCAACGCGTTGGTGACCCCTGCTTTAGACTTTCCAATATGACTTCAATCTTCCCGGAGTTGATGCACAAGGGGATAGAACAGACCGGTATGGTCGATTTTTTATCTCCATAATCTGACTCGGCCAAATTAATGAACCATTTCATCCACTCAGATGGCATTGGCAATTCTTTTTTTGAGTTGTAGCTGATCGGATCAAACAACAGATTTATGACCTGTTCAACAATGCATTTAGTTTAAAAATAAAATTCTGCTAAATATGTTTATCAGGCTATATATAAAGTCTAAAAATTTGGTTGATCTTGTGATTTGTTTTAACACAATTGAGAGTGCGCAATTTTGAATTTGCTTATATAAATTAGCTACATATATGTATTTGATAAATAGAAACAAATTTATATGGCAGTGAAATAGTTTTTACAGTTTTCTTTTCATTTTGACTATGTATAATTATTGTGTACAAATTTCCAAATGTAAATACGAGTACTGCGTACATCAGCTCCCATTGCAATCTGACTTCTCGCGATTTCTAATGCTTTGTCCTGCTCAACTTGAATGCTTGCTAGGCGTTGCAGATTGTTTTCGAATATATCAGGATTTCTTTGAAGTGTATTCGCCAAGCGCTTCGATAGTTGAAGCAAACCATGGAAAGCGTATATAAAGGAGTTGCCCTGAAATATTTGGGTAGACAAACTGAAAATATTGATCAGTAAGAAAGCATTTAATTACAACTGATTATTTTGGCCGTGTATCAGTATATCTATTCATTTCATCAAAATGATTTTTCCATCTTAACCTTGTATAAAACTTTTTCGTCTTTTTGAATTAACATATCACCTCTGGTGTTAGAACTGGTTTTTCGTCTCCAATATCTTTGCAGATTTCATCGTTCAGTTTGGCAATTTTAAGAATTATTTCTCTAAACTTTGCTATGTTGGCAATGTCGCATCTTTGTCCGATTATCAAAGAATTTCTTATTTCACTGGAAAAACCTTCGTCCACATTTCCTTTTCCCGATTCGCCAATAGTCTTACGTAGTACATTGGATCCAGACAACAGGAGCGCCTGAATATAGTAGATACGTGACAAAAATACATATTTAGACGGCATTAAAAACTTTTAAAAGCAGTAATTTTTTACCTTGTCCAATTACCTAAAGTAATATTTAATTATATTGTCACTAAAAACAATCCACAAAATTAAGGCTGTTGATATGCAATATTTCTAAACAAATACTACTGTTACTTTTTATTATTGCAGTAATAAAAATTGTTAACCTTGGAATCGAAACTTCTTTCAGATTGTTCTAGTTTTTCTTTTCGCTTTGCACTTTCGACACATTGCTTCATTTCTTCAACGGTACATTCGTCATGTAGAATCATTATATGCGCCCAATTCTACAGAAAATATTAGGACCAATAAATTATTAACAGTCAGGTACAGGACAATGCTAATCTTTGTATTGATTTCTTGGTTCGTTCACTTGAATTATATTTAATATTGCTTATATTTCAACGTACCCCAAGTATGCCAGATCCAGTGATTTTGAGACTTGAGTAGACGTCTGAGACGTATGGTGACTTCAAATATGACACAATTTGTTTTTTATTCGTTGCATTCTACCCCAATACTGAAATTTATAAAATGTCTCATAATTGCAAATTATTGATTGATATCATGGAAAAATGATAATCACACTCTATAATATGACGATTAAGCGACTCGCCGTTAATTAAGTTACCGAAAATCCCGATTTTCCAAGTTCCATATGCAATAAATTAAATAGAATGTACATAAAATATGCATTCATCAATGCATAACCATGCAGGGTCTTGTAAAAATCCTAGGTACTCCCGTAGTATATGTTAACCAAGATGGCGGACACCGGAACGTAGTATGTGTAGAAGATTAGGGTTAGGCCATAATTTCAGGTACATGTACTACAGTAGTCACTTAGCTAGTCCCCGAACTCATATTAAAACTATGCCATCTCGTCCGCCATCTTGGTTCACATAATACGGAAGTGCCAAATTTTATTGTGACGAGATTACAATGCATGTCAGGCGTATTGTATTTAAATTAGGTAGCTCAACAAAAACACTGACGTGCGGTATAGATTTTGTAGTGATATTCCCCAATATCTGAAAACCGACTATTTGAGCTAAACTGTGTGAATACCTCAAGGGATTTGCATAACGAACGCCATTCCACTAAAGGCGTCCACAGTCTGACCACATTTCAAACGTCCATTTTCTTCGACTAAGCATGATATTACCAGTGGTATATCTTTGACTTGTTTTTCTGTCTCCTTGAATGTTTCAAGAGCAAAAATTGCCGCCTGAGTTCAAAATATAAAAGCAGTATAAGTAATTCATTTGTGTTTGATATATTTTACAATGATATAATTGCATCATATAAGAGCAAAAGCGCTTATGCCTCCATCGTTTGTGACCAAAAACAGATAGCGAAGAAAGCAAATTAATAATTACCTCATTAACGCGAGAGATCGGTGCAATTTAATGAGCTAATGAGTGTCGTAACGAAAAAGATTTTTTTTGCTAACATATAGCTAGTGCACCACTCACTCGTAAGCACAAGTATTTATTACCTAAAATGTCTAAATATAAGCAACACTCAAATATTTTTAATAGCATTGAAAGAATAATATGACCAATATGCTCCGAAAAAATAGAGAATTATTCAAAAATTTTCATGTAAAAATGTAAGAAATTACTCTTGCAATCCTTGTGTCCTGTATTGAATCAAGAATCAACAAATCTACTACAGCAAAATCAAGTTCTTCTAAAACATCAGTCACCTTATTTGCTGCGAGGTCAAAATCTAAACAAATATGGAACTGTAACTGATATCTTAAATTTGTCATTGACTCATTGGTATTCAGAGCATGTGACTTCTTTATCAAACGTTTGAATTGAATGGTCCATCTACACAATTCTTCATCTTTTTTTTTTCTTATTTGGTCACAGTGGCCTCCAAAAGGATAAAATTCGAATTACAATGATATGCTTGTCAAAAGTGACGGCAAAAAGATAAACAACATTACTCTTCTCCACCTTTAAGCTCTATCCTTAATCATACTGTGACCTTAGTTTTTGTCATCTGTTTTTTTTTCTTCCAATTTCTCATAGAGTGGGAATAAACTTAATGTATCCATGAATATGCATTGTGAATAAATTTCAAATGAATACTCTGATGCCTAGCAAGAGTCAGAAGCTCATAAGATTTGTATGCTCAAAAAGCGCTAAAGTAGTATGTCGTCGTAACAGTTTGCAATAAATTAAGAATTCGAAATCTACACAACTCCTTTTAGCAGTAGTTTGAACAAATAAATTGAACATTAGAATTGATTTATTTTTAATATCTTGCTTCTTTGACTTTCCCCATGTAGCACAAATAGTAAGAGATTAACATTGAATTTTGAAAACTTTTTGTCGTGTATTATCATTTTTGTACCAAGATGGGTATTTTGTACTGAGTGAGCTTTTCAATCGTTGTCCATGGAAAATGGTGTAGGAGTTTAAAAAAAACACTGATTGATTTGAGAATTGTTTTTGATTCACTCTAAATGTATGGCGATTTGTAATTTTACTTAGGACTGAATATATAACGAGGATATCGGTTGAAAACCGAAGACTTATCGATCGATAGTTAGGGGATCCCCCAAAACAGAAACTGCAGTTTCGATTCATCCGCTCTTGTAACTTGCGCACTGCGCATCGCACACACACACACTCGGCGGGTCTCAAAATTCTCTCGCTTTACAAAATTCTAGATCACTATATCAATAATTGATTGATTACTCTCTAATTATACGACATAATTCGCCCAAAATCAATAGGCTTCTGGTCCGAGATAAGATGAATGCACATGCAAAATCTGGAGCAGATTCAATCTCGCTTTCGTGAGATATCGCGTGCATCTAACAGACATACAGACAAATACCTATCAACATACTTACCGATTAAAATCGATAAGTGATGATACTTAAACTGTATCAATTTGTGTAGGCACAGGTTAATATAATATTCAAATTTAATTGCGTTGAGTAGCCATACTTACTAAACTCGCCCTCGCAGATATCATTACTCAGGTTCAGTTTCGCTGCTATGAAAACCTTTTCTTGCTGCTTATCATTGCTGGAGGCTTAAATACAACAAATACTTTTTGATGGCTACCTCGTCGTAATAGAAAGACATAACATCTGACAACAATTTACGACATTCAAGTAAGTAATGACACAATCGTTTTGGGCAAATGTCCAATAACATCGCATTCTAGGTCGGTTCTATTACTAACTTTTAAGATATTGAAAATTTGGATTATGTTATATCTATAAAACAGTACACGATTTGGAACAAAAACAAACAAAAAAAAATTATTTAGGATGATGTTTATTAGACCATATCAACTTATATATCTTTATTTGAATAGTGTCATTAATAGAATAATGGCGGCAGCGTTGACCTACATTGAACAACAGCGGATGTATCTTTAAACAATTGTCGCATTTCGTTCCAATTCTGGTTTGCATCGCAACTCACTCTTGCAATAACAACATTCGCACCAGCTTCAATGCACTAAACAAAACATTCCCTAATATAATTTAATAAATATCACATGACTTACAGGTATATTTCGTTAATAAACTATACATAGTTTTATGGAAAGACTATTAAGATAAGATATTTCTAATAACACCCCCTTCGTTTCCTTTCGCAGCCACTCTTTTTAAAAAATTCTGGATTCAGATCGAGCATCAAATAGTGGAGTCGAAGTGTTCTTTTCAAATTTTGCTCAGTCGAGAGTCGAGTCGAATTCGGAATTAGGCAAATTTCATAGTGAAGAATTAGAATTGCAATTTTAAGTTTTAAATAGTATTATAGTTGAAAATTTCACACAAAAAATAAAAAGGCTCGAAATTACAAAAGTCATGGATGAGAAGAATTAGGATGTGAAATATTTGTCAATCAAAAATCAGATATAAAGTCAGTTTTATGAATGAATCGAAGTCACGTGAAAATTTTCTCCTACTTCTCACACCAGGTAGTCATGAAAGAAGTTGAACATTGAAAGAGTTCGAATTGTCGATAATTTTGAGTAGGTATATTTTAGTATTTGTTCTCATGCACTGAAGATTTATGATCTTATAAACGAGCATTACCTCTCTACAACTCTTGTTGCCCAGTTCAGCAAAGACTAGAATCTTGTGTTTGAGGAGCGTGTCAAGTTCGTCATGGATTTCTAAAATAGAAAATGACGATTACCAATAATATACCATTTCAATTGAATTTGTTTTTTCAATATGATTTCATTTATTAGTAACTATTTAACATGTGAAGCAGTTTATTTCCATGTAGATCTTTTATGTTCATGAGTGAAATTGTGAACAAAGCCTAAATTTTTCACACAGATTGTTTACTTCCATCATTCCCTTTGAGTAAATTTTTAATCATCAATTTTGGTTAAATTGTGTCTTATTTCTTTAAAGTACTTACTTCTGTAGCTTCTTGTTTTCGTCATTTTTATCAACACAGATTGGGAGCAAGCTTCAGTGAACAGAAAACTTCCTCAAATAACACGAGAAGGTTGAATCTTTGAAATATATTGTATGACCTCCAATATCTTAACCTTATCTCCGAGAAATGTATATAAACACTTTTTGCTCGTGAATGCTTTGTAAACCTACTAAATGATAGTGACATTGTTTGTTTCCATTGTTTAAACTCACTCTGTGAGTAATGAGCAATCAGAGCACATCTGTTGTATTGCTATAGTTCTATTGACAACAGCTATCATTTGACAGAAACGATCTACGTGATCTTATTCAATCCTACATTTATGAAGGTTTAATTTTTCATGGATACTTTACAATATTATTGCTCTGCAAACGTACTGAATGATAGTGACATCGTTTTGTTTCCATTGTTTAAACTCTCCCTGTGAGTAATGACCAATCAGAGCACATCTGTTGTATTGTAATAGTTCTATTGACAAAGGCTATCATTTGACAGAAACGATCCACGTGATCTTATTCAATCCTACATTTATGAAGGTTTACAATTCCATGGATACTTTACAATGTTATTGCTCTGCAAACGTACTAAATGACAGTGACATCGTTTTGTTTCCATTGTTTAAACTCTCCCCGTGAGTAATGAGCAATCAGAGCACATCTGTTGTACGTGATCTTTTTCAATCCTACTTTTATGAAGGTTTACATTTCCATGGATACTTTACAATATTATCTTGAATCAATGTTATGTACAAGCATAATAAATACGATATTTGCGTGCAGTTCAGAATATTCTCGAAACACCCCGAGTGGAGGGGTGCCATGACACACACGATTCTTTAAACATTCACATAAAACAAGAGAGCAATGCTGAAATATATAGACACGAAGCCAAAACGTACTTCAAACTTCGCGACTAACGCAAACATAACCGCCACAAAGCGCGCATTTTGATGACGTCATCGCGCACACACAACAAAACGAATCCCATAGATATACTTAAGAGCCCACAAAATGTTTTGAAATAAATTTAAGTAATAACATTTCAGGTAAATTTCGATCTTTAACAACTGAAAATTTCAAAGCAATTGATCCGACAGTTAATGGAATACCAATATGCATAAGAACAACATCTACAGCATAAAAACAAAACCATCAATACGTACCTTCCTTATAGGTTATAGGCAAACTACCGATGTAAATGAAGGATTTATTTGACGAATACCTTCAGTAGGCTTTATCATGACACGCGAAACGCTTATTAATTGAATTGTGGTAAGAGGCGAACAAGCTGAGGCTGTACTTTATGATGCAATAATCTTTTTAGCGTTTGCTTCTTACATTTAACCAGCTTATATCATTTGAATGATATTTGAAAGATGATTAAAAAAAAGTATATACATATATATATTATATACACCGCGGGTATTGCTTGCGAACGAAATTATATGTAACAAAAAATAAATACGTAACTAAATGTAACTTAACTAACTTAACTTTAAGTTTTTTCACGCCTAATATTTTGGATATTTGATGCAACCATCGAATATATTTTCTTCTACTAATTTTATTCATTCTTCGGCTCATTATTATCATTTAATCACAATTTAGTATGTAGCTCCTCAAAATTTAAATAAATAAAAACATCTGAAACGAACTCAAACACTGCCATTCCATTATTACTATGAACGTTTCAATTTTGAACTTGCAGTGTTACATTTCAATTTGGCATCGCTGTTTTGCAGAACAACTCCCAAGAGATAGTTGATTAATGAACGTGACTTTGGTACCGAAATACGGGAATCCCCGGTATAAAGATAGTAGTAGTATTCCAAAATGATGAATAATTGAAATTTAGGAAAGAAATGACTGGAAGCATCTGGCGCTAGATGCTTCCAGTCACTTCCTTCCGTTTCTTTAATAGCCTTCGCTGCTGCCTTGGTTTTTATCACATTCCTTGTCTTTTCGGTAGTTCCTTGGTAACTCCATCAGCAACAGTCCGTCGCATGTTCTTTTTTATCCAATGTTGGTTCATGGTTGCAGATGAATGTAATAGTGATTCGTTCAATATATTAACCATTCGATATTATTTCGGGAACAATTTCTCAATTTTTCGGAATTTGACCGTGGGATTACTTGTCTATTCTGCTTGGAATTTAGTAGTTACATTGTATGATACTAATAATTTTAGCTACGAGCGTTTTTCCTGCCATGTGGCTATACTAGAACAATCCACCGTCTGATGAAACCACCACGACAGAGCTACAACAAAAACAGCCGATGAATATGCCATTTTTATTTATTTGTGTTTGGAATTTATCCCTTCGTGAACAGACTTACTTTCAAAATATCAAAAACTGCGTCTAAATGGTCCGTAAGAAATTAATTTTTGCCGATGAGATTGTCAAAATATTAATTTTTTGATTGAGTTAAAATACGCAATTGTTTTGAATAAGTTTGAGCAAGAAGCGAAAACAAAATAACCGCAGCAATTGTGTAAAGTATCGTTGAATCAACTGCGTTTTCTTGTAAAAACTGATCAGTCAAATAAAACTCTACAGACCACTTCTTCAGAATATCGTTGTTCAGCTTTATATGATTTATTACGTTAAAATGTATTTATATTAAAATAGAATATCAATACTATACCACTTTTTTTCTTTTGTAGGCACAGAAATCGCCTAGACTCTGAACGTAACACGGGAATCCCCGAAATTTAGTAGTTTTATTACAAAATGATGAATAACTGAGATTTTAAGTTTTGTTGTTATCCGATGTTGGTTGATGGTTGCAAATGAATATAGTAGTGAATGGTTCAATTGGCAGTCATCTAAATTGGCAAATTTACTGAAGGAGATAACGCGTAATGAACTACCAGCGTTGGGAACATTTTGCTGACAACGATTTCCAAACATCATTGCTTCATAGATCGTTTTTTTTTTCAGTAGTGGATTCAAACGAATAAATTGGAATTGATTGAAAAACATCGCCCAGGTGACTTCATAGCTTATGTAGATTTACTGTGTGCGTTGACAAAAGTACCGTTTGACAAACATTCTTGGGAAATCGAAATATATATATAAATGTATAAGCAATGTTGAGTGTATTGTAAGGTTGCAAGAAAGTTAAGTCAGTATCAGCTCAATACTAAAAACCCATCTATGTGAATCCGAGTGCATGGATATTCAGTTGATTGGAAAAGAAAACCAGTTCTGACAAAAGACTTCGTGTGATACACTGTTAAAAACGCATAAAGCTCATCTTAATAATTATATTTCCAGTGCTCTTTATTCACATAACTGGCAATAACAAAACTACACTACGGGTCCAGATAGTTATTAACGAAATGCCATTAACAAAATGGTTTTGTATAGATACTGAATACGTAAGATCGTTTTCTTTTTTTATAAGGCATAGTCGTTTTAATACTTTTTATACCACTTTTACTGTGAATTCCATAAACCATAAGTGTGAGCACCAGTTTTTGACAATATTTTTCAACCCTGACAACCAGTGAAATCTTTCTGTTTGACGCTTCTAAAAACTTACAAATTACTAAAATTACATTTATCGTAATATTTTCGAAACATTGATGTATATTCACTTCTTGTATTGTTGTCTAGTGGTTGCAGAGTTCGCTTGAAATTTTTTTATTACCTCAATTTAAATAAAAAAGTATTCAATTCCTATGGATGAGCAGATGCTCGTACTGAAAAGGTATCTAATTTCTACTACCACAACAATGCAAAGACATCATTGAAATATATATTATAAAAAACACGCTTGCTATTGTATACTGATATTCTGAGAATTCATATTCTTTAATGTTCATATATATTATGTACATATACTGGTCAGACGTTCTTACTGATCCTCGTTTACGTAATTTTCAGCACAACTGAATGCTTTCAGCTTTTGTTTAGCTTCTGGATCTTTGTTTGTTACGAGATCTTCGACGAGGTTTTGCTTGATCTCGTGAGCAATATTTGTCACTTCCATGATCACGTGATGCATACCAGCTAAACAAACAAATTAGTTAAAATAAGCCATCAGGTGTATGTAAATGGAAAAAGTGTGCATACAAAAAAGTATATATATATATATATATGTGTGTGTGAACCTATGATAGTATTTTTAGAATCTTTCCGGTTCGACCATGGCCATCCAAATTACTACAATTAAGTGACTTAATGTTAAATATTCATCAATTAACAACCTTGATACAGATCGGATAGTAAAGATGACATAAAAGGTTTTGCTCAATTCTCATGGAGTTAAGAAATTATACCTTTTCATATGCAGTAATATATTGAGTCAATGATAACAATAAAACAGACCTTCTAAGCAGTGTTTCAGAAAGGATCTGTTCAAATCAATTCGTGTTTTACTATATCCTCTGTAAAACTGCGAAACTGCTGTTATTCCGCCTATCAGACGAACGTTGTAATCACGAAGATCTGAGCAGTTGCGAATCAAAGAAATTGCTTCAAAAAAAGTCTCTCCAAATTCATTGGCTCCAGGTTGGCTGTTGATAGGTGTACGAGTCACTACGGGATCCAAAATCACTTCATTAGGATGAAATCCGACGGTTTCCACGAGCAGTTTAAACATTTCGATGCAAAGATTTGCCTTTTTCTCTGGAGTTCTGGCCTTTGTAAAAATATTTATTGGATTGCTAGATATCCCCTCTTTAAATAAGAACTTGATAAGAACATTTTGATATGAACAATTTGTTTCATTTTTGCTGAATTAGGTCAACGCTAAATAATCGCACGGATAGAATCATTGTTCGTCATCTAAATACTTTTGTTTCCGAATACCCACTAAATCAGTTAGAAGAGATTACAGCAATTCGCTAAAACCCTTTTCTTTCTTGACGTTTCATTATCACTTGCGGGAGCTTTACACGGGTTTTTCTTTAGGAAATTAAAATAATTCAATCATACTAATTTGCCGGCACTTACCGGCGCCTCTTTATAGTCCTGTGCAAAGGCTATTATTGCTCCAGGACCAAGTCTCTTGATGACCCTCGCATCTTGTATAAATTGCTCTTTGCCATTGTAAAAGGAAAGATAATTAGCAATTGCTCTTCCACGTGCATACTTCAGACCTTCCAATATGACTTCAGTCTTCCCGGAGTTGATGCACAATGGCATAGAACAGATCGGTAGGGTCGATTTTTTGTCTCCATAATCTGACTCGACCAAATTTATGAACCATTTCATCCACTCAGATGGCATGGGCAATTCTTTCCTTGAGATGTAGCTGATCGGATCAAACAATAGATTTATGACCTGTTCAACAATGCATTTAGTTTAAAAAATAAAATTCTGCTAAATATGTTTACCAAGCTATGAAGTCTAAAAATTTGGTTGATCTTGTGATCTGTTTTACCACAATTGAGAGTGCGCAATTTTGAATTTGCTTATATGAATTAGCTACATATATGTATTCGATAAATAAGAACAAATTTATATGGCAGTGAAATAGTTTTTACAGTTTACTTTTCATTTTGACTATGTATAATTCTTGTGTACAAATTTCCAAATGTAAATACGAGTACTGCGTACATCAGCTCCCATTGCAATCTGACTTCTCGCGATTTCTAATGCTTTGTCCTGCTCAACTTGAATGCTTGCTAGGCGTTGCAGATTGTTTTCGAATATATCAGGATTTCTTTGAAGTGTATTCGCCAAGCGCCTCGATAGTTGAAGCAAACCATGGAAAGCGTATATAAAGGAGTTGCCCTGGAATATTTGAATAGGCAAACTGAAAATATTGGTCAGTAAGAAAGCATTTAATTACAACTGAATATTTTGGCCATGTATCAGTATATCTATTCATTTTATCAAAATGATTTTTCCATCTTAACCTTGTATAAAACGTTTTCGTCTTTTTGAATTAACGTATCACCTCTGGTGCTAGAACTGGTTTTTCGTCTCCAATATCTTTGCAGATTTCATCGTTCAGTTCGGCAATTTTAAGAATTATTTCTCTGAACTTTGCTATATTGGCAATGTCGCATCTTTGTCCGATTATCAAAAAATTTCTTATTTCACTGGAAAAACCTTCGTCCACATTTCCTTTTCCCGATTTGCCAATAGTCTTACGTAGTACATTGGATCCAGACAACAGGAGCGCCTGAATATAATAGATACGTGACAAAAATACATATTTAGACGGCATTAAAAATTAATTTTAAAAGCAGTAATTTTTTACCTTGTCAAATTACCTAAAGTAATATTTTATTATATTGTCACTAAAAACAATCTACAAAATTAAGGCTGTTGATATGCAATATTTCTAAACAAATACTACTGTTACTTTTTGGACACGAAATGGACATAGCGATCGTTTCAATATTAGAATTAATCGCAAAATTCCTATGTGGTTTGTTACATCAGGGTATTGGCGATTGACTAGCTTTATTAAGAATGCGTATACTAAAGTGGATTAAATGGTTTTTTGAGTTTCAGAAAAGTTTATCTCTCTTGTTCTTGTTGTTTGACACGTTTTTAAGAAATTGCTTTTCTCTTCGATTACTGGACAAATTGCTTCGAAATTTTCAGTGGTTGAAGATAAAATTGTTCTTCAGCAGGCTATTACTTTTATTCATTTTAAAATTTTCTGTGGACTTCAAGAGATTTGTTTTTTGTGTTCGAAGAAGTGATCATAATAAAATTAGCGACACCTTGTGACAATTGCGGCGAAAGCATATCAGCTGAGAAGCGAACGTAAATCGTGCTCCGCTACAGCGCTAAGAGTTGTTTATGGGGAATGGAGATGTTTGGGGTTTCCGGTACCGGTACCCGCAATGCACAATGCAACGGTTTGCGATTACTTCTTAGCTAGTTGACTGATACAGTAATACCGGTATGCGGTTTCCAGCTTATTGAAAATTGGTGTCACCGTAAGCTGTTACCCGGTACCGGTAAGTGCCGAACACTGGAATATATCTAATGTCAGAATGCCTGGTACCGGTGGTGAAATGAATTTCCCTTACCAGGTTTGGCTACTTCGCACAAAAACCAAAATTTGTACCGGCATCCGAACATCGGAATATATGAAATGTCGGAATGCCTGGTAGCGGTAGTGGAAATAATTTCATTCACCACATTTGCCTACTTCGGACAAAAACTAAAATTGGCATACCGGTATCCTTGCCTGACAAAATTTTGAACTAGATAAATATTTAAATCATACAGGTATAACTTTGCAAATGCTGATACTGTGTTATGTCAGTATGTGCAAATCAATCAAATGTCAGAATGCCTGGTACCGGTATCGGTACCGGTAGTCTGGTAATGAAATGAATTTCATTCACCAGATTTACCTACTTCGGACTAAAACTAGGGTGGTGTAGCCAGTCTGCGGACAATTTCATTCAAACCGCTATAAAACAAAAACCAATATTTTTTCTAACCCGTTGATTTTTTCACCGTCGGTGCATTGGCATTTATTCTACACGCTAAACCTCGAATTACCTCTCTACGGCCAGGGGTTAAAGCTATACCAACCAACGTACGACACTCATAAGACGTATTTGCGACCAGTGTGCGACCACGGATTTCAAGCCTTGAACATCGTTTCTGCTGTGTCGAGAATTGCATTTCTGACCGTCATACATTTTAAGAACACGGTTATTTCTGTATTTCGAACAAAACTCGTCAAATTATAAACAAAGCACCGCATCACAGCAATCAAACAGACAAAAACACGATGGTCGCAAATTGGTCGACAAAGATAATATCGACGTATTGGAAATGCGCACCCCCCTATTCCCCCCCTCCTGACTAATTGCTTTAAAATTTTCAGTGGTTAAAGATGGATTTTTCGTGTCCATATATTTGAGCATAGCTCTCTTGTTATTATTGCAGTGATAAAAATTGTTAACCTTGCAATCGAGACTTCTTTCAGATTGTTCTGGTGTTTCCTTTCGCTTTGCACTTTCGACACATTGCTTCATTTCTTCAACGGTACATTCGTCATGTAGAATCATTATATGCGCCCAATTCTACAGAAAATATTAGGATAAATTATTAACAGTCAGGTACAGGACAATGCTAATCTTTGTATTGATTTCTTGGTTGATTCACTTGAATTATATTTAATATTGCTTATATTTCAACATACCTCAAGTATGCCAGATCCAGTGATTTTGAGACTTGAGTAGACGTCTGAGACGTATGGTGACTTCAAATATGATACAATATGTTTTTGTTCGTTGCATTCTACCCCAATACAGAAATTTATAAAATGTCTCATAATTGCGTATTATTAATTGATATCATGGAAAAATGATAATCACACTATATAATATGACGATTAAGTGACTCGTCGTTAATTAAGTTAACAAAAATCCCGATTTTCCAAGTTCCATATGCAATAAATTAAATAGAATGTACAGAAAATATGCATTCATCAATGCATAACCATGCAGGGCCTTGTAAAAATCCTAGGTACTCCCGTAGTATATGTTAGCCAAAATGCCGGACACCGGAACGTAGTATGTGTAGAAGGTTAGGGTTAGGCCATAATTTCAGGTACAAGTACTACAGTAGTCACTTAGCTAGTCCCCGAACTCGTAATAAAACTATGCCATCTCGTCCGCCATCTTGGCCCACATAATATGGGAGTGCCAAGTTTTATTGTGACGAGATTACAATGCATGTATGGCGTATTGTATTTAAATTAGGTAGCTCTACGAAATCACTGACGTGCAGTATAGATTTGGTAGTGATATTCCTCAATATCTGAAAACCGACTATTTGAGCTAAACTGTGTGAATACCTCAAGGGATTTGCATAACGAACGCTTCCACTAAAGGCGTCCACAGTCTGACCACATTTCAAACGTCCATTTTCTTCGACTAAGCATGATATTATCAGTGGTATATCTTTGACTTGTTTTTCTGTCTCCTTGAATGTTTCAAGAGCAAAAATTGCCGCCTGAGTTCAAAATATAAAAGCAGTATAAGTAATTCATTTGTGTTTGATATATTTTACAATGATATAATTGCATCATATAAGAGCAAAAGCGCTATGCCTCCATCGTTTGTGACCAAAAACAGATAGCGAAGAAAGCAAATTAATTATTACCTCATTAACGCGAGAGATCGGTGCAATTTAATGAGCTAATGAGTGTCGTAACGAAAAAGATTTTTTTTGCTAACATATAGCTAGTGCACCACTCACTCGTAAGCACAAGTATTTATTACTTAAAATGTCTAAATATAAGCAACACTCAAATATTTTTAATAGCATTGAAAGAATAAAATGACCCATATGCTCCGAAAAAATAGAGAATTATTCAAAAATTTTCATGTAAAAATGTAAGAAATTACTCTTGCAATCCTTGTGTCCTGTATTGAATCAAGAATCAACAAATCTACTACAGCAAAATCAAGTTCTTCTAAAACATCAGTCACCTTATTTGCTGCGAGGTCAAAATCTAAACAAATATGAAACTGTAACTGATATCTTAAATTTGTCATTGACTCATTGGTATTCAGAGCATGTGACTTCTTTATCAAACGTTTGAATTGAATGGTCCATCTACGCAATTCTTCATCTTTTTTTTTCTTATTTGGTCACAGTGGCCTCCAAAAGGATAAAATTCGAATTACAATGATATGCTTGTCAAAAGTGACGGCAAAAAGATAAACAACATTACTCTTCTCCACCTTTAAGCTCTATCCTTAATCATACTGTGACTTTAGTTTTTGGCATCTGTTTTTTTTTTCTTCCCATTTCTCATAGAGTGGGAATAAACTTAATGTATCCATGAATATGCATTGTGAATAAATTTCAAATGAATACTCTGATGCCGAGCAAGAGTCAGAAGCTCATAAGATTTGTATGCTCAAAAAGCGCTAAAGTAGTATGTCGTCGTAACAGTTTGCAATAAATTAGGAATTCGAAATCTACACAACTCCTTTTAGCAGTAGTTTGAACAAATAAATTGAACATTAGAATTGATTTATTTTTAATATCTTGCTTCTCTGACTCTCCCCATGTAGCACAAATAGTAAGAGATTAACATTGAATTTTGAAAACTTTTTGTCGTGTAATATCATTTTTGTACCAAGATGGGTATTTTGTACTGAGTGAGCTTTTCAATCGCTGTCCATGGAAAATGGTGTAAGAGTTTAAAAAAAAACACTGATTGATTTGAGAATTGCTTTTGACTCACTCAAAATGTATGGCGATTTGTACTTTTGTAAGACTAAATATATATTGATACTTTAAACTGTATAAATTTGTGTAGGCACAGGTTGATATATTATTCAAGTTTTTGAGTAGCCATACTTACTAAACTCGCCCTCGCAGATATCATTACTCAGGTTCAGTTTCGCTGCAATGAAAACCTTTTCTTGCTGCTTATCATTGCTGGAGGCTAAAATACAACATATACTTTTTGATGGCTACCTCGTCGTAATAGAAAGACATAACATCTGACAACAATTTACGACAATTACTAACTTTTAAGATATTGAAAATTTGGATTATTTTATATCTATAAAACATTACACGATTTGGAATAAAACCAACAAAAAAGAAAATAAATTAGGATGATGTTTATTAGACCATATCAACTTATATATCTTTATTTGAATAGTGTCATTAATAGAATAATGGCGGCAGCGTTGACCTACATTGTACAGCAGCGGATGTATCTTTAAACAATTGTCGCATTTCGTTCCAGTTCTGGTTTGCATCGCAACTCACTCTTGCAATAACAGCATTCGCACCAGCTTCAATGCACTAAACAAAACATTCCCTAATATAATTTAATAAATATCACATGACTTACAGGTATATTTCGTTAATAAATTATACATAGTTTTATGGAAAGACTATTAAGATAAGATACTTCTAATAACACCCACTTCGTTTACTTTCGCAGCTACTCTTTTTAAAAAGTTCTTGATTCAGATCGAGCATTAAATAGTGGAGTTAAAGTGTTCTTTTCAAATTTTGCTCAGTGGAGAGTTGAGTTGAATTCGGAGTTGGGCAAATTTCATAGTGAAGAATTAGAATTGCAATTTTAAGTTTTAAATAGTATTATAGTTGAAAAATTTCACACAAAAAATAAAAAGGCTCGAAATCATAAAAGTCATGTTGGTCAAAATTTTGTTACTCGGGGCAAGAATTAGAATGTGAAAAATTTGTCAATTAAAAATCAGATATAAAGTCAGTTTTATGAATGAATCGAAGTCACGTGTAAATTTCTTCCTACTTCTCACACCGCAGGTAGTCATGAAAGAAGTTGAACATTGAAAAAGTTCAAATTGTCGATAATTTTGAGTATATATATATTTTAATATTTGCTCTCATGCACTGAAGATTTATGATCTTATAAACGAGCATTACCTCTTTACAACTCTTGTTGCCCAGTTCAGCAAATACCAGAATCTTGCGTTTGAGCAATTTGTCAAGTTCATCATGAATTTCTAAAATAGATAATGACGATTCACACTAATATTCGATTTCAATTGAATTTATTTTTGCGATATAATTTCCTTTATTAAAAACTATTTAATATAAACCAGTTTATTCCTAAGTCGATCTTCCATGTTCATGCGTGAAATTGTTAACAAATCTTAATTTTTCGATTAGTTCCATATGAGATTGACACACAGATTGTTTACTCCCATCAATCTCTAAGAGTAAATTTTAATCATCAATTTTTGTTGGCTTATTTCTACAAAGTAATTACTTTTGTAGCTTCTCGTCTTTGTCATATTCATCAACGCAGATCGGCAGCAAGCTACAGCGAACAGAAAACTTTCTCAAATGACACGAGAAGATTATTTCCTTGAAATATATTGTTTGACCTCCAGTACATCAACCTGAAACTTTTTGTAAATACTCTGTAAACGTACTAAATGACATCAACACGATCGAACCAAGCATAAAATTTATCATAGAAAAAGAAGTCAATGGGACAATAGCCATCTTAGATGTCCAGATACAGAGGGAAGGAAATGAAGAATTGACGACTGATATATTTAGGAAAAAGACCCATACTAATCGCTATCTTAATTTTAATTCCAGCCACCCGGTTAACCATAAACGTTCAGTGGTTAGTAGTCTTATGAATCGTGCCAAAACCTTTATATCCGGATGAAACAAAGCAGAAACAAGAAATAAATTTCAAGAAGACTTTACGACAAAATGGATATCCAACGAAAATGTTCAGAAATCATGTAAATCTCCAAAAACTGCCTGATAAACCCCAACCAATCGCATCTACCACCATTCCGTATGTCCAAGGACTAAAAAAAAAATCGAAGAATTTTGGAAAACGTTAAAATCAGAGTAAGTTTTAAACCCCAAAACACTATCGGCCAATTGCTCTCCAACGTCAAAGACCGCCCATGCCCTAAACAAAAAAACGGAGTTGTATATTATGCAATCCCATGCAGCGACTATTCTTCAGTCTACATTGGGGAAACCAAAAGAAGCCTTGAAACTCGCAGCAAGGAACATCTACGAGATATTGAACAAAAGAAAATTGACCAGTCGGCTCTTTCGAAGCAGGCCCTTCCTAAAAACCATAGCATCGACTGGGAAAACAGAAGGATACTAGAAAAAAAACTCAATACAGGAGAAGACTATTTCTCGAATCGTATTACATAAATAAAGAGAAGAATTCGATATGAATGACAAAGAAAACACACTGTTCCCGCCTGTGTATAAATCATTGTTTAAATAGTCCCCTTTTTGTTTGAACTTGCGCTAATTTGTTTATTTATATATATTATCTTATCATCATCTCTTTAGATTAGAGTTGACGCCATGATAATTTTTTCTTTTTCTTGCTATATATATATCCACTTGTGTCCTTTCCATATCATGCCCTGATGAAGTTTTTCTGTATAGAAATTCGAAACGTCGGCAAATTACATCGATTTTGCTAACACCGGTTGTGCTTCATTTATTATCAGTACTAAATGATAGTTGCATTGTTTTGTTTCCATTGTTTGTACTCTCCATGTGCGTAATGAGCAATTTTTTTAAGAGTTATAGCTTGGTCACTGTTAAGTTATTTTGTCACGATGTGAACGATTCGCATAGTCCACAGAATTTTTTAAAATAAATAGAAGTAATAGCATTCTAGCGAAAAATACAATTTTTGACCACTGAAAATTTTAATGCAATTGGTCAGGCAGGTAATGGAATACTTAAAAGCATAAGAGGAAAAACAACAACTACAACATAAAAACAAAACGATCAATATATATGTACATTTCGTGTCCAATGAGAAATACAGTTATAGGCAAACTAACGATGTAAATAAAGTAAGTACTGAGCGAATACCGTCAGTAGACTTTATCATGACAAGCGAAGCGCTTGGAAATTAAATTGTGGTGAGAGGCAAACAAGCTAAGGCAGTACTTTATGATACAATAATCTTTTTAACATTTGTCGACGGTTCCTAACTTTATTTCGTACATTTAAACAGAATATATCATTTGAATGATATGTAAAGGTCAATATGAAAATATATATATATATACACCGGGCATTGTTTGTAAAGGAAATTACATGTAACAAAAAATAAATACGTAACTAAATGTAACTTATCTATTAGTTGGAGTTACGCAAGACTAAATGCCTTTCCTCTATGCGTTTGCACAAGTGGATTCGTATGCGTATAATGCTGCAGCTAGGATGAAGATGATTTCAATTTGGTTCAATAGTCTTGCAGCACACTAACACCCATGTATCAATCACGAAAACTGACAATCACATTTCGAGCATAGAATCTATAAAAGTACTTAAAGGGTCAGCCGAAATCCATGTCTGCTTCAACCACAATAGTGGCCATTGTTTATTCCTTACAGTTGCTTAATTGCATTTAAAAAAAATTAAAGCATTTATTTACATACAAAGCTCGTTGCAGTGTTTGTTCCGCAGAATCAAATTTTGAAAAGATTTGATCATAAACAAATTAGAAATGAAGATTATTTGACACGCTGTAGTGTCTGCTTTTCTGAAGAAGTGTTACCTCGGTCGGACGAAACGTTATATAAATACATTTGTGTTAGTGTGCAGCGAGATTATCGAATCAAATTAATGTAACAAAAAAACAAGTTTTTTCTTGTTTAATATATTGGGTATTTGATGCATTCATCGATTCTTTTTCTACTAATTTTATTTATTCTTTGGCTCAATATTATCATTTAATCACTATTTATTATGTAGTTCCTCATAATTTGAAGAAATATAAACTTTGAAACGAGCTCAAAACCTTTCAAAACTATCTGTTCTTCATCCTCATATAATTTATATTATAAGGGAGTATCAATACAATTTCACTGACACGGAAATTGCCTATCTCTGAACTTACATTGTTATATTTCAATTTGGCATCGCTGTTTTGCAGAACAACTCCTAAGAGACCGTTGAATAATGAACGTGACTTTGGTAGCGAAATACGGGAATACCCGGTTTTAAGAAAGTAGTTTTATTACAAAATGATGAATAATTGAAATTTTAGGTTTTCATTTTATCCAATGCGGGTTGATGGTTGCAAATGAATATAGTAGTGAATGTCTCGATATTAAAACCATACGATGTTTTATTGAATGCAATTTTTTTGGTAGTCGACCGTGGCAGTATTTGTTTGTTTTCCTTAGAAGTTAGTATTTACATTGTATACTATTAACCTTGGTAACAAAAGTTTTCTTGCCATGTGGTTACCAGAACAATCCATCCCTTATTGGCTAACGTAAGAGTGACATCTTTTACAGTAGTACTAATCGCTGTAACGCGATCGAAAACAAAACCAATTGTCTTAAAAGTTGCCAGACTGGCAGACCGATGCATGAGGTCTTGTGAGGCAGCAGCTGGTAAAATATCGTGAAATGTATTAAATATTGCAAATCTCTTAATTCTCTGTCAGAGAACGCGTCAATATCAAGCATAGACAGAATAGATACAACAGATTCCATGTCGTCTAACTCTAAACCACAATAAGCACTATTGTTTTGTTTTTTTACGGTTGCCAAATTGTTGACAATATTTTATTTGAGTTTGTGCAATATACCAGATTTGAAAACTTTGAAGCCTTCTTCCATATTTCAGCACGAGCTACAGCATTTACTTATGTGCACGGCTCAGTCAGGTAGGCAGACGATTGTTCCATAGAAGAAAAAAATGAGAAATGATTTAGCCATGTATGTATGAAATGAAGATTATTCACGCTGCAACGGGTTCTCCCGAAGTATGCGCACAAAGATGTCGCTTAACATGAACCCTAACCTGGTACACAACCTGAGTTCAGGTGGTGCGCCATCTTGGTGCGCATACTTCAGGAGGTCCATGGAACGTTAATTTAATTCAACATAAATAAAAGTTGAGTTCACTGAACTAGCAAGCGACAAGTTAATGCAGTCAGATGCTTTGTCAATTTGAATAATGTTCTTCAAAAACGGCCAAACATCAGTAACTAAAATTAGGAAAAATACTGAAATTGACTTCATTGAACACATTTCCACGTACGAAGTGTTTTTATTTTATTTTTTTAAGTATTCGAATTGACAATGCTAGTCGCGCTAACCTGCAGCTCGATGGTTCAGATTCAAGTCTCCTATCTTTAGAATTTGATAGCAAAGTAGATATAAGGACAACGCCTGGTCTACACAAGAATAAGCGACAACTAAAAAAGCTTACCTGTTTATGACACCCAGAATCCACACAAGGCTTCACATGATATACGGTTGTACTAGATCATATGAACATGAATTAAAGGGATCTGCACTCGCAACACGGACCCACCTGCTTTGGATATTTTGTCATGAAATAAAGGCAATGACGCTAATATAACAATCAAAGAAATAACGGAACAGCACGTGACGACGCAAAGCTATGAAAAGTAAAAAGATATCATTTTGAAAATATAATCCAAATTCTAAAATAAGGAGAAACATATAGTGGGCAAATACATATCTTGAAAGCCATAGTACGGCAACAAGAATTAGGTCGACTCTCTTTCAGCCTCTAGCGGTAGTGCTCGAACAAAATACATCTGCGATTACTTCTGTAGTTTTGACGTGAACGTCACAAAAGATGGACCTTAGAGTATGATTACAGAACCGTGTGCTAACATGTGCAACGAATACTGTTTATAAACATTGTACCTCATTTATGCCAAATTTACCTCGAAATTAAAATACGCTGGAAATAATGAGTTTTATACATTTACTGAATGCTGATTTGGAATCACGTCCTTGACACTGTTGCCGTATGGTACGCGGTTGTTTCCCTGCGACTTCGCGCGTGTCGGGACTGTGTTCTCCAACTTCATTCCAAGTTTCTAATTAAAACAAGTGAAATTTTGGCTGTGTATTGTATTTTTCAATTAAAACTGCAACGATAAAATCTATGATATATATAAAGATGGCGATAAACATTAAAATGACTTTACTCCGGATTGAGTCGGAAAACTTATCTTTGCGGTTGAGTTTTTGATGGTCCGAAGGTTGAAAGTAGATTGACCGAATATTGGAACCGAATAATCAAATCGTTGGCAACACGTGGCGCGACCAATCAACGGCCAGTACGACACAGGCCTAGGTGTCGCTATAACACCAAAAATGAAATATTTCGATAAATTTGATTACTCCCAGATTCCATCTGCCTAGAGAAAACAAAATCGTTTCATACCAATTTATAACTAGTTGTCTAATTATGGAAGCTCTGACTGTTTATTTATCCGTATTGACTAAATAATTCAAGATTTGGAAAAATTAGTTTGTAATTGAACTAACCACGCCATGGTTAGAAGCATCGGCTAACTTATTTGTTAATAATCCGTATATCTCCGAAATCTTATATTCGAATACATATCCTTTAGACCAATGTAACCGGACCAGTCTTAATTGATGAGAAGCAAAATGAAGCGAGACAGTACAATGCATCACCTGTTGTTTGAATGGTTCATGGAACAACTACTAGCCTACTATCGGAAGCGACATTCTTCCGCATCAAGGATTGCAAATGACCGGGATTATTTATTATTTTTCAGCATGCGCGTGCAACTCCTCGTCAATGACAAGTTTGATTGCTCATGATCGACTATGTTTTTTTAAAAACTGTCCAATCGAGTGCGTAATTTTGGATTTTCCCAAAATAAATGTGTAATCGTGTACATCGTTCTACATCTGAATAATTACATAATCGTGCACGTTCTACTAACTTTTCGTAGATAGGTGTTTAATCGTGATCCCTGTTTTAACTTTTCCTAAATAACTGTCTAATTGTGTACGCTTTTCTATTTACGATGAAGGAACATGCATAAGATATCCAATCATTCGTGATCTCGCAAAAATTTGCTTAGTCTTGACTGTACTTGGCCGTTTCAACGGGTCACAAGTTTATACACAACATTCGGGGCTCCCGAAGTATGCGAACCAAGATGGCGGACATCGGAATGTAATATGTGTACTAGGTTAGGGTTAGGCCATAATTTTAGGTATAAATACTATGGGAGGCTCTTGGCTAGTCTTCGAACTGATAATAGGACTAAAATAAGGAAAATTGGAAAAAAATTACCGCCTAACCCTAACCTGTTACCCATGTTACGTTCCGATGTCCGCCATCTTGGTTCGCATACTTCGGGAGCACCCAACATTCACATTAAACAGTGCATCCCGGATTTCCCATCCGCTTGTTTACGTTTTCTATTCACAGCTTTTCAGACTTTGCGTACTGCATTGTAAACAACTCTGGAGGCGTCCTAAATGTTATCCTTTTAAGTGTAATAATTACCTTTCATTGATCGGCATGGACGCTGCCGGCAATTCAGCGATTCTTCAATTTTAGACAGTGTATATTTGTTATTGTCTTCTATTTTATTGTTGATATTATGTTCGCCATCATATTACGATGCAAAAATTTGTTTGTATCTTATAGGGCTTTTGTTATATTCTCGATTTCGTATATTAGGTTGGAGCGGGCTATGCTGTATTTCATGTGGGTTTTTGGCACGTTCAAATTTGCATACTGTTTTTTACGCCTCCGTACTCCAATATCTAACGAATATGCGGACGTAATAAATACTGTTGGTATTCCAGTAATTTTGCCTCACGGGATAAAAGATCACGTAGACCCTTCGATCGCTTGTGGAAAATAAGTATATTTTTTCGTTATTTTCATGAACTGTACAAGATATTAATGTAAAGCATTATCTCATTCCATATCATGCCAATCCAATCCTGTTTCACCCCTTTTCACGGAAATCCCATTAAAATTTTAATAATAATATAATTCATCGCTCATTATAATATTAATTCATCACTCAACATCTTAACAGTACAGTTTTATTAATTAAGATCCAGAAACTAAAATTTGTCATTTTAATTAATGGAATCCAGCAATGAAATAGATAGAAAACTCAAATGAAAGAGATTACACCAGATATGTAATTACGGATCATTAAAGACAACCATCAAGGTCTTTTAAAGATCTAATTCTCAAATTTCATTACAAATGCGCATTAAGTTGAAGTTGGGCATTTTTGCATGAATTTCTAGCAACAGATGAAGAAATGTTAACTTTGGTGTGAAGCACCACCAAAAAGTGTAATCATAAAAACGCTATGTTTGTAAGAGGTGTCCCATCGCCACCACAGGGTATATCAGAAAGGGAAAATAAAATTCTTCTAAAAGATGAAAAGTATAAAAATGAATGGTATTCCTGACGTAATTAGGTTGCCATGTGAAATACTAATACATGATGTCCCCTTCCATCCGATGTCATGGGATTCCCAGCGGAATGACATTCTAATGCCAAAGCCTCCGAAACCAATTTTCATGGTCTATTTAAAGAATGAGTGTTATGCTGAGGAAACATGATACTTAAAATTTGAATAACCTCGCCCTAATACCTCACATTAGAGGTGCCTTGCGCATTCGGAGTCACTAGTACTTCAGTCTGGTAAATTATGAAAAAAAAATATACTAAAATATATACATATATGGAAGTCTGAGGTCACCTAAAATTTTGCCCAAATGTCCAAAATGAATTGTTTTTTTTTTCCAATGACAACAACAACAGTTTAGCAAAACGATATCTCTGTGCTCATTCGTTTCCAACAATATTTAGATTGGACGGGACAAGATATGTAAAGTAATGTTGAGAATAATGTGGAGCGTAATCTGTTAAATTATTGCTCTTACAAGAATGTAATATTATGTAGAGCTCATAATAAATTTGAACATTTGAAATATCGCAATATACTGCGAATGAAAGTTTGAAAATTATATTTTATTTGATTTAGGAAGTTTCAGTATTTTTAAATTAATTGATTATGCATATAAGATTGCGATAGTCACGTTTCTAATTCTGAAACTTTCAAAATGAGCCCACTTCAAAAATAAAGTGTTGTTCAATTTAGTTTGTGCAAAGACACGAGTCACCGCTTCAATGTCATTACACCATTCCGTGTCAAGTTGTGAGCTGTTATAAACGCGCATCATTATTACTGTAATAATAATAACTTTTAACTCGTCAAAACGAGCTTTCGTTTCTGTCTTCGAATCGGCTCATTTAATGCTAGGTGGAATAAATCACTGTCATGCGTATCAAATTCCCCTATTTCGTCCTTTTTTTATTCCAAGCTGCCCTATATCGGTGGTTCCTAAACTGGGGGTAATTATCCCCGAAGGGGGAATTTGACATTTTCATGGGGTAAATCAGACGTTCATCGTCGTAACAATTTTTCATGTAATTTTTGTCTTTTTTCTGATCTGCGGAAAGCAGTGTGTGCAGTGTTCGCATCCGGTATATGAACATTGTTACATCTTAATGTATTCGGCCACGCGGTTAGCAGAGACATAATACAAAAGCTTTATTTTTGATTCAATGTCATTTAACCTATTGCTGTTGTCTTCTAGTATGATTTACTGCGATGACATTTAATAAAACAAAATATCGAAATAAGCTCATGATTGAGGATGATTTGATGTCTTTTGGCCACTCTGCACAGCTTAATATCGCAAAATGAGTGCAATCATTTCCATTGAGATGAAATCAGGACAATATTCGTATGTTTCTTATTATTTTTATTAAATTTGATAAATTGCGAGATGAAAATTTTATTTTTATGGAATTGGTAATTGATTATTCGATTTAGGGGTAACGAGATTAAAAATTGTGGGAACCACTATAGGGCCTATATGTTTAAATCAAGTTACTTGCCATGAATATATTTTAAGTTGTTGTTGAAGTTGCTAGATCGAATTTGTGTTATAGGATCACAAATTTTGGACTGATAGAGTAATGTCATTTTAACGTTCAAAAACGCGGGATTTGTTTTTTCAAAACATGAGCACGTCCGTTAGGCATCACAAAAATATTTTTTTTTTGAAAGTTTACTTGAAAATAAAAATACCGGAGACAAGTTTAATATGACGAAATCTAGACCAGTGATTCCCAAAGTGGGCGATATCGCCCCCTGGTGGGCGAAAACGATACAGAGGGGGCGAAAAAGTCGAAGGGGGCGATAGGGGGACGATTTCACGAAACCTGTTCTTGTTTGGAGCATCGTGCACCTAATTCTGTACTTTGTGTGCAGATTCGCAGGCTTGAATCACGTGGGCGATTATCACACGAGAAAGGATTGCCGGACTCGTCTTCGCAGTAATGTACAGTAGTTTGCGTATCGCTCGGCAAAATATGGCCGGAGTAGAATAATCTGACCTGGGACGATTCACTGAATGGACCTTTCCCCGACCTTTTACCGCGGAAAATTCTTTCTATACTTTACCATTTCAAAATTTTCGGTGCTTAGTTTAAGAGTGTTTCGCGAGTTGGTACCTGTAAAATGGGGTATTTGTTTCAAACTATCATTCTAATTCATACCATTCAACAATCTGTTGATTCGCACTCTCGTACTCACGAAAATAAAAAGGGCTTACTACTATAAAATATCACGGCAATCGGCGAATATAAATTTTCTGGTAGCCAGCTTCTAGGTAACGGTTATCCCATTGTTTATTCTATGCTAATTACGCCATACAATAAGATAAGCTTGAATTTATTTTCGAAGTATTCGGAATTTCTCATTCGAAAAAAATTTTTCCGAATGTATTCGAAATAGTGAATTATTCGGTAATGGCCATCCCTGGCTGATGGCAGGGGTTCAATTGCGCAGTAAATATTCGAATATATTGCAATGCAAAAAGGAAATAAAATTCGTATTCTATTGATCAAAAAAGTTCGGGAACCACTGATCTAGACGACATGGAAATAATCCATCAACTTCATTTAATGAAAATATAATTTATATAAAACAAATGAATATCATTTATATAGGAATATATGAATGAATATAATGGAATTGGCAAATATATACGCAAGAACAAACATTTTTACAGTCATCATCAAGTCAGCAACATCTGGATCGAATGTCAAGCAAACTTTTTTTTATATTCTCAACAAATTGGCAATGAATTTGAAGCGTAGGGGGGGTTTATAAATATTACTACCATCCCAACCACATACCTGCACAGTCATGACTTTTTATACATAATAAGGCTATCTGCGCAGCACATTGATCAACACGAAGGGGACAACTGGAACTCCTTGTGCACGTGTAAAATAATTTAGTCATTGGTTTATTGATCATCGACGAATTCGTAAGAATAAATTCGAATATCCCAATCTACATTGGAATTTTGCAATTATAATAATAAACATGAAATTTTGAAGATTATTACTCATCGGTTTCATTTCCGGTTGTATAGTGAAATAAGATCACTATTCCTAACAACTATGACTTAATTTATGCCCTGCGAATTCGAATCTTTGTAGCTGGTTTGCAAGTCGTCCAACCTGCAAATAACGGTCGATCCCAGTCTGCTTATAATGACAGTTTCACATGACTGTGAGATTGCCGTCGTAAACGTATTAAAAACGTATTAAAAAAAATATTTGAATTTATTTTGCGCAAGAAATTGAAATGGAACGACGGTTACGTTGCCTCTGGCTTTACCAAAGTTATTCGATGGCCTAGCTCTCTAGAACAGGGCTACTCAACTATTTTTATCGAAGGTCCGCAAACAAAACTTCAAAACTATTTGGGTCCGGTCTTTCCAGAAATGATATTTCGGCATCCTTAAACGAGCACTTCCTCGACCGACTAATGATTAGTAGCAAATTAAAATTGTTTATCATCGTGTTATAGTTTTTTTTGTATATATTCAAAACTATGAAAGTCATTTTATAATAGGAAATTCAAAAAGTGGGGCTATTGATCCAAAATAAAAAATTAGGTGCGGTCCAAATCCAATACTCGAAAGGTCCGGATGCGGACCGCGGTCCGCCAGTTGAGTAGCCCTGCTCTAGAATATGCGCAATGCGTCATAAATGGCCGGGACCACTGGTCTATCAATACCGTGAAACTCAGCAAATTTCATTTTATTGTTTTCGGCGGGTTAATGTGTATATTATTTTATGTATTTTCTACAATTTTGCGCAATTATACAACTGATAATACTTGATATTCATCGAATTTTGATACCCTTGTAAAGCAATAGGTGACCGTACATTTGAACCCACGTACATTTGAACCCATGCGTATATCCACGGGTTCAATCTATATGCGGGTGCTAAAACCCATGGGTTAGGGTTAGTATGGGTACAACTATCCGAAAAACAAAAAAAAATTCCATATGTGCAATAGCATACAAGTGCAATTGTCATGGGTTCAAATGTACGTGGGTTCAAATGTAATGGAACCGTATTTTCTACAATTTTGCGCAATTATACAACTGATAATACTTGATATTCGTCGAATTTTGATACCCTTGTAAAGCAATACACTATATAATCTACAAATCAGTTGGATAATTGATTTTTTCTATATATTATAAAGAATGAAATCAAGTAATATCAGATTGTAGTGACATAATGAATGGCAAGTTAACATTTCGAAACAGTATGTTTTATTGAATTTCATGCTGAAAATCACGAGGAAATGCTTCAGTAATTATACCCTAATGACGTAATACCGAAATGACTATTGACCAAAATCGAAACCATATGATGACATTTATTAAGGTTATTTCAACATTAATTAATTAGGATGTCGCCCATATGCCAATCTTAAAAACAATTCATTTGCAGATTCTGCGATAGAAAGAACAAAATAATTTTCTCGCTGAATAACGGTTTATATTCAGCTTATTCAAATAATTAAATAGTTGAAAAAGTATTTTTCACAAATTGTCTTTTTTTCAATATCGCTTTAGCACTGCTTGTATGGAATTTGAATAATTTGTCGCCAGAATTGAGAATATCTCTTTTCAAATTGATGTAGAGATTATCTTAAAACCTCGTTATTCTATTCGCATATAATTTTATGCAGCTTGCCACTTCCCATTTTACCCTGATTTACAAAAAAAGGCCAAGTGTTTGTCAAGTTTGTTTACCTGAATAAAACGTTTTCACTTTTGTTTGCATATTTTAGTACTTTGCGGAATTCTCCAGCACTAGTATTGAAAAATTATGACCTGATTTTACATTTTTCGAAAGTAACTGAATATCCCAACTTGAGACTTTTTTATTTTTTGATTTTAATTTATATTGTTATAAAAGTAATCACATAATATACAGTACAGCACGAAAGTAAGAGCACTCCGCATATTATCACAGATAAATTCTGAATAAATTCCTAATAACATCGCAGAGAATAGAACTTGCTTGAAAATTATATGACTGTAAAGCTTTAGTGTAAAAATATGCACGAAATTTTATTTAAAATATGTTAATAGATGTGCCACCAGAACTTACTTGAACAAAACAGAAAGCTTATTGAACAGTAAAGTCGCAAGTGATAACTTGCTCGAAACTACATAAAGCAGTGAGTGGCTTAAAGTCACGTTTGCTCAATGAAGCGAAAACAAACCCCTGTAATATACTGCCCCACATAATCGTTCCCCAGAGGGTACTGCAAACCCACAATGAAAAATCACAATTCTGGGAATATGAAAGATGATCACAAAAATTTCTAAATTTAAATGACCTCCTTATTACCATTTGGGTACTCCCGTAGTGCGTGTACCAGGTTAGGGTGAGGCCATAATTTTATTCCGATTTCCCTCATTTTAGTTCTATTGCGAGTTCGGGGACTGTCTGTGTTAGCCAAGTGAATATATCCCCTGCCCATAGGTTTCAGTCCCTTTACACAACTTGACGTAAAGGAGGCGAATAACAAATTTTCCAACGATCATAGTTTATTCTATTTTAATATTAATTTTTAAACATTCTTGTAAACTCAAACGTCAACAAATCACAAGTTACAGTCTGTTTTAATAATTTGCATACTTAAATACACTTTCCAATAATTCTCAATTATTTTTGTTACTAGCATGACAACCTTCTACTCTTTCAAATTGGAAGCATGACTGGGTATTATGGTTTGTTGATAGTGACGTAATAATATATACTGATAAAGCCCAAATTACTGAATACTAAATATAAATTAATAAATATAAAGGCTAATTACTGAATTACAAAGAATTAAATTCAGGACATAATACACTCTAATTTTTCTAATATATTGAAAAGTAAGCAAAGTTTCTTACCAATTAATATTAACTAATTTCTGATTCTGGGAATGATGTAAACGTGACTGTTAGTAAATTTTTTATTTGAATTCAAATTTTTGCAGCGTGGTAAATTAATAAAATAAACAACATGGATTACACTTCACTTCATTTAAGATATATGAAACCTATATTTTGTTAATGAATTACAGTGAAATGAATGAATAAATTAATTGATTATTTGTATATTTTTAAAAGCATCTTATTTGTACATAAAAATAATTAGGCATCGAAAAAGTATTTGGTGAAATAAAAACTACAAATCAATTCCAAGAGCATGCACGATCATACATTTTTTTTTAAATACAGTCAACATTCATTCTGCATCGTTAAGCTCTTCTTGGTGAGCGTTTTTATTCTGCCACAAATAGTTGGTTGGTAGTTCAATTCCGACAAATGATTTCCAATTTTTCATCCAACAATTGAACCTCCCTTGCAAACATACTTTCGGCAACCGTAACAAAAATTGATTTTCGTCTTAAAATCTTTTGGACCTGGATTGGTAATAAACAATAATATTAATGGAATCTCGCATTTGAAATTTGATAATTATTATTTTCAGTTACAGTATTCTGTTAAGTATAGTTTATCTTACCTTTCAAGAATTTTAATTTCTTCACCGCTTTTGCGCAAGTCATTTGGTAATTGTTTTTGTTTTTGCTCATCTTGCAGGCGTTTTTCCAATTTCCACAGCTCATTGCAAACTTTGAAAATCTAGTTTGTTTTGTAACTGGAATGGCTGTTGTTATCGCTTCGGTTGATTCTGTTTTGTTCAGCGTATCATGTTCAGTTGTCGAGGGTGTGGATATACTCGCGGCGGAAGCTGTATATGTCACAAAAATGAAATTAATGGTTAGTTGTATACCAACAGATCTGGAAATTGTAAGTGACAAAGTAAAATATCAAATCACACAAATTTTCATTTAATTTATGAAGAGATTCTTTAAATTTAGAAATATATTCTTTAAATATTTCCTTTTTCGGATTGAAAATTATTTTCCGTTTTTGAAGTATATGTTTATATTTGGCCAGTTACGATATAAATTATATTACCTATGCTGTGACAATTACCGTTTGTAATTATAAACTTCAATAAAACATCACTTTGAAAAAATTCAGACAAACATTAATTTTCAAAATAATTTTATTATTGTCATTTATCACCCCAGACCGTGAGGTTTATATATAACATAGACACAAAGTATAATAAAACACAAATAAATAGGCACAATGAAAAAATCCAAAAAGCAAGCATGAGGCAATAATTGCTAAAATAAAACTCACCAGAATTAGAACTGATAAAAATGTATGCGAGAAAGATTCCCACGGTCAAAACATTTGAGAAATTCATCATCGAACGGAAAATGAAAGAATTCATTTTGAAATCTTAAATTATTTTTCTTTTTTGTATTTTTTGACTGAATTTTTTTAAAACAAATTAAAAAAACCTGTTGGAAAATGAAAAAATAATTTTACCGTAAACCCGAAGTTGCAACGTATTATGTCTTCTACTTCTGACTCTAATACTAATTCCTTATAAATACCCTGTCCAATAATTTTCTGTTTTAAAGCAAATTTTCACAGCATAATCGTTTAAATAAGTAAAGTAAAATCATATCGTATTGTTGTGAAATGAAACCCACTTTTTCTAATCAGCTTGATACTAATCATAAAATTCTTAACTGTTGATGTAAGCTTTAAATTCGCCTTTATATACTCCAGTAAAAGTGTTTCTCTCAAGTTAAAGGGAAATTATTTGACGTAATCGGAAATGAAGTATTACTCTAAGTTTTTGTTTCCATCCGTTATTCAAATTTTTTACAGTTTATTTGAAAACTAAAAATAGTGTTCAAGTGAAGTTAAAACATTGAAAATCATATTGTAAGGCGATAGAACAATAGCATCAGTTGATTAAACATGTAATTTGTCATCAAATTTTGTTTACTTAATTAATTGAGAAAATCTAATTATGACGGCGTAATTTCAGGCAAAAGATATTTTTATTCGAATGACGTCATTTTTGCGTTCGTGTTGATTGTGGACATTGAACGACACAAATTAAAAAGAAAACATGAGGATTTATTTTAGAAAAATATGCAAAAATTGTTCATATTCAATTGGCATCAATGTAAATGTTTTAATATTATGCGTATATTAGTACTTGTATATTTGGTGCGTATGAAAACATTTCCTGCAATCTGTTTGAAAATATGTGGCATCCAGATGGATCATTCATATGTTTGTAGTACTAGAAATAGATTTTAATATCGTGTTTGTTTATATAACTTCAATATTGTAATATTGGGAGATGGTGCAATTAATCAAAAATTCCGATTTAATGCCTTTTTCCTATATATACCTTAAAATACATTTTGTCAAAAATAAAATTATTACTAAAATAGAAATCTTTACGCGCACCACTTTGTTTTCAAATACCACCAAATATTTTAATTTATAAATACATTACCATTTTTGAATCTTATTTGGAAGATATTTTATTGCATTACATGTTTCCTGAGTGTTTCGTACTAGATTAATCAAAAATAGTTATATTTTTAGAGTATAATGAGTATTTGGACAAAGTGAAGAAAACAAACATTCTCATGAAAAATTGACATCTGCGCATATAACATAGTATTGTCCGATTTATATCAACATTGAGTAATGCCAACAACTGGAAATAAAAACGCAAATTAGAAAATATTTTCGAATTGAACTAGAACGATATCAGGAATATTTTTGCACATGTCATGACAGTTTATAACTGTATAGAGATAAACTCAATTAAATTTATAGTTGCTTTATTGGTTTAAATGATATGTAGTGATTAAAAAACGTGGGGAAGATATTATTAATCATAAAGTCCAATTATGTGATTTTTTATAACGGAATGTTTAATAATATTTGTTTCATATAACATCAACTTAATTTATATAAACGTGATTATCATTGTAACTAATCAAATTGATGCATGGGTGATTTACATCATGAATGAATCTAAACTTGAGCAATAAATCATTGATGTTAAGAGGTTTCATATATTTACAGTTTCAAGTACAGTTTTCACTAGGTATTGATGAAATTGACATCAATTAAGTAATAATTTTTCAGTTTCAGTTTTGTTAGCTCTAACATTGTAAAACATAATTTATTAGATCAGCTAAAAACAACTTAATAATAATTAATCATTGACATTCAACTTGCAACTTGAGATTTGTCACGCAATACGGAATATTAACAATTGCGACATAGGAGCTATAGAAACCATGAATATCGATTGAGGCGAACAAATGTTTTTGATTTTCACGTATATTCCGATGGAAAATGTGTTTTCAATCTATGGTTTAATTCAAAATGGCATTTTCCCAAAAAATTGAAATTTTGAATGAGACTGTTTAGATGTTAAACTGCAAGATATATAGATGGTCGATAATTCAACCCATAGGACATAATAATGGAATGTAAATAGCAATTATGGCCTTATTCTTACTGATGCGAAGTCGTTTAAAAATGTCATGTTTCGCTTCAACAATTTCCATCCACGCGGAATTATTTTTTCTCTCGTCCCAGGTAAAGTTTACCCCATAAAGTCTGGCAAAAACTGTTGAAACTGCGCACTTCATTAATAATGGCGTAACTTACTATTTTTCATCTCTGAACATTTAAAATGATATATAAATACTCAATACCATAAATAATTTATTTTATTCATACTATAAATTCGTAATGACTGTTAAAAAATCTTTTCAAATTGTAATATTGGCTGAATTGTTCATTTCGGTGTTAATTGAAACAATTAAATTTGACCGATTTCAATATTGACGTGCAAAATCGTATAATAAATATCAAATTTGACTTCAACCTAATTTGAATATATTGAAAATAATAATTGCTTGGCAAAGGAGAATTGACGACAACTTATATAGTTATATAAATATTTAACCATGAAAGGTAATGCAAGTTTTCATCCTTATGTATTTGCTTACTATATTTATATCAAATTCTATCGCACATACGCGCATCCTGATGAGTGATATTTTTATTGCCTCATGGAATGCGTAATTACATGTTAAAAACAAGTCGTGAGATAGCTGAGTGTCATGGAACGCAATGCTGTGAAAGTTATTTTTAATAATAAGTTGCAATATAATTCACATCTGCTGAGTTTGGAAAAATTTGACTGGTTTTGGTTTGCGTAACATCTGACAGTTGTTGCAGTATTACAGCAATACTTGAATATGTCTACAAAGATGTCAGTACTGTGGTTGACCTGAAATACACCAATTCAAACATTGAAGTAGGTGAAAAACTACATTCTAACGAAATAAATCTCTGAATATCCCGATGGTATGCATTGTAAAATGTAAACACATACGTCAAAATCCATTTCAAACTTTCTATTTGTGTAATGTTTATATGAACTTTTGGCTTTTTTTTTATAACGGCAAGATAAGTTTTGTTCTGGACAAAATAGTTAAATTTCGTCAATGAACGGGACATGCCATGACCGAAATATTTCGTCTTCGAATAGCATGTATTAATTATCATTTGCATTTGTACTTGATAAGTTTAAATTGTGTGTCTAATTCACGAACATCATTACTACACGCTTTTCGAAGCATTTTTTTGACTTATCATTGAGAATAAATTTCTTCAGAAAACTCCCCACATTTTATTTAGGTTCAAGCGTGGGATTAAAGGCCCCAAGTGAACGCCCCCAAATCCTTAGGAATTTTAAACAACAAGTTTTTTCTATGTCGTATATACCACATGAAGTAATCCGCACAAGGTACTTTTCTACTGCAGACGAGAGCTTTGTATACCTGGATATCACGGGGATTCAACAATAAAAAACTGTTTCGATTACCCCTGGGATATTCTTTGGTTTATGGGATATGTATAGGTTGTAAGAAATAGTGTACGCTAGTACTTTCAAATAAATCAGGTAAACTAAATAAAAGCTACCGAAACTGATTTCAAATAGATTTTTCGTTACCAAATTTTATTCTCATATTTCCCGTTAAATAAAGCACTTCTACAAGGTGGAGAACCTAGGGAGAGTTTAAACACTCGCTTACTCCTTTTTGGCCTTGCTGGATGTAAAAGTGTTTCAATCATGTCATATAATATAGTGTCACCATAATGTCAGAGCGTTTTTAAGCGAATGCTTTCAAAACTAGATGCAAAAAATATGACTTAAAATATTTAATAAGCAACAATGATTTAAATAGCAATCTATACTTGAACTTTTTAATTTGTTAAAAAAACTTAACAACAAATGATACCCAATTTAAACATTACAATGTCAATGTAAGTATGCCAATTAGTATTTTATTAATCCTTACTAAAGCTAAAATTATACAAAGTTAATTCCATCATCCATTCTAGTTCTGGGTTTTAAGGCAAAAGCGATATTGTATAATGTTAAACAGAATAAAATAGTTGGTGAGATTAATTTGCATAAACGTGGTCTATAGAATTCAAAAAATTACAATTTATTGATCTTAATAGGCATTGCGCCAAAAATAAGCATTTGGTCAAATAAGTTTACTACAGATGTATATAATAATAAAGCTAAATAGTCTTTTAAATTTGTAGTAAACAAGATTTGTTAACGATAGGACTATAGAGCGAGATAGATGACATTATATTCTGGAGTTTTGGGACTTGGTTTTGTTAAGTTTCAATAAATTTAACGGCGATATGACAAGAAACGGCGTTTATATATGTTACCTTGTAAGTCTATGTAAATATATATAACAAATTTGTACGATAATAAACCGCTAAATTATTCAGCACCATAAAGTATAGAAGGGTTGAATATATATTCAAAACACGCATTTATAAATGTTTAGACAAATAATAAGTTGGCTACGTTTACGTAAACAATTTACAACAATAAACAATTTTAGATAAACGATAACTTGAGTTAAAAATTTACATACCCAAATAATACTCAAGTTTAAGTTATTAAATATAAGTCAATATGGAGACATCTTTAAAAACTTGGTCAAATTTGCAATTAAGCTGAAAAATTCAAATTTTGCAAAATGAAACAATATGTTGTATCCATATAGTTCCTTACATATCGTGTAATATGTGCCATATTAGGCAATCACAAGTTTATTTTTAGTAAATTCTTTGAACTGCTTTGCAAATAACAACACTTGGTAATGTATGATCAAATTTGAGTAACAGAACGTTTGTTAAAAACACACGGTTTTTTAGTATAAGAATAACATGAGGAATACCCTCCGAAACCGAAAGCAGTTGTTAACTGCACTTGTTTCCGGTTACGTAAAAAACTTCCCCGTGAATTTGAGAGAAAACGCTTTCTCAAAGTATATATAAGAGAGAATGAAATCATTCAATAGCAACAGTCTGCAAGCAGCGTCTGTCATCAAGCAACTAAAGTCAACTGAATTTTTGCCAAGTACAACCGACTCAATTTGCCAACAATAATTTATTACAGATACACTTTTCAGACAGAAAAATATTATTCCTACAATAATATGTTGCAAAATTTTGGAACAAATCATAATATCGCTGAATTGAAGCGGTTGAAGTTGAGCGGTGAAAAGTTGCTAAGAAATTTAAAATATTAATATTTTTTTAGTGGAATAAAGTAATTTAGTTACAAAAACGATTTGTTTCAATTTCAAGTGGAGAAAATGTCAAGTTTTTCAAACATGATGACCGTTAGTCTTGTGCTTGCTTGCATTGCTGCTATGTCCTACACCGGTAAGTCTGTTCTTTTGCATTTTTATATAATAAATATATATATATAATAAATTCAAATCGGAATTATTGTAAGGGTCAAATTTTTTTTAATTTATCTCATAAATTATCAAATAAATATTTTGAAGAAATGTTTATTTACATTTTGTTCAGGTTCAGCGGCTACCTTGTCAAATGAGCTTGAGAGCAGCACGGTAAACGGAACGGAAACAAACAGAATTGAAACAACGGCCATAACCAATCAAAAACAAGCAAAATTTTCAAAGTTTGCAACTAGTTGTGGAAATTGGAAAAACGCCTGCAAATTGAGCAAAAACAAAACTGATTATAAAATGAGTTGTTCAAAAGCTGTGAAGAAATTGAAGTTTGTGAAAGGTCGGTGAATAGTATTCTTTATTGGTTATAAAGAATTTTCCATATAAAAGTTACAATTTGTGAGAGTAATTTGGATATATATGTCAAAAAATTAAAAAAGCTATAAAATAAAATAAGTTTTAAAGCTGATTGTATTGTATCATTAAACTATAAATCACCTTGAAAATTAATTTTTGAAAGCGAGATTTTCCAAACGATCTATGTTATAATTATATATATATTTTTTCAGGTCTCAAAGATTTTAAAGAAAAAATCAGCTTCTGCTACAGTTGTCGTAAACACGTTTGCAAGGGAGGATCGCTTGTTGGATGAAACAAAAAAGAGATCTTTCCGAAAAAATTCCAATAGTTACGACTATCACAAAAACTATTTGAACGTGAAATATTTGTGATGACGTTTAATTTCTTCTATTGTGTCAAATATACTTATGATTTGAAATTGCGATTTATCACGATTTTCAGTAAAATCGCTGAACCAATATTGAAGAATTAAATTCTTATTTTTAATCAAACATCTCTTCAATTCACTTCATGTCAGAAAGTCATTTTTTAAATATTTCTGTTCGTTTTGATATAAACATCAGCTAAAGAATATGTTCATTTGCTTCATTTTACAGAAAAAAATGCAGAGTTCTATTTTGTTTCCACTGTATATAACAAGATGCAAACATGTTTCATATATTTGTATATATATTTTGATGTACATTAAACTTCATTTTCTTGCATTGACGATGTGATTTATAATATATGACGATGTGAAAGGTTTTAGTGTCAGGATGTCACGCAAACGAAGGAGGCAATAAAGAAAATTTGGAAGAATCATTAGCCTAACTTTTGTCCAACTCGGTATTCAGTTAGATGTCAAGGAATTAGCTAAAAATGCAAAGATCTAATACAATCCTAATACAATTTATGTTAAAAATAATTCCGGATGAAAATTTTCAAAATTCTTCTGATTTTTGACATGTATTTGATATATTTATTTCATTTTTAAAATCAGTAACAATTTCATCACTTTGAACTTATAATTTCTAGATTTAAGGATTTGAAATTATGTAAGTCTTTGGTATGTAGAATATTCAATATACTTAGACATACTACATTCTTTAAAGTACCACACAATATCTGCGTTATTATCTTCTAGCGCCGATCTATATTTAATTTCTTTTATGTGTGAATATTAATTTTATTTCACGATAAAAAATATCATAAAAAATTTTATTGTTGCATAAATTGAATAATGTGACGTTTATCTGAAGTTATCATCTACACTGATCTAGATTTTCGGTAAACATGTGACGGTAAATATTATTGAAATACTTTTGAAACTATTCACACATCGTTGAAAATATTAGTAAAAAAGTAGTGGAAGATATATATTTTATATATAACAGTTTGTAATATCACATAACACAAACTTGCCTATCACATATTCAATGAATGGACATTTTGCAACGTAAAAATCCACCTATATGGTAAATGAGTTATGTTGTTTCATTTTTTCCATATGATATAAGTTGAATTACATGCTCCAACGTAAAATTCCTGAAATTACACATTAATTGTTCTTAAGTGCTGTGATTGTATGAAAACTTATTAACTTAATATAGAAGAAGCTTGGATGTAGATTCTTTGTGTCTTTCATCATTCTGAAATTAATGGACTTATTATACAGAATATCAAATATTGACAGACCATAGATCGCGGTTAAGATAATTTTTACATGGCAAATAATCTCAAAACAACCACAAACCTACTTATCAAATATATATTCGCTGCTGCATAACAATACATTTCGTAATTATGATAAAAATATCAATGTAATAAGCACATTTGTTGTTTCATTAGCATTCCATGCAACTGATATGAGATATTCTGAAATTACCAAATGAAAGGGAGTCGTGAAGTTTCGAGGTAATGTTTCTGTTTCTTTCATATATAAAATAAAATTGCAATCGTAAGTAGAACAATATTGGAAAATTTGAACCGTACATTTATCCATTAAACTATAAAAAAAAATTATGACATTTCGCGTAGCATAGTGGGTGCATAATAATGATTAGCTTCCGTTGTAAAAATTCCTAACAACTTTTTTTTATATATACACAAAATAGTTTGATCGCTCTGAAGTGGTGAGTTCTTGCTTAGGGAATCAAATTTCCTAAATGATGCAGCAAATGGGGAATTTTACAACAGAAGCTGTAATTGTTTTATTTTGTATTGTACATGGTATTATGTTATCTACGCCAGTATTGCATTCCTATGAAATTTCCCTTTATGATAGTTCTTAGCACTGACCAGCCATGCGGAATGTTGGTTCAAACATTTGATTGTGATATCCCCGGTATGGAGAAAAGGGAATAAACTGGACTTCATTGTAAAAAAGTGGTGTTTTAACGGTAAACCGAGCTGTGAATTGTTGATGTTACTCGCTATCAAATCACTTTAAGTACGGTTAGTTGGCCATCAAGCCACCAGAATAACATGATGAAAAATTTGGCGGCATTATATTTTGTGTGTTATGAGTTGTACAAGAGTGGCTTTACAATCAATATTACCTGCCAAAATAGCACGGTATCTGTTGACAGTCACGTAACACTTCTATATTTCTATTTCAATAGCGTTTCAAAGTACTTAATAATAGAGATTATATCTTTTCAGTCTGTTTTGACATAAAATTTCAGATGCAGATCTTCAATTCGCATTTGCAGTCACGTAATGTTTTGCGGTGTGAACATTTAGATAAGATTAAATAATAACAACAAGCACAAAGTTATGCTATTCTTAATCAATATAACTTTCAAATTAAGCGTTGTTTAGAGATAAACATAAAATATATTTTTATGCTTTAATTTGTTTCAAGGTTTTGTTTCCCGGTTTTAGAACTACGATCACATTGTTGGGGCTTTCTTATCCCCGACTAAAATTAGCCAGTGAATAATCCCGTTCGTGCCCACCAACAAAATATTGAAATTATAAGGTAATAATTACTAGAAGTCATTACAATCAAAGCTATGTAAATCGCGTCAAAAGAATTTGTAATATTACGCTGAAGACTACCTAATGATAGCGCGTCAAAAATTAACAAAATCTAATTACGAAACTTTTTTTCCTGGAAATTGTGCTAAAGTCGATGAATTTAGAATGTCTATCTGATGTAGAGGGGCTTGTTGAAGACTATAAAATCAGTGACTGATTAACTTTGGTATCTATCAAGTTTGATTGTATTACCATCCATGGTTCTTGTTCGTATATACTGATGATATGGTAACATTTTTTACATTTCTAAAGCGTTAAAAACGGTATTCAGTAAATCGAAATACAAGTTACATCCGGTCATGTCAAACTGAGAAAACATAGAATAACTAAACTAATCATTTTCGAGTAATAAAGTATACCGACAAATTAATGTATTTCACTATATAGCCAAATGCAGATTTGAGCAATAGCCAACACACGACATTTAAATGGTCATTTTTCGTTAGCGGTAGCCTTTCTTAACTACGAAATAGGAAATCACCTTTTGCAATAAATTTAAAACATTGATACATCCATTTTCGACGAACCACTCATTATTTGAAAGCTGGTTCAAAGTGGTTCAGATATTCAGTTTTTCAATTAAGTTTCAAGCACTTTGTCCTCACAGACCGCGCATGTTTATTTGAGTAGATAGTTTGGGCTTGAAAATACGAGTCTGTGATAACGAATTTCAATAACTTTGCACTGCCATTCACTCTAACAGTCAGTCATTATATAATAAACAAGTATTTTTACCTACTACTTTCACCTAGCATATCAGTAAATTCAGATTTTTTTGTCTCGATTTTTGTTTCGTCTGAATGAGTTAGGCGATGATTTAAAGTACCAAGATTGTAACTGTATGCCAATGATCGGAACGCAACAGAAAAATTACTGACTTCTTCAACAGTGTTATATGGATTCGACACGACAGGCTTTAAACCAAATCCATTACAGAAAACTATTACTCTATCACGTATCACGTAATCTTATACATGAGTTAAGTATTAGTTTCAAATCTTAATGAAAAAATGATAAATATCCTATCTATTGGAAAATTTTACAAATTCAAAACAGCAAAACGTCGCGAAATACCTTGACTGCCTGCGTTTCATATATGAAACCATCAACGAAGAATAAATAATTTCGACAAGACACGATCAGTCGTATATGAATTTTTCAATAGAAAAAAATAAAATAAAATTTTATTAAATTAACTGTGACTTGAAAGAAAATTGAAAGTAAAATTATTTTATAGTGTGATTTGTTGATAAATTGACAAAATCAAGATTGTCGGAGATTTAGCAATTTTCATTTGTGTAACTAAATGATGTTGTTGTTGAATTCAGAAGAATGTGAATTGAAATATTTCAACGGTATAATTCTAGCACGGATACTTTCAACTGAAATACTTCAGAAAATGTTGTGGGGCTACGAATAACATTATATTTTACAAATCCCTCTTAAACTAACCAGGGGATTTCGTGAGTATAACAGAAGGCTCAACGTAATAAGGTGTTTTCAGGCGAAATAAATATGTTCAGGGCAATGCATTCATTAGAGATTTGCGTGTGTCCTAAAGGATTTGCGAACAATGCCAAAAGCAATGACGTCACTCATGCCATCGGTTGCTGTTCGATACACCTACAAATCTGTGAAGATTTTTTCATTGATGCAATGGCGATTTTTACCTCGTATCAAGTATTATGCAAATTATTATTTGATTGTTCATTATATTGTTGAATTGATTAACCACATTAGCATTCAAATCATGATTAATGTCAATAGCAATAAAAGCATTCTATGAATGTGTTATACTAGAATTTTAACTATTTGTGAACACGAGGAATATCCAATGATTTTATTGTAAAAATGCATTGCGTTAGTATAAAAGTGTCTTTTGAACTGATTATCAATATCCAACATATTATTTTACAAACTACTCATAGCAAAATTGAATTTAGATATATATAAACTTTTTTATTTGATTTCATTTTCAATGACTTTATATATACTGAAGACTGACTAAGGGAAATCGAAAGATTTTGGAAGATTCCCATTAAGTAAAATAGAACTTAGTCAAACGTGTTCATATGCTGAAGATTATAAAATTCATAAATTATGAAATATGGTAAAAAAGCTACTTGAAATTAAAGGGGTTCAAATTCGATCAACCCTAATGCGAATAAAATGTTAGAAATATTTGTCTTTAACGATACATTCATTAATAGTGTATATCTCACGCCATCTAGTGTGAATCGGTTTAAGAACTGCAACAATTTTATCAGATGTCGACAACAATTTTAACGCAGGGCGCCCTGTATAGTAAGTGAGCCAGTCGTTTTTCGATTGGCCATAGAAATGTCCGAATATAGAGAGCAATGTGTTGTTAAAACCAGAATTGACTTGTTCAAACCAGAATATTTGCACATATATATATAGTTTAGTAGAATATTTACAAAAAACAATTTCGAGCAGTTCTTAATCTAAAGTGCTATTACGGGTATTTTATTAAATGTGCAATGCTCATAATACCACATATGAAATTGTAATATAGTGAAATTATAAGAAATCGTACACCATAGTGCATGCATCCAAAAACATTTGTTGTTTGAATTATATATTTTACACAAAAGTAAATAAGAGAAGTGTTCAGCTGTATCGTTGTAAGCTTAAGTCTAACATTAGTCAGACTTTGCGACGATTGACATAGGCTTTCATAACAGTGACTCGATGAAACTAAGTCATTTTTCGAAAACACAGAGAAGCAACAAAATGTGACCTAATTGTGCAAAACATAAACCTAATGATAAATAAGTATTAGGGCATAGGAATATCCCCATAGCAATAACATAATTTTTATAAAAATTATCTTCCTTCTTCAAATAACCCCCAATTAAGCCCATAAACTTTGTAGGCTACAATTCTTGACTCTCATGAAATGACGGCATCAAAATTTAATAATATATTCTAGACTTAGTTAAGTAGATAAATATAGGTGTATGAAATCATAATTCTTAGTATCTCAAAAACCTATTTTTTTTTCAAATCCATTTTCTCAATTTAATGAACAGATAAAGAATACATATATGAGGTCATGTATTACCATTACCTTTTTTGGTTATACGAAAAGTATTACTTTTGTTGGCCGCAAAGTCGGATTACCTTGTGGGTTCTATTTTATAAAAACTTCGTTTTGTCAGTCAAATATAACTATTACAACCTGAATTATCACTACACGAAAGTAGCCCGAAGGTCGAAAACGAAATTCATTTCTCTCAAAGTATTAACTCCCACTGTCTGGTCCTAATCACGGAGCAACTATGATATCCATTAAAAGCGAGTTACATATTTGTTTAAAAGATACCGTCTACTGCGGGAATGGTGGTCCAATTTTGTAATTGAGAAATTATATAAAAGCGTAAATCGCCAAACAGAAAGATCAGTAATCGAACGAAGAATTTTGAATAAACGTTTGAAAGTAGTTCTATACGCAATTTTTAGGACAATATGAAGACCTTATTTCTTGTATGCATTGCCGTACTGATTGCAATCGCTGCTAGCGAAGTTGTACAAAAAGGTATTCATTTTATTATAATTTTTTCAATCGCGCTTCAAACTTTGCGACCTATTATCATCTGCAAAACGATTGTAGAACATTCCAAAATATATAAAAGTGTTAATACATAAAATATTAAAAATGTTATAATATTAAACGGTCGAATGTCTACATGCAAATGTATACACACACCTGTGTGATATTTTCAATAAAATTGTTTTTATTTTAAAGGGAAAATATCACAAAACTTCGAATTCCAAGCATCACCAAGCAAACCTAAAAATCACAAGGTTGTTGTTGTCGACTGCACTAAATATTGCAGATATAATGTGTTGCGAAAGAGATATGTCAGAAACTGTGATAATGTGTCACGACCAGGTTAGAAATTTTATAACTTTATAAAATTAGTGTAAAATTTAATCAATTGGATACACTATAGCAGGGATGGCGAACCTTTTTGAAGAAATGGGTCAAAAATTATATTTTTTTTTGTGGAAAAAAGACTGTGAATCATAGATATTTAGTTAATTGGAAACCTTTTGGCGCATCTTTTCCGTGAGTCTTATAATCCTGGAGATGGTCTTGTTTAGCTTTAAGATTTAAACATGCAGCACTCATATAATGACTGACCCGAAATCAGGTACTCGCTTTTATGTAATTTGTGTACGAAAACATGATTTCGCATGCATATATATATATGAATTACCCAATTACGTTTCACTGCTATGGCAAATCTTTTTGTGGTTTCATAAGAGTTTGGAAGGGATTTCACTCTAAAACAATAGTAATTTTCGATCTGCTTTTAGCCGCATTGAAGTCACTGCCATCCGGGTTCGCATATGTCTCGCCTTTTTCTTCCTTAGTTCTGCTTCTGCTATACTTTTAACACTAACACCGTGGTACACGTTTTGAAGAACAAATCTTTACATAGGCATTGCACTTGCTCGTCCTGTGCAGCCACCCTATCAATCAAACCTGTTGTCAAATAGACCAGCCTAATATGCTAGAGAGGCTATGCAAATGGCGATTTGGACAAAAAACTATTCCCACAACAAATTGTTATGTCACAGACATTGTAGCGCATCAATATCGGTATAATAAAGTAATTATCTTATTGTTAGATTGAATTTTAAAAAATACGGTTTTAATATCAATCTTCATCAAGTGATGGTTGTATGCTTCTTTCATTAATTCGTACCTTGGCGGGTCACCAGCACTTTGTGATCAACGGGTCAGTGGTTCGCCATCTCTGCACTCTAGCATAAAATGTATCGTTATTCCAAAATATTGTTCAATTTAACCAGTGAATTTCAGTAGTGATATTAAAATTTCGAAATGCTGGAATAATTTGTTATTTTTCAATCTTCAGAGGTTTGTCGTTTTTGTCGAAGTCCGAGAGTTAGAGGATGTCAAGTCGCTTCAGCGGTCTTGATACTGTGAAACTTCTCTACGAAACTGGCTCACTACTGTCACCACGAGGAAAAAGCAATAGCTGTTTGCTGTTTTATAATAAAAGCCTTTGTATAAATAGATGATTTTATTTCATTCCATTATCATGACGATCTTCAATAAGTGAATATTTATATAAATGATAAAAACTTTTGTAATGTTCACGTTTGTGCACTTTCTTTATATCAAACACTGTTGAAGTAATTAAATGATGTAAATTTGAATGTCAAAAATAACTGTAAAAATGCTGTTACACAATATTCTTTTTAAATTGAAAGAAGAGCTCATTATCGAGTGCAGTTTTAAATCAACTTAAACACCAAGAACTATAATTTGAGCGATGCAATTTTGTAAGGCTGTTCATTGCGACGAGCAAGAAGAATGAAAATTTGTCATTGCTGAAAATTTTGTCCCTAATGTGGTAGTCGAAAAATTACCAAGCGATGCCCGAAAATCGGGTATGATAACAAATATATCTCTAAGACCAGTGAAATAAACAATATTGCTTTTCCTCAATTTGTCGAATAAGGTGAACAGCCACAGGATACCACCGTATCAGTTTAGCACAAACAAATTATTTATTTGAATAAATTAATTGTGAGCGACAATAGATCAATTAGCGTCACATACGACCTGGGTCAATTTAACAAAGTTATTATACTTAGTGAGATATTAGATTATGATTAGTATGGTGCGTTGTGAGATAATCTTCTCAGTCAGCGTTAGCGGAGTGAGTGATGGGATTAATAATCGAGAACGAAAGAAATCAATTACGACGCATCTTTAAATTAAGCGTACGAATCACATACTTTGATTGTACATTCGGTTTGTTTACTTTTTGCGTCCATTCAAATCATGTTACTAAAAGTGGTTAATTGTATTCATGTATGGTTTATTTTATTCAGCTAGTACCAGGTCTAACACAGAAATGGGAATCGAGCCCAAATATATAGACACATATGTCTTGTGACTACTGCCAAAGAGCCTACGTTCGAATGAAATTACCCTATTTTCAGCGTAACTAAACCAGTTATTGTCCATGCGATGTAAAATTTACTCAGTGAGAAAATAGTATATACTTAACAATTTTGTGCTTTCTACAGCATTTGAGGCAATAGCTTTCTTGTAAGGCAACCAGCTTAACAATAGGGTGCACGACCACAGTTTTTAGATATTCGAGTAGTAAGCAATAGATACTTCCACATATTCAATATTGGGTTTCGCGAAAACTAATAATATCTGCCCCGGAAAGTAGTTGAATTGCAAAAAGAACACATACCAATTCGGGTCAAGTTTTATTGGTTTTATGGTACGTTGGTAGACAATTTTATATACAGAAAAAATTATCAAATAGAAATGTGCTAAGATTAAACATTTGGTTATCCCAGTATGTACAGGTGTCGGTAATAATATATACAAATGTCCCTATAATATGCATTTCATTTTATATGGAGTTTTATTTTTGTCCCGCAATTAAACTAACCATGAATCATCAGGGTAGATATTTGAATATGTGATCTTTCGGCAACGAATGCAAAATAAAAACTAACTAAAATCATATTAGGTTGCGGTGGCACAGTTGCAGTCTTAAGCGAAAGATCTATCACTGGGTTACTCAGTTTGTTATTCAAACCTTTACCACACCGTTTTCCTGAGTAATTCGAAATTAGGTAGTCATACTCAAAATTCAGCAGCATTCCAACTTAACTTATATCCAAGCGACTGCTGCATTGTTGGGAAAAATGTGTGAAATGCATCACAAAGAACTACATTATTTAATTGGACCTAATATATACTGAAATCAATTTCTATTTGATTCAAGAACGAGAAAATAGATAATATGAACAAGTTAGGATGTAGGTGGAAAACCAGTTCGTTCGTGAAATGGTACTTGACACTCAATATAGCTATGCCCGGCTAGCTATGGGAAACTTCCATGACCAACTACAAAAGTAGTAGTTGAATCTCATAAAAAATCATCAAAATGAAACAACATTTAATAAATTGGTAAAACAATTTATAGCACTGACAGGTCCTGGCATGATTTGCTTTTACGAGCTTTTTCGCCTTTATCTCTGCGATGTAAGATTTTTGATAAGCATCGACTTAGTCGCTTCGTATAACCTGATGTTTCGTTCGAAGCTCCAGTAGATAAACCACTGGTTTCCGGTTGAGCGGATGACGCTGAAAAGTCAAGTCGACTATTGCGCAGTGCGTCTAAAGATTTGCGGCGAGTCTGTGTTCCACTGGCGACGCCACCAGGTAATCCGAGAGATGCCATTGTTGGTGGCGTACATCGTCTCTGACGTTCGCTGTCGTCACTCAGCGAGTGGGATAGTGGTTTCTTTGCACTGAAATTAAAAAGAACGGTATCTGGCGATTATTTTATATTGATTGCAGGAAAAGTAGTGTAACACAGGTTTAGATATCTCAACTACAAAGTAAACTTTCTACGAATTTTAAATTCCTAATCTAGTGTTATCCAGAAAATATCAGCAAGACGTATCGCAGCCATGGTTTGTATCTGAAGATCCTTCATTATGTTGATATATAAGAGGTGTGAACCGTCAAAGATGTAATTATATTAGCTGGCTCACCTCATGTCTGTCAATGGAACTTCTTCTTCGCCGTCTTCGCCAGTACACTGACGCAAACGAATTTGTTGAATAACTCCTTCAAATAGCTTTGAAACGTTTTGATTCAGTGATGCCGACGTTTCAATAAACTTGGCTCCGTGCCTTGCAGCAAGTCTTACGCCATCTGTTAAAAATATCAATGATAACTTGTACATTCTTGTAACAAATATGATGGCAGGATTACAAGAAAATGGGTAAGCTATATAAGACGTCTGGTGATATCACAAGTATTGCTATAGTTACCCGCAAAGCACTGTCGTTTCATGTGGTATTTCGCTGGTTTACAATCATTCAATATATACTAAGTTTGCGGCTTGCGTATTGCTGTATGCTTACGATGTGGCTTTTACAAATCATCTCTATGTGATATTTTTGGATTAAATATGCACGAAAAACATCTCTCAATATCAAGATAAATGAATTATGTTTATATTTATCATCACCATATAGTGTTGTGACCTCTGACCCCGCGCGTGCCAATTCACTCACTCGACGACATTGAATAAACTAGTTTATTGTGTGTACTATTTTACAGTCAATGCGTTTTTGGTAGAATTTAAATATCAGAGCAATATAACATACCTGTTGTGGCGACTTGTCTTCTGCGCACTAAATCACATTTGTTCCCGGCAATTATCACTGGCAGAGAAGACATTCTTTCAGCATGAAATTGTGACATGCGAGATAAGATTTGGGAAACTGTTTTAAATGTCCCTTTATCTAAAAAATAAGAATTCAGAAATTATGACAATGTCAAATAAACTGAAAATTAAACGTGCTTACTCCACAACGATCAAAATAATTGGAGGAGATACAGCACTTCATATAATTTACTGTGCGTGCGGTGGTCATAGAAAGAAGTTTACGCGAGCACGGAACCGCCACGAAATGCGCAATATTTGATGACGTCGTGGCACACAAAAACGAATTCCATAGAGCCAACAGAAATTTTTGGAATAAATAAAAGTAATAGCCTTCTAGCAAAAACTACAATCTGTAACCACTAATCCACTATAGTTTTTTAACCATAAAATTTCAAAGCCGATAATTAAGCAGGAAAGCGATTTTTTTTTCACAACGATAAGAAGAAGAAAACACACCAGAATAAAAACAACAACAACATAGTAAACGAACCGATGGATATGTACACTTCACGTCCAATTATTTGCGGTCTATACAAGAAAAAACGCTTTTGTAGAGAAAAGCGTTTTAGTATACCTTCCTTTCACCGATATCCGTAATTTTTTTTACAAAAGTGCGAATATCAGTTTCTTGTAAATGTTACCTGTTACTGCGTACGCCAAAATGTAGGCATCTCCAGTGTGTAAATAAGGTTCGAAATCTCCAACATCTTCGCATTCCATTCTGTGTTTCTGTAAAGCCAAACAATTCGAGCTCATTACAACAAAATAAGAAATAGTAAAATAGATCACTAGATTAGTTCTATAGATTGACAAGCAAATGCTTTATTGGTCGTTAGAACGACACAATACTTTTTGCAAATCTAAATCCATAAAAGTAAGTGATGTATGTAAATTAGGTTCTCTGAGACATTTATTTTAAGTTGGTATAAAATTTGACATTCTGGTACCATCGTATACATTACAATTGGCTCACATTCATTTCACTATATATAGACTTTTAATTAACTAAACCTTACGAGATAGAAGGAGTGGGATGATTTGACCCGGTGTTTTCACGGTCGGTCAGCTGCCTTTTCCCCTAATCCGGTTATCGCCTCTTGGTCTATCAGATTACTGTCTTCAACAGGGGAATACACAAAGGAATTACATGCAGTACATGATTGAATTTCAAGACAAGTGAGTAGAGTAAAAGTAATAAGAAATGTAGTTCAAATTTTTGCTTATGTGTGACCATATATAGGCGCTCCCGTTGTATTCGTACCAAGATGGCGCACAACCTGCTAACCCTAACCTGGTACACATACTGTGTTCAGGTTGTGCGCCATCTTGGTACGAATACTACGGGAGCACCCATATATGAACATTTCAATACATGTACTTCACATGTAAAACAACTAAATATAGGCGGCTGAGCAAACGAAAGATTTATTTCAATTCTATTTGTTTGTTATGAAGCAGAATGATATTGAACATTTTAAATTTTAAATTGGGTAGTCTGCCAGAACAATGCAATTGCAAGAAAATATCAGCTTATATTGCTGAAGTTTTAGCAGCAGTACACACGTAAACATATTTAATTAAATACTCCCATGAGATAGAAACGTTCGATCATAATTCTGTTTATTATTTCTTCTGGCTTATTCAATAAAATTACAATGTATTACGAACAAAACGATGAATACCTTATGCATTATGCATGGCCAGACAAGGTTTGGTGCGAAAGTGAAAATTGAACTGGAGAGTTGGTCGTGGGAAGGCATAAGAATAATTTGGCGTTTTGTCGGATTTTGAGTGGTGAAGTACGGGATTTTGCTACATGTTTTAGGATAATTGTTGATCAGCGAAATTGTAACCCATCACTGCCTATCCACCAATGGAATGGATTAATATATCTAATCAATTCTGATTGATTATTACCTCGGCGTTTATGTCCAAAATCCGTATCCTTGTACACTGACCATCGACTGTTACAGGCCTTTCATATATATGATCTAAAATATCAATATTTTCAAATTAAAATATATATGGTATAAATGGTTTCATCTTGGAATAGATTACAGTTATAAATAAAGATGGATTAAAGTTACCAATGTCCCACCAGTATGACATTTTCCGTAGAGGGTAGCTGTTGGGTTTTACGCCAAGGTTCATCTATATTCCTTTGTAATTACGATAAACTTGATTAGTCGACATACAGAGTTCATTATACTGCATGTAGCTTTTAACAGACGCTTCTAGTCTGTATATTCGGGTACTATTCGAACTTCACAATTTGTTTTATTTTATTTTTGTCAAATCACATCCAAGGACATATAATATTAATCTGTGTAACCAATGCCACAAATAAATTTTCTGAAACTGATATCACGACCAGTTCTTGGCAGTAATGAAGTTGAAAGACACCACCAGCTAACGCATTAGTAACTAGTTCTCATTACCATCAATCGACAAATCCAGTATCAATCGGAGTATGCGAAAATTAAAAGAGGTATCGAAAGATGTACAAATACAAAGTGCCTAATCATAACATGACGAATGGATATATATATAGAAAGGAACCCGTTGAAAGTAAATATGTGATTCATCTTTTTAACTTCACGTCGATTGTCTCTTTTGACAATTGAAACCACTACATTAAGAATCGAAATTTACAATGATATTGTTATTTATCGGGTATCAGACAAATATATATTATACAGAGGTTTCTGTTCGAAATATATATTAAATTAGCCTGGATATTTTAGCGTAATATGGCTGAGAGCATAAGAACATGGAAAATAGTTAGTCGAAAATATGAATGTTTTTTTAAACTCACGACTATCAGATCGTGGTGTTGCATCGTCTTGTGTTTCTTCCATATATGAATCCATAAATTCATCGTCATCTTCATCTTCGTCGTACTGAGGCACTGTTCCGCCATTTCTCTTTGATTTATTGTTTTCAGCGTCTGCCTTTATGCCAGAGCGGAAAAACTTTCTGCACAATGCAGACTTTCCTACACTCAACTCTCCTAAGATCACTACTGTGTATGTTGACATGAACATTTCACTACTTTCCTGATCGTCTTGCAAAAGCGCAGTAGAAACGCTTTCAACGCTGTAATCTTTATTGAAAGCTCCCAACAGAAAACAATTTTTAGCAGCTCTTCCTAAAATGGGTGTTGTATTCGTTCGCTGTGATCGTCTCTTTGGTCTGCGTCGCTTTTCAGAACCAGCTTTTGCGGGAAATTTGAATCGGTTTTGTTCAGCTTCCTTGTCTGGAGATTTTTCGCTGTATATCAACCTTGGTGATCTAAGAGGCGGCATATAAGGAACATTTCCAGCAGCACCAGGAACGTTCAGTCCACCTCCCAATTGCAAAGCTCGCACTCCTAATCGAGGTGTTGACACACCGACAGGCGATGATGGGTTACTGCCGCAATATTTCAATATTTCATCAATCGATTCACAATCAGTCTGTAAAATGAAAGAGATTAAAAATTAAAACACATATCTGAAAAATATAATGCGTTCGCTGTCTATCCTTCCCTGTTACAGTATAACACGCCACTGAAGGTTCGTGGTTTAAACGGGTTTCTCCCAAATCCAGGCAACGGAAACTGTTTAAAATTTACCACCAACATACTTAGTGTCATACTGCTAAAAAGTATCGTATTCAAAAAAGTTACTTACACTCGAGAGTATATCACTTAATCTGGTATTGGCTACTTTGGAAATATGTTGATCTAAACACGTAGCCTACTATTTCAGACAATATGGACCAAATAAAAATTTGATAGAATTTAAATTGATGTATGCGAGAAATACAGAAAATGTTATCTTTTTCTGAAACGTTTGTTTAAATTTAGCATGGCAATTACAATAAATGGAAGATGTCTGTAAAATCTCGAGAGTGTCACCGTAATCAGTTTAGTTTGATGATAAATAATTCTAAATAACCTCACACATCGGTACTTTATCGCCAACGAAATTTTACTCAAGAGTGTCTAAGCTCATCGACCCGATGAATAATCAAACAATTTTTTTAGAGCCTTTATGTGAGCTATCATTTACTGCCATGTATTTCAGAGTGAAAACATCCTAATATGATCTGAACCCTATATTTGATCACAAAAGTCAGATTGTTTAAATTATCTGACGAAAGTTCCACTCATTTTCGCCTAATATTGATTTGTATTATCCACATACCTTTCGATAAGCAACAGCGTTATTCATGGCTTGCATCACGCATTTTCCATCGTCAAGGACGATTGAAGGTTTGTTGCTTGGTGATCGTGACAACATGGTATGTCTATTGTCATCTTCCCACGAGGAAGCAGGAAGAAGTAATTGTGTGTCCATAGTTTGGACCATTTTAAACTCGCTTAACAAATCAAGAAACGATATCCCGTAGAACACTTAAAAATGTGTGTGTATTAAAAAGTAATACTAGAATTAAGATAAACTGCACAGAAATGGAAATTGGAAATAAGTTGTAATGTCAATGACTATTCGGTTCTTATTTATATATAGTTGAATAGACTCCAGTTCAAAATATGTTTATTCACGATTCTTGTAAATTCACCAAAACTTAATTTTGTTTTCAATCCTATAGTATCGCTGATGTGAATCGATACGCAATTTAGAAGCAAAGAAATTGAAAAATCCGTAAAACTTTGTTACGGCGTTACAGAGAATACGATGATCAGCTCATCTAAATGGCTTACTCAAAAAAACAAATAATCCAGATTTTATTGACAGGTTATTTACGCGCATGGGTTGGCTGACGAATTTTCAATTAGGTTACGCAACTTATCACCAAATGCGCACATTATTGATTGGATCCAATTGGTATTTTGAATGTGGTTGGTGAAATACTTTGAGTGCTATCGCGATTTAGTCGTGTATATTGCTGCCATCTGCCAGTGAGGATTACATGCCACATAAATATGTGTGTTATAGACCGACAACATGTATGTTTCGACTGCTTCACTGTTTATTTAATATGCACATGGCGTTGCATTCTGAGACAAATATACATACATGCATATTTAAGAGAACATACCACCATACCTATACATGACGGTATTTTGACAAACCACCCACCTCATGAAAATAAATAAAAACTTGGTAGAATAGTGAGGATATTACTCAAAAAGAGAGTAAAGAATATTGGGATAATATGTAAGGTGTTCTGCGTATTCTCTTGACAGAGCAATCGTACCATAACAATGTAACTAAAACCTGCAAGTTTCTACTAGTATTGGCTTCCAGTTTTTGGCCCTGCGATGAATGAAGCAGAAGGCATCTTTTAATCAAATCTTATTTGCCATTCTTGCGTATTTGCGCATTACGATCTATGCACTAACTGTATACAGAATTTACACACCGGACAAATTTGCGTTAGCACGAAAGCGGTATGAGAAGAATGAGGACGCAAATCAATTTCTAAAATCGATTTAGCCTCTAATCTCGTACGTGGAATACTTTTGCGGTTTGTTACAAACAAAATCAGTTATTCGATTTTTATTCCAACCTAGTCAATATAGTTAATTGTTTTTATCCATGCACCATACAAATTCCGCTAAATCATCTGACTCAGTTGTTGAATTAATTCGGAATGATGGAAATGTAGGACATTATAGGTGGGAGCTTTAGTAAGAAAATTATATTACGCGATCAACTAATCTGAATTATATCGATTAGGACCAAAAAGCGAATTCGCGGGAAAATTAGTGAATAGCGAGGAATGTTTTTTTACTTAAAGAACCAATCACCTAACGTTCTTTGTTTTATTTCAGTCGGTAATGGAGAGAAAATGACTCCTCGAGCGTTGAACTCGTCTATGGTCGCAATTTCAACCTCCTAAAAAGTCGGAAGTCTGAGTCGACAGTTTCCAGAGCATCTTCGATGCCGTTTGCGAATTCGATATTTTTTCATCCCATTTTCCCCCGTATTCAAACTCAAATATTCAATATTCATCTCAGGCTCGCCTACTGAATTTCGTATAATCTGACAAAATTCATATTTTACGTTACAAAATTAATATCGATAGCCGATGATTACAACTTTTCTACTGGAGGACCATGCTATAACACGACAATAGCCACAACTTTGAAATCTCTTTAATATGGTATTTGACCAAACAATAAAATGTTGAAATCGTTGAGCTAACAATGAAAACAAAGTGTATGATACCACTAAATTATCTGTCGATTCCCCCTACAAATATTTACTAAACTGAAATGCACTATAGAAAAACTTCCATTTGTAATTTTGAGACCTCGTATTCCCGAATTTTATAAATATATTTATTCGTAGTATATTATATATATATATTCTTATCATTCTTTTCGTTTTCAAATACTGAATACTGCTACCCCTGGAACTCTGTAGCAACTATTTCTTGGTGTACCCTTATAAATAGTTTCAAATGTTACGTAAGTTCCGGTTGTGCCATAAACTCAAAACAGTGAATCTCTATATATTTCTTTATTCCAGCCCGCATTTTAGACAGTCTTCCCATCAAGTCTGACAGCATGATTACTAATGAAAAGTCATCATGTTACGTTTCACATCACTTCGCTCTGTTTTCCCATGAGAATGTAACTCAATAATACGTCACATCCATTTTAGAAACACCCGCAGCTGCAGTACTTTGCCTCTGCGATTCTCCCTTTAATGCGACACAATAAGTTCCAATTCAGACATGACTACTGCAGCTGATCAGTTGACACCCTCTTTGCCCAATGTGTGACATTGTTTACAGCTACTGTAACAAGGCGTACAGTGTGGAGAAATATATATTCTATATTATCGCTGTTATTATTGATATTTGAATCGAACTCAGACCATGTTCATATTTATGAAGTAAAGGAAAACAAAACGTGGCCTCGTCTCAATTGTATCGCGTTGGAGGCGGGTGTATTCATCGAAAATGCATCGACTTTAAAAAATTTGGTGGAGGAATAGCTTTCTTTGTGAACAACAATACTGATTAATCAGTCTTCAGAAATTTGAATGAACAAAGAAACCTATAAGTTCACGCACAAAACATGCAGCTATTCCATGACTACGTGTTTTGAAATTTGTAGAATGCTTGCTTCATTAATTAACAAACATGTTCTCTTTTCTATCATGATTAATATAAAGCCACATTTCTAAAACATATTTGCAAATATTTTGTTATGTGTTACTGTGATAATTTTCTTTCACCTAGATAGGGATGTTGTATTACTTCTCTGCGATAACCTCTGGAGTTACCTCAATGAGACGATATGAAACGAAATCTTCATTAAAAAGATCGATGATTAGGAAAAGAGTACTTCGAATTGTTGTGACGTTGAGAAAGAGCTAAAACAATTATTGATTTGGAAAGAAATTGCATCTTATTTAACTATTTGCTTAATATGAATAACTGCCTTCAGGGTCAAATATTTCATGCAGACACGTCTCATTGCGGTTCCTTTTTGGATGATTCACGTTCCGTTACTTACCACACCAAAATGTGTATCACAACTATAAGAATTCTGGGGGGATGGCCACATATTTCTACGGTGTTAAAACTTTTCCCTCTCAGTATAGATGTACATATAGTTAGTTCGATATCATTTTGATTGCGTCAATCTCTTGGGAACGTACCACCAATATTACTCCCATCTTATCACGTCCACGCTGTTTATCAAAATAAAAATATGAAAAAACATTCTTTAATTTTCTTTTCTCATTAGTCGACACAAAAATTGTTCATCAATCTATATAGAAAAGATTATATTCGATTTCAGAAGTGTCTATTTCGAAAAATCCGATTTGATATTGATTGTCACTACAAAGAATATATGACGTTTGATGAAATTTGTAATTTTATATTGCTAGCACCCAATACTCCCAATTGCATTTCAAGTATATCGCATAGAATATAATATTCGTTAAATTTTGTGCTGCAAGTTACGCTATTTATTGCTCGTCAGTTGCAAACTTTCGACATTTCTATCGGCGAGGTTTCATGAATGCATCACGGAGTAGATCTGCATTTTACTATAGGGTGAATTTACATTTTCTCATTCATAGTATCGTCTGGCGTTAAACTGGTTGGGCAGTACTAATTTGACTTCTATAGCCTTTTAAATCTTTCTGTCCTATTTACCGTTTAATTGTTGTTTGATTTTGTATGAGGGACCTTTTCGTTTCTAAGTAATTTCCATCATATTTGTTTCAAATATGTTACTATAATTCCGATTTAAGGTACTTCTATTTGTGTGATAAACAGTAAACTTGACAATTCCAAGAATGGGTTTTCGCCTATAACTTTTTGCCTGGAGCGAGAGTGTATGAACTCAAACGTAACAGCATTGACTCCTCGGTGAATCCGGAGATATCACGTGCCGCATCCTATATGGGAACAACAACAACAACAACACTTTTGCAAAATATATTTCAACTTCGTGTCCAATGCGGTGGAAGAATTCTGATAAGGCTGGTTCTGACGACAAGTTTTATAGAACAACCGACTGACTATTTGTAAATCCAGAAAATTGTAATAGATACAGTGGTATTTCACCTTCTTTCAATAACCTCATGTCTAACTAACCTAAGTGGATATGCATTGAGTTTTAGTGATGCGTGCAGCAAACAGTGGGGTATCATATATGTTCATTTGTCTAAAAATTGCATATGTATGTAGTAAATATTAAATTTGAATTTAGAACTCATGATGTATACGTACAATGCCCTGACGCCCAAAAGAATGTGTGCAAAGTGCACCGCGTGCGACTGAATATAATAATTTATCAATCACACAAGAAAGCAATGCTCAAATATTGAGAATCGAAGGTTAAATACTCAATATTGTCACTACAGTGCCGCAGGAAAATATGCCCGCGAAATATAAAAACAACAAAATTGGGAAGAAATGTCGCACCCGTTCGGCTCAGAAATAACATGAATAAAAGTAAATTTAATAGTCTTAGAGACGCATTTCTTCAATTTTTGAGTAATTAAAATTGGTCTATTATGTGCGAAGGCAATCCAATGTTTACAACAAGAGAGCTATGCTCAAATATATTGACACGTCACGGCACATACCCCAGCTCACAGCTATATTGACACCAAGCGAAGCAGTACTGCAGCCGTTTACCTTACCTTTAGCATTGCCCGTACCGGTAACCTCAAAAAACTTCCGAATTTTGAGTAGCGAGAATTTTCGGGATCGGTCGTCACGCTTGGCGGATTAAAATCCATGTTCCCACGATTAAAAAGTGATACAACGAAATTTTGAATGAAATATCAGATCTCATAGGATTCATAGAAAATTTAGGACTAAATAAAAGTAATGGGCTTCTAACAAAAAAAATCAATCTTTAAATACTGAAAATTTCAAAGCAATTGGTCCAGTTTTCGAAGAGAAAAGCGATTTTATCATGACGAAGGAGAAAAATACCAAGAACAACAACATACTATTGAAACGATCGTTATGTACACTGACGTGTCCAATAACAGCAAGCTTAAGAAGAGAAACTTAGTTTCCAGTAAATGTACAAGATGCGAATCCTCGACACGAGCAGTAACTTCGTACTATAGACATAGAGTATAGATGGCAGATGTTGATGATCGCCTATATCAGGGTGGTGGTCCAAGCTTGTCGGCCTCGCGGGCCACACTAATATTATTTTATTGTTCGCGGGCCACAATAGTGCCAAGAATAGATTAACAGTGCAGTACACAGCAAACACTTTCATTGTCCAAACACATTGATCATTATTTGTCATTTATCAAGCTAAAACATAAAAAAAACACCAAAAAAACTCACTAAAACATGCAAAAATCTTACTATATCTAAATGTAGTGTCAGATTTCAAATTCTTCATAACGGAGAAAGTCCCATAAGGAGAAAATGCCGCTTTAGATTGTCACCAAAACAACTTGCAAATATATTAAGCAAGCATTGTGGTATTTTTCCTCCCATGTACAGTCAAAAATCTGTTCAAATTGGTCAGCTTTCTTTTCAAACTCACGTTTACAAAATAACTGCGGGTTGACTGATTACCGAGTTTTACCAAATTTGAGATGCAGGAGAATAATTACTAAATTTCCTGACATATAGGCAGCATTTTTTGTAATATTGTGTAGGCTGGTTGCAAAATAAAACACCAGGTAAGATTTATATTGTTCGGCCATCACATTAATATTGAGCTACCGGGCATAGCCAAGATATATAGGCTTATGGATTCCTTATTCGATTTTAAGTGCTCTATGAAGCCTATTTTGTTAGCATATATTCCCGACCAAAAATATAGAGAGCCAGTTAACAATTTAGACTAGCCAAGCTCATTATTTAACTTCGCTAATTGCCTTAGCTAGCCATAACAATAGTCAATTCAATGACATTTGTGATGTAACAATATGTCAAAAGATTTTTATGGCGAAACAAAACCAAATGCGATTTTTGTTTACCCTCTCGTAGAAGCGACGCGGGCTACAGATTATGGGGCAGCGGGCCAGATGTGGCCCCTGGGCCTGGGTTTGGACCACCCTGGCCTACATATATATATATATATACAGGGTAAAAATAAGACAAACCTGGTGCAGTTCGGGTCTCAGTTTATATTTAGCTACAAAACTATGCCGCAGTGTCGTTTATTTAGTGAAGCATCCAATTTCAATTGTTTGTAAAGCATTGTTTGGCAGTTATTTAGTTTACATAAACAACAAGTTAAAAAACAGACAGTTGACTAATATAAATTAAGCAATCGACGCATGGCTCAGTCATGTATGATATAAAGATTTTGCTCATTTAAAAATCAATTTATTAAGCGTCTCGCAAATCCAAAGTAGCAAAACTGGGACAGCAAACATCGTAAATTTAATTGCAACAATCACATTTAATATTTTCTAATTATAGTTGTTTATTTGGTCTTGATAATTAGAGTTCAACTCCATTATTTTTTGACAAGGAACGACCAGTTTCACCAAGGGGTGGCGAAGCGTCTCTGTTAGTCATAAGGAACAATACCTCGCTCAATCCCGACGTCAGTCGTTAAACCAAAATCAGTCTTCATTTCTATTGTACCGAAATCACTTAGCAGCGGGTGTCCTGCTTTCTGTAAAGCTAATTACTGAAGGGGAAGTCTTATTAGGTTTTCTGTAAAGATAGGTCGTCATTTCTCCTTCGACATAAGTCAGTTACGAAGACTAAATTTAGTAAAAGCGTAGTTTGTCATCTCAGAATGTCACACCAGTAGCGCCATACTGGAATATATAGAATATAGTTGGTAGCATTACCCCATAGGTTAGAGTTTGTATCATTAGCGTAGAAAATTGTTATGATCTTGAACGGTGCTTAAATTAAGTTTCAGAAAATTTATGAAATTTCAACATAACAATGTATGGAGTATGAGGAAATACTCATAATAAAAAATTTTCATTTTTCAAAATGACAAAACTCCGTTTATGGCCAAGTTACATTTTTCAGGTCAAGTAGTGAAAAGGCTATGTAAAATTGCTTTATATTTAGAACTCGTTTAACTGTTTTGGAAATCGTAATGAACACGCGGACAAATGAAACATTCGCAGTATTCTCACGCACGCTTGGCTTCCTAACCTTTATAGATAGAACCAGTCAATAGTTCACTTGTTATTCGACTTGTCCGGTAATTGGGATAATAAAAACTATATATTATTCAATCCAATATTATCCCGTTGAGACCTTAGTTACCTTCGGATATAATGACAAATGGTCTTGTTTTGCCTATTTTTCATTCATATCATGCAAATCAAAGCTCATGAGCGACACTCTTCCAAAAATGTGTAGTCCCATACGAATATAGCCGACAAACCCGCGGAATGAAACCATTTAGTTTACAAATGATGTAATGACGACTGTGTTTAACTATATGATATTACATGCAATACTTCATTTTCAAATTTTAGATACGAGTCCGAAAATGAATATACACATCTTATGGAGAGTTGTGGCACTATTTGTATGCTTGATATACAAAACTGTTCATAGCGATAATGGAAATGTCGTCATCCAAGGACAAATTAAGTCTAGGTTGAATAGATTTCATAAAATATTCAAACGTGGGGTAGAACCTACATTTGGTTCACTTACGACGATAAAACTTGCAGTGATTCTTCCCACACGAGACCCTTTTCTTTTTCAAAAAGGACTAGTCCAGCCAGCGATTGATTATGCAGTAAATTCAGTCAAAAATGACATGGCGGCAATAGGATACAAATTAGAGCCCGTCTATCGAGATTCATTTTGTAGCAGACGAGCGGCACTTGCTGTTGTGGATTTATATTACGATGATGATGCAATGTATAATCGGTCACTCTCGATGCCTGATGGCAAAAATATTGGAGTCGGTGGATTTGTCACTACACAAGGGTACAAAAAGGACGCTAAACGACGAAAGCGGAGTCCAGGTAACATGAGAGGTCGAGACCGTAATTCACCATTAGTGTTTCTTGGTCCTGTTTGCAACGAAGCAACATCGATTGTATCAGCTTTTGCAGAAAACTGGAACGTCCCATTAATCACAAGTGGTGCCCCAGCCGCTTGGATAACGCCTGGCCCAGATTACCCCACTCTGATTAGGGTGTCTCCAAGTTACTTGTACTTAGCTTACTTCATATCAATCTTATTCAATAACCTTGGCTATGGAACGAAAGTACCAATACATTTGTTGTATGAAGATGTCATTCAAGGAATTGCCGCAGAAAGGTTAGTTTATTCAACTAAATAAAAACTGAATTTTATTTACCAAATTTAAATCAGCGATTACTTGGTATAGGGCGCGCTCAAACGATCGAAGTATAATACCAGATTCAGTAAGAAATACTAAGCAGATCACAACACAAATCATCATTTTTAATTGATTATGAGGTTATATATTACTCCATTCTAGTCATATTCGGTGTAATTCAAGTTCGCTTACAATCTATTTCAGTCAAGAATTTCGATTTACATCTTTCACAAATGAACATATTTTCCTCATTTAGAGAATGCCATTACGTCATGCAAGCTGTTTATCACGTGCTCAATCGTGATCCGTACATGAGGCTATATGGGCCTACCTATATTACGAGCGGAGACTTCGATGACGAAAGAATTGCTTCAGACATGGGAGACCCCAGAGGTAATTTAGAGGGAAAATAGGTTTTAAAGGCAACGTCCTTGAGACTCAATTGGTAAACTAAAAGTTACTACATTCTTTCGATAACTTTTGCTTTCTTGTTTTCGACTTCTGATGTTGTGGTTGCAATTATTTTCATGCAGGTTCATATTGCTCCCATAAAATATTTATTTACTAGAACTTTCATTTTAGTTGTGCTCATGTGCGCTTCCAGTGATGTTGTGCGGAGAGTAATGCTTGGAGCGTACAAAACCGGATTTGCAAATCCGAGACGTAACATGTGGTACACCATCGATCTACGTAATACAGAGCATTACGCCAACGGGGCGTGGAAAAGGGGTAAGAAAGCTCAGTTGTATACGTTATAGGTGTGCAGTTACAGTCACCACATTAACTATTTGTGCTACTATAAATCCCGTGCTGAAATTTACTTTTCTTCTCTGAGTCAGGAAATACCATACCCGGGTCATATTAAAATTTCCTACTTACGAGTGTGTATTTTGTCGTTTTAGGAGACGACCAAGATGAGATTGCAAAACTTGCTTACAGAGCTTTACAAGTTATAACAATTTATACCAACAATGCACCAAGGTTCAAAAATTTTGTCAAGAAAATGAACAAAGAGTACGAAAAGAGCGGCATTCAACATAGCGGAACGGTGAGGCCTGACAATTTTTGTTTGTGGTAGATTTAAATTAAATTTTAAGATAAGTAAATTTTATTTGGAATAAATGAATTCATGCCAGCTTTGTTTTATTGTTTCTTTCAACATTTATTCTATAAATAAATATTTTAGGTGAACGAATTCGTGGAAGGATTTCATGACGCAGTGTTACTATATGCCCATGCAGTTCGACAATGTCATGAACGCGGGATCAACATTCGCGATGGGCGAGCGATATCGAGATTTATGAAAAATGTCACCATTCATGGTATATATACAAAAATATAATATTAGTATGTGAAAATTTTGCAACATCAGTGATTGTCTATACTCTATAGATATAAATTTCTCATTCATCTAACGCCTATCTGTTTTGTCAGGTATAGCTGGACCTGTCGTGATGACTGAAAACGGAGATCGGCATGGGGATTACAGCATACTAGCTATGAAAGATTACAAATTAGGGACCTTTTCCGTAAGTATGGATTTGAATACAAGCGATGGCATAAATGATGCATATTATCATATACGTATATGATATATAAAACACTATATATATATTTGTACATTCCAAATGAGCATAATTAATGGTTAGCAAGTTTGTCTAACTGAAGTGACATTGCACAGAATAACAGTAGCTTCGTAATAGAGAGTAACGTCCCATTAAACGATCGACACTCATTCAGTGCATAATTTTTTCTGAACTCTATTCTTCTAGTCTGTGTACGATTATCTTGGAAGCTGGGTCTTAGTTTATAACCACGGAATGCCAGAGTTAGACTTGACAGATGAAGGTGAGTGTGTTGGTATTACATATTTTTCATTAACTCTATACAACTTTCATATGCAAAACCAATTGACGTAGGCTACGTGTGCAGCGAAAGGGAACAGTCTCATTTTGTGAACTATGTAGCAGTACAACCGTATCTAGAGAATTTTTTGTTTTGATTGATTCATTACTATTTCAATTCTTTTCACTGTTCATAAATATTGTTATACTTTAAAGCTTTCATGAACTATTCCCAGTACAATAATGGAGTAGATGTCAAGGCCATATTAGCAGAAGCCGAAAGAGGTATGCAATTATATGCTTCGACAGTTCGTAATCTACTAATTCTTTATAATGTACGCCATAATGATATATATATATACTGAATCCTGAAGGTATATATAAATTATGTAAGACGGATCTTTGAGCGATGGCGGCTCATGACTATACTCAATACAGTTTTATTAGACTTGCTTACTTACTGTTTGTTTATCCAAAGTAGGATGTGTTTATTCGTCAAACTATTACTGCAAATTTGGCAATACAACATTTATTTTGCAATTTATATTTGACATATTTACCATGGGGTTCGGAGCTCGGGAATAACACTCGTCGCTCTTTCAACTGTTTAAATTGTAGTATCAGAACGTAAAATGGAACAATCTAAAATGACACCTGTACAAAAAAAAACTATTTCAAATGGGCAACGAAAACATAGAATCAATATCACAATAAAAATTACAATCTTTCTAATTTTATAGAGAAAGCTACACGGCCTGCAACATCAACAACACAACATGAAATACTCGCGGGAATACTCGGTACATTCGGAGGAATGATTCTGTGTTTTGTTCTCATATTTGGTCCTATGTGCTACAAGTAAGAAATTGTTTTCAATTGTAAAATCAGTGACAAAGGTGTTGTAATAATCACAGAAGCCATATCCTGTTCCATAAACAAGAGTAATTTAGAGGTAAAACTAATGCAATGTAACATTAGAATAGTAGGACGGAAGCTTTATCAATACTAAAATGGACGTCTAAGATGCAGCCCGTAAACTTGCGATAACAATCAATTCTTTTTTCAGTCGCAGACGACGGCCTAGAATGCCTACGAGTGAAAATGGAAATGCGGTAGGAAACTTTCTCAATGGAAATTCAGATCAGATATGCCTTCACAGACCACTTCGAGAAGAAGGTTCAGTTACTACATGCACCACTACGTTAGATGATGATCAGAAATTGTAATAGCTATTTAGCCAGAACACAATCTAACATTAACAACCATTCCCATTCACCCCACAGCCTTATAAGAAATTGGATTCTTATTTTATATGGTATTTTATTGCATGTGACAGTAACCAATGCAATATTCTACATAACGCTTTAGTTCTGAGCGTCGATTTTTACCGTTAGCCATATTTAAAATAGCTGTAAGAAACTGCGGATGCTGAAATTCGAGAATTATTCAGAAAAATTGGCCAAACTCGCTCATAATTTGTTACTTGGTGTTGACGTGAATTGAATCAATCTGCAGAAGAATTTGGGCTCGAAGCTGTCGAGATGGCAGCGAGCGAACCATTCAAGTTATGATTCCCATTCCAAACTAAATTTACCTTACGTGAGCTCGATGCTTGAAATAATTCTTGCGAAATGTTTTGCTTAGTGGCAGTATGTACTTACAATGCGCCTCAATTCATTTTGCTTATATCATTCATGAACGAATTTTAACCGTATTCTACAAAGTGTTTTGACCTTGTGAAGTTTGCCTTGTTTTTTTTATATCCAGTATTAGTTGATTTTTTTTGCATTCTGATAACTGTGTAAAATGAAACACTTTGTTTATTTGGTATATAAGGAAATATATTTTCTGAAAAACGTCGTTCGTTATTGTGTAGGCATACTTGGAAAACTGATTTCACTCCACATTTCAAAAATACTATCAAATTTTTTTAGTCGTTAGAATAGGCCTGTCTACATTTGTGTTATAATGATTCTAATAAATGCAATAATTTTATGATATTGAACAGTACCATTATACAAAAACTAACGTTGCAAATCCCGAGTCACTAAGAATATCTGACAGAAATTCAAAACAATAAACATTTACTAAATTGATAAAACTTCTCTGTGAATATTGCCAAAGTATTGAACATCTTTACTTAATATTTGTCTATAAATTCGGAATTTCTTTCTAAAAATGGGGCAACCGGCTATATTCATACTAGTCATAAAGTAGTAAGATTTATTGTTTTTTCATTGAATTCGTCCAATAAACAATTTCTGCAATGTAAAAAAAAAAGCGTAAAATACATTAGAAATCAAGACTACTGTTGGGATCCTAACTGCATTCGGCTTGTTAAAACCTTAACAGTCGGAAATAATTCATTGCTATATTTCCTTATACCGAGTCTCATTAGTTTCCGATAGCTTCCTTGCGTGTTTCGCCTCGGGCTATCGATTTAATCCATGTCAATGGCGACATTCTAATTGGCAGTGAAATCATGACGAATATTTACGACTCAAGACATATCACCGAACATGGCAACAAATTATATAATTGAAATTTGGGAGAATAGAATCTTTACCCTACAGATGTTTTATCACCAGCATTGGTTCAGTCGTTACACGATCTCCAATCCTTTCTTGGAGATGAATTTGAGACAGGTGCATCTTAATAGACTTGTATGTTCTTAAATTCAACTATTTTTTATTTGTAGTGTATAGCATAAATTTGCTTGCAACAGGTGCAGAAAAGTCTCAATTTCTGTCTTGACTTCCATTTCTCAAAACCCGGAAAATCCCCTTTTTTATGTTAGGAGAAAATCCCCATTTTATAAACAATCCGAATGAAATATAGAAGGTAGCAATTAAAAAAATCATTTTTATTTCGAAGCACAATGGTTAGTGTCTATAAACTAATAGCAAAAATAAAATAGCACCATGAACAATAAAAAAGTTATGCAATATAGTAACGAAATATGCTTAAAACAGATATGAATTCGAAATTGACTTTGGTTATTCAATCAATGAAAATGTAAGAATTGATTTGCAACAGCGCTTTTCAACAAATTGGAATTATTAACTAGAAAAAAATAACAGGAATGGTATATAAAAACTGTGAACCAGCGAATCTGTTGTGCTACAAATATGGGAATAATATAAAGAGAATCAAAACTTGTTTCTTACTCGTTATGAACTTAGTGTTGGAGTCTACACTAAATAAAGTGAAAGGCTTATAGATTAACAATGGCATCCACCATTTGTGGATTTGACATGGCTGATGATAAATTCATAAAATTGCTGGGAAACTTTAAAATTAACATTTAATTATAGTGCAATAATTTTACTAAAAAGTTATTTGAAGCCAAAAAGAAAAATCATGCAAAATGGATTTGCTTTTTCATTCCCCAATATTACACATATCATGTCTTGCATAAAGAATGCACTATAATCAATTAGAAAATGGGAATATAATTGCAACCTCACAATCTAATCAGAAATAGAAGGAAGTTCTCTTTATGAAATTCAAACCATCTTTCAAGACCAGGAATGTGTGTGAAACATTGGTTAAAATGTACACAAATAAGTATGCATATTATGAAGGCTTTCTTTGTTTTGAAAAGTGTTAAAAGTAAAGAATACAAATATGAAAATGTTAAAACAAATGGGAGCTGAAATTCAGTTTAAAAAAAAAATTCGAAACTTGCTTTATTTAATACTCAATCATAAAAAAGGCAAGCAAATATAAAATACCTAATATTTACATCCCATTATTCACCTTGGGCAGTCATAAGCAAAAATTAACATCAACTCGAAAAAGCGAGTCAATGATGAAATTGATATCAAATGCTCATGGGCAAGTAACCAATACAGCCATAAGAGCATATCATCATTGAGCGGTAGATGCAATTTCATTCCATAACATTATTGGGGACAAATGGTAAAAGCTGTGAAAACGTGGTTCTGTTAGTAGAGTGCTTTCAATTAAAAAAAATATATATAAATTAAAAAAATACGCAAGACAGATAATATTAAATTAAAGAGAAAAATACACAATATTAAATTTTCCACAATATTAGCATATTAATAAATTAAAATCAACATCAAATACTGTATAGTTTATTTTTATTAGAGATTATATATTGTCAAGGTAATAATGATTGTTCAGCAAAAATAGAAGAAAAAAAACAGTAACTTACTAACGCCAGGTTGAGTGAGGCAGAAAGCATTATCCATTATTTCATACAATTTTTAACCATTCACCCATACAGGGAGTCCTCGGGTTACGGCCGCGCACTCCATAACGCTGTTTCGAGGTTACGAACGCACTCCATAAAAATATAATACTGTACTGTAATATCTGAGCCCTTAAACTGGATCATTGTGATCAAGAAAATCAGTGCTTTGGGCTCATTGGTTCTCGTCATTTACATTGTGAATGACGTAGACAATTGCGAACTATTACGATTATGAACGAATAATCACTAAGCTTCAGTCACATGATACACAGTTTCAGTGATACTGCACGCCATTTTGGTTGTTTAAGCCGTTTTTTTTCGTAATTTGTTTGATCATTTTTTTTTGCCCTTTGTTATGGACTCGAAGCGTAAAGCAGCTGATACAGTACGATATGTATAGAGTAATTTATGTACTGTACAGTATAATGTTCCTACTAACACTGAAATTCGGGTTACACCGCTCCTCAAGAACAAAACAACGTCGCAAGTCGAGGACTCCCTGTATAGCCATTTGAATGGGTTTATAATATATTTCAAAATTTGTTTTGAAAAGTCTTATAGTAGTGGCAAATAGTAAAAAATCCCTCATGTTCTGGTACATTTATAAGTATATTTAATAATTAGTGTAAGGGGACAGAATATGAATGTTTTGAATAAATTTAGAATGTTATGTTTTTCAATCAGAGCAGTTTACAAAAAAAAAAACATTCGAAACAAATACTTTTACATACCAAAATTTGGTGCTATTGCTAAGAAAAATTAAAATTAATTATGAACTAAATTTTCGCAAAATTTCATAATGAAGTCATAATGAAGAGGTATTAATATGTATAAAGAATAAACTAGGAAACAGGAATATGGTTAAAATATTGTATATGATAATCTTTCAAACATGATGTAGGCTTACTTCAGACAAAACAAATCAAACGATAAAAAATAGATTATACATAAACATGAATTTGAAAACCTCGGTTCATGTAGGTACCGTAATCACAAATAGCTCACTCTAGGAGAATGATTGTCAGAAGGCAATTCATCGTCATCTTCGTGCATTCTGAGGAGAGGACGTTTGCTACTACTTCTATCTCGGCTTTGTGAATTCCCGTTTTTAGTTGTACCACATGCAACCGCCGTTTCATATGGCATTGGTACCTCATTGTGAGAACTTGATACAGTATTACTACGTACCTTATTTAGTAATGGATCAGTGTGTGATGATAATTTTTCATAAGGATCAGGAGGCAGAACATTTACATAACTTGCTGCACTTGCTTCTGATGCTTGATAGTCAGCTGGATAAGCTTTTATAAAGTCTGCTAACATATCTACAAGTTCAATGAACGTGGGTCGTTCATCTGGTCTTGGATCCCAACATGGAAATATTGCATCATTCCAAACATCATTCGGACATCCTTTAGGCTGTTTTAGCCTTGTCCCAGCTTTTAAAAGCTCATGCATTTCATGATTGGCCACTCCAGGATATGGATTTTGGCAAAAAGTGAATACTTCCCACGCTGTAACGCCGAATGACCACACATCTGTCATGGTTGTGTATATCCTGTCAACAAGACTTTCCAATGCCATCCACTTTACTGGCATTTTTGCAACTCTTCTCTGTCTGTAATAATTACTTGAATAAATTTGGCGAGAAAGTCCAAAGTCAGAAACGACTACTCGCATTTTTTCATCCAACATACAGTTTCGACAAGCTAAATCTCTGTGGATAATGTTTTTCATTGTTAAGTACTCCATACCACTAGCAATGTCATGTATAAAATGAAGTAATCTATTGAGGGTTAAATCTTTAACATCATTTGTCGTACGAGCCAAATACAAGTACGACCGCAAATCACCATTTATCATGAAAGGAAGAACCACTAGAGGTGACACCGCTTCAAACCCAGAGAGCCGAATTTGGTTATTACCATTTGTGTTCGAACCGTCTTCGGGCAAGCAAATTCCAATTAATTTCATTACATGTGGGTGATCCATATCTTTCATTCTTAATCCTTCTTTAACAAATTCTTCTCGTTCACTTGCATCAAATTCATTCATTTTCATTGTTTTCACCGCAACGTCAATTGTACCATCGGACCCAGTGGGTTCATCTGTATCGAATGGTTCAAATTTACCTTTGTAAACGCAGCCAAATTCACCCTCTCCCAGCACTTTAAATATTCTTAATCTTTCTCGACCAAATTTAAATTTCTCGAGTTTTGTCATTGTTTCTGGTGAAAGCATTGAGGAATCGGCAAGCAATGGTGTGGAATAAGGATTTAGTGTATTTGCATTACTACGTGACAAATTTGGAACTTCATCATACTCTCCAACAGCCATTCGACCATTTGCTGGTGTGTACACCACAGTCGGACTATTGTTTGTATTACTAGCTTTTCTAGCTCTGAATTTTCGTAGAGATATGAAAATAACACCAAATAGAATGAGTAATATTCCAATGATGATGCAAACAATCACAACAACACTTTTCTCATCTTTATTAGGTGAAGGTGTCATAGCAACATTGGTTGTATTTACTGTTACTGGAGTAATTGTTGTCCATGAAGACATAATGAAAGTTTTGTATTGGAATGGTCCACAACCTGCATTTGTACATGCTGCTACTTCGACAGTATATACACCTTGAGCCTCAACATTAGCAAAAGAAAAATTTGTTGCCTTTACAGAATCATAACATTTCACGAGTTTGAAAGAAATACATATGTTGTATCCTGTAAAATTTCCATTCAGACGTGAGTTATCTATAGAGCTCCATGACGCTACAAGTGCATGATAGTGTTCAGAGAGTGTTAAGCTACGTGGAGCATATTTAGGTTTTTCTTCTAGCGTTCTGAAATACTTTGTATTACTTAAAACAGAAACTTCATTTACTGAATTGCATCTCATGGTAACGCTATATGCAGCATTTGGCAAAAGTGATCGTATAGTATTTTCTACAGGACCATTTTGTAGTTGTACATCTAGACGATGCTGCTGGTTAATTTTGGCAGAATCTTGAATTATGATTGTACAATTTTGAAGTTGTCCTTGTCGATTATTTCCATCTCTGTATGTTACTGTGACTTGTCCTTTTCCTGGTTTGACATTCTCAATGATAGGAGGATCAAGCGGTGCTGGACTTAGGGTTGCAGCACAGCTAGAAGTGCTCAAAGGTCCATCTCCTACATTGGTGAAAGCCAAAACCCTGGCACAGAATGTCTTTCCAGGAGATAAATCATAAAAATTGAATGTTGTCTTAGTAGGATCCACAGTAGTCAATTTCCTTGCCTCATGGCCGCCATTGCCATGCAACAATTTTACTTTATATCCTCTGAGAATGCCATTGACATAGACCTCTGGAACGGGTAACCATGACACTTCGAGGCGACTTTCACTAACAGGTGTAACAGTGACATCTCCTGGAGGACGATCTGGAAAACCTTCTGCAGTGGTGAAACTATATTCTTTTGACCAGTCTGATGCACCAATTGTATTAGAACATTTTACAATAAATGTGTAATCAGTTACTGGTGTTAAATCAGTTAAAACTTTTTCATTCATTCCTGATCTTGAAGATATTTGTAGTGAAAAAGATTTGATGAAATCTGGTTTAGAATGCAGTTGTAATGAACAAGATGTAATTCTATCAAAACCATTAGACGATATTTTCCAAAACACTGATGCATTAGCTCCTCCAGAAGATGAAACAATATCATGCACTGTTGGGATTCCAGGTTTACGCTTTATGTTAATTCTTGTTTTTGTTGAATTAGCACTCCCTCTTCTGTTATGTACCACACAAAACACTTCATAAAACAGAATATTGTTAGCCATAGCATCATCTTCCCTAGGAAGAGCAGTCAAACTAGGAAATCTCACTGGTTTATGCTGCGTTCCATACAAGATTTCTACTGGTTTATGAACAGCAGAACTTTTGAATCCTTTATAATTCCAAACCACTTTGTCCACGTCTGGTGGGCCTTTGCCAACACAGGGTATCGAAAATTGTTCATGCCAACTTACAGCTATAATTTCCGGTGATGAAGATTGCATATTTACGCCAGGTGGACCTCTGATTGTCAAAGTGGCTGGCCTTGATTGTGCATTACCTCTACTGTTATGAGCTTTACATGCGTATACTGCCTCGTCGGATTTATATAAAGTCTTGAAGATAATGTAGCTTATGATAACACCATCAATATAATCAGGTTTGGCTATCCATACACGCATATTTCCAGTAATGCGTTTGCCATCTTTGTACCAATCAACTACAGTAGACCTGGGTCCTCTGACGCCACATCGCATTCTCTGAGCTGTTAAAGATATATCCCATGTGGCACCACTAGTTGGATGGTATGCTATGGACAACCTTTGTGCTTTACCATTACAAATGAAAAAGCACAATATGAAAGCGTGTATTGCTATATTAACAGAACCAAAATTATCCATTTTCTATTTTCCGGGTACTTTGAAGGTTCATAGCTAAACAGCATCTGCCAGCTTATATAAATCTGTAAATATCAGGATTTTGAAATAATTTCATGATCTCAGAAGGTTATAAAAAATAGGGAATAGGGAACAAAATGGGAATGTCAGAATTTGCGTATGTCCTAATACACATAGTAATACAGTAATGTACGGTATCTCATGACTATGTAAATCCCATCTGCTCACAATAGGCGATATCTAAATAAAGAAATACTGGAATGAGGTACCGTATTACACTTCAAAAGAATCTACTCATACTGCCACAACTCAGTAACTGCATAATGATAATGGTGAGAAATTTTCGGGGTCTCGTGTAGTTTCGTACCTGACATACTTCTAGTGGGCGCAGCATCACAATTTTTTGACATATCAATCCAAACCCCCACCTGACTATGCCATCCAAAAATTACGTCATTACGACATCACAATCACGTCATAGAGCTTGCCAAATATACGTACGATCACCCGAAATGGCATCGGCGCCGACGATAAAGAACTTACTAACGTCAGCGATCTCTCTCATATTGGATCGTCGCGACGAAAAAACGAGAGATTTCGGGTGCGCAGACGAGCGCGTCTCGGATGACAGTTCGTATAGTTTAAGGGGCGCTATTACATCACTGTGACGTCTTAGAGACATAATTTTTGAATGGCGTAGGTGGGGGTTAGGATTGACACATGCAAATATTGTTATTCTACGCCCACCATAAGTATGTTAGGTACGAAACTACATGAGACCCTATATATTTTACTTGTCCCTGCCGTATTTGACAAATAAGATGTTAATTGAATTAAAAGAAATAAACGCCACATTTACGATCACTACCTTTCAGCATCCTGTTTTGGCCAAACTAGAAACAGTGATAGATTCCCGCTCGATACACGTGATCCATACCATAGTCACTTTGATCCATACCTACCATTGAGGTGATACCTACTCGCCTACCCACAGCTCGCTTCTCGTCAAATTTCGTCCAAAAATGAGATTTTTCTGGGTCAAAACGCCACTAGTGGTCGAAAATGATCAATTTAGAGCACGAAACCTTTTTTATATTTCCGGAAGAACGGAAGCACATGCGGGTGAAAAATAAAGATAGAGCCGTGAAAATTGGAGTGGGAAAAACTTATATTCTCTCCCATTCGTCGCCGGAGTAATGAGTCTTTATCTTTGCATCATTGTCTTATTGCATCGCAGCTAATTCCACGCGTGAAAAAGGACTCTCGCGATTCCCACTTTGGTCACATTCGCGATCAAGTATAAATGTATGATCAGGACCCGAGTGAAAGCCCCTTTACTTCAAATGATGTGCCTGGACAACGTATCAAAAAAACTCCAAAATATAATAAAGCTACTCTTATTGCCCACGTTATTCGTTTTAAAAATAATGCATGATATGTAGATTTCCAATATTACTGGATATTTGATCACATCTTTCCCCCACAATCCATTTATGAAAAATCACTGATTGGTCATTAACGTAATAAATTATATTTACCTGCCCTGTATTTGCCGTAGAATACACCAACCATGTCTGCTCTAAATGTTACTTGTTGATTTAAATGTAAAAACATTTATGACGTTATGACGTTATAATTCTTAACGTATCAGTGTCAATGGCAAATTTCATTTTTGTTAACAATAATTTTCCACGAGCACTATTTGTAAGTATTTAACTTTATCAGTTTAGGAGTTGACATACTTGCAGAGCACATTGGGAGTCATCGAAAATATAGCTTTGCTTCTCATTATATTGAACAGCAATGCGTTTCCGGCGGAGTCAAAAAGTGTATATCTTTGTGGCTTTGATTACATTGAATTGTATAAAAACACTACTTCTTGGCATTTGTAAAGCGATAATTTTGAGCGCACAAATAAATTTGATAATATTGTTCTCTGCAATGTAAACATACCGGCCTTCTACCGAAATATTAGGATTTTTGTACACATCGCCGTGATGGGGTGAAGAGATGAGCGTAATTAATCATATGACAAGGCAAGGCCGTATTTCCGGTCACCCACGGGAATTTGTTCGCCATACTGCAAATGTATACACGATGTTGATTGAATACAAACCAGCGTCCTAGGTACCTATTGTAATCACTAATGAAAAAGTAAGGGTATTACCATCGGTTTATCGAATGGACCAAGGTTGAGTCGCTATGCTATTCAATTTTATTTGTCCCGTGTAGAATCAAATACAGTACAGTACAGGTACAGGATTAGGTTGAAAAAAAAAACGTTTGTAAAAATCTTGTCAGATGACAGTAGGCGCGTCAGCACACCCAAAAGCTGCTTTTGCAAACATTTTCTATACCTATGTAGGGTCTAAACAGGAACGTCGGCGCTCCGATTGGTGAGATTTTTTATGATCGCAAATATACGTTTTTGATCGTAATTGCCCCACTGACAAGGTGGAAGTAGAGGCAGTTTAAACGGTTTTCCGGTCACTGTACCGGCATGATTTTAGGGGAAGTGGTTGAGATGGATTTGTAGAGTATGTTTATGAAAAAATGAAGTGTTTTCTGTGATTACAAATCTGATTAGAAGCATTTTGGTCAAAATGATCGCATTACCGTGGTGGTAAGCGCTTTGGGACATCCATGAAGGCATCATGTTTATAGTCACATGAACATGTTCATATTCACTTTGCTCTAAACCAAACTTGTTCCATACAGGTCAAGACTGACAGACCAAAATTTTGATATGCATTTGAGCGATTAGTAAAGCAAAAAGGTCGCCAAAAATCTCACTAAGGAAAACATACATTGAATGTTCTATTTTTATTATATATTATGCTGCAATACATCTTTAAATAACTTCAGCTATATGGATGCTGTTGTTCGTTTTTTTTAATGAAAAATAAAATAATATCAAAATATCGTTTTTGTTTTGATAATGAAAATTATTCAGTTTTCATAGTATGACTAAAAAGTGTGGCTCCTAAAACATAGGATGAATAAAAAATTATGTTTGTTTAATAGTAATAAGAGATTTTCGTCGTTCTGTAGATCTCGTCAACTCAGTGTGCTTTAAAAATGCACTTCTGGTGAAGAGTGTGATTTCTTAAACTTAAGAAGCTTCTGTTTCAAGCAGCTTGATGTATTTTGCTTGCGAGTAAAAATTAAAGCGTAAAACACCGATTCTGCGGGAATCCAGACCTTCAAATTTACTAGCAATTGTCTGACTGAAGTTTTATAGCCGTCCTAAGTTAATAGGGTGATTTGTAGGAAGTTTATCATCGTTATAGAAATGGATAAGAAGAATTGTTTAAAATCATGCATTACAGCTTTGGACCAAGTTTTTTCCTACATGGAATATGTATTTATGGAAAATCAATATCTTTCACTATTATATTATACATCTCACGTCGCGCTGACCTACATTTGCAAAAGTACATTTATGGACAGCTACATTCCCACAGAACCGCTTTTCCAAAAAATGGTCCCGTCCCTCGAAACCAATTCTCTTGCTCTTAAATCCGGTGTTTTTGACGATCCTAAAATTGACGTACCGCAAATCGGCTTATCGAATTTGGCGATTGGTCGAATTGGATGCCATCATTATGACGTCACAAAATGCCCATTTTATATTTAAATTGAAAGCTTGGCAAAGAAAATCTAGAAATTGCTGATCTTCGCTGTGAGATACCATGAAGCTTCGTCGTAATAAAGTGGGAGTCGTCCCACAAGACGATGGCGAAAGACCTCGCGTATCACGTACCGGTAGTACGAGAAAGTGGAGTCGAAGGAACCGCAAAAAGTTGGATACAGTGAGTGATGTCATTTATTTAGATTTTTTACATGTATTTTTCCGCATTGGTTAGCGAACAAAAATGTTTATATTGATATTTGTTATGTATAAGGTTCTACCTAAATGTAATATTGATGATGCTAATCATATGTTCGAGTACACTTCACGTAGTCGTAGACATAACTCAAAAAACTCAGGTGCCGATCTTTCGTGGAGCAATTCAAGTAACGCGTAGAAAAGTTTGAGGTTCAACCACGCACTTGCTCGACACTAGACTCTATGTCTCTCTACTCTATGTGTCTCTATACTTGAGCATGGGAGAATAAGCATGGGGAGTTTAATCTGTAGCGGGTACAAAAGGATAGTCTTTTGATATTTTCATCATGTATTGTTGATAGATAAATGATATTGTTTCCTCGCTCAAGTATTGCTCGTCTTGCGTTAGGGTTTTAGGAGTATTTTGTTATCTGTTATTTGGGTCAATTCGATGGTGCAACTTTACAATATACGAGCATTTGTTATTACAATACATTGTGTGCTTAATGACTTATGAGAAGTTCAGATTAGAGTTGCACGCAATTAAACGCGTGTCAACCCAATAACACGTGAGTGGACACGCAGATAGGGCCAATTATCCTTCTCCCAAAACTCACTCATTTATTCGCTCTTAACTGGGCTCTGTATAAGCAACTGCACAATATTATAGAAGTGTGCTTTTAACAGTTATAAATGTGTGTGTATTTAACAGTTACTAGATTATTTATTTGAATAACTTTTAACCAACCAACTTTTGGACCACCCTATATATTCGAAGTTAAACTAGAGTTCATTCATATGTTTTCTATAAATATGGGTTTGAATGAACAACTAGTGGAAAGTATTTAGTATTGATTTTACTTGAATATGCACTTATGCGCTCCGCTACAAGGTAAGGCACAGGGCCTTTATAGGACGACGTAAAGGAACATATTTTTTAGTTTTTGAACTACAGCCTACATCCCGGATAAGTTGTGAATTTATACTACCGTACTTTTGTGTGGTATTTTTGTCGAACTGCGGAATCGGGGAAAATTCACACCTGCCTCAAGTCCAAACTTTCAGATATTTGCAAAATGTCTCCCGACTCCGGATTTACAAGAAACTTTGACTCTGACTCCAATTTCAGAAAAATGATTTATAACAAAAACTTTGTGTATGCAAGCCTGCCTTCTCTTATAGTCTGTTGAGAATGCTTAGTCAACCTGATGCTTTTGTCGGAAATTTTAATCTCAATTGTCATCATTATGTCTCAAATTCTGACTCCGCACTCCAGATAATTCAAAAGTTCGACTGAAGTGCCGGCACCATACTCATGAAAACCAGAGTTTGACTCCGGTTCCGACTCCGTAGTTAAGGAAGCGACTCCGGATTGGACTTCCGAGAGTTTGAAATGCGATTCCGGATCGAATGTGTGTATATTCACCGCAAGCCTGCTGATTGGGTGCTCAACAGAGAATATTTGAGGTAGAATGCATGCCTGTATAGTGTATACCTGACAAGAATATAGTGTGTATATCTTACTTGAATATACACTTATGCGCTCCGCTACAAGGTAAGGCACAGGGCCTTTATAGGACGACGTAAAGGAACATATTTTTTAGTTTTTGAACTACAGCCTACATCTGGGATAAGTTGTGAATTTATACTACCGTACTTTTGTGTGGTATTTTTGTCGAACTGCGGAATCGGGGAAAATTCACATCTGCCTCAAGTCCAAACTTTCAGATAGATATTTGCGAAATGTCTCCCGACTCCGGATTTACAAGAAACTCTGACTCCAATTTCAGGAAATGATTTATAACAAAAACTTTGTGTATGCAAGCCTGCCTTCCCTTACAGTCTGTTGAGAACGCTTAGTCAACCTGATGCTTTTGTGGAAAATTTTAATCTCAATTGTCATCATTATGTCTCAAATTCTGACTCCGCACTCCAGATAATTCAAAAGTTCGACTGAAGTGCCGGCACCATACTCCTGAAAACAAGAGTTTGACTCCGGTTCCGACTCCGTAGTTGAGGAAGCGACTCCGGTTCGGACTCCCGAGAGTTTGGAATGCGATTCCGGATCGAATGTGTGTATATTCACCGCAAGCCTGCTGATTGGGTGCTCAACAGAGAATATTTGAAGTAGAATGCATGACTGTATAGTGCAGCGTTTCCCAAACTGTGTACCGCGGAACACGTCTTTCGAGTGTTTCGTGGAAAATGAATCAAAAATACATCTAAATGAGTCGCCATGGCGATCTAGCGATTGTGAAGTTGTCGCCAAACTGACCTTTCAGTACCGCGTCACCGTCGGCCTAAAGCGGACTAACTAAGGTAGGGTAGTGGCATTTTCGTTAACTGTCGTCCTAGCTTTTTATCAAGTTTGCATCAATCCTTTCGGTTGTGCTATAGATAGGCAAACAAGTAGGTATAATGAATGAAGGCAAATGGTCAACTCTTTTTCCGCCATCTCTGCCTGGTTTTACTTTGAAATGCTGAAAAAATTACTCATGTTCGCTGAACTCGATTCAGCAGATAAATAAACTGCAGCTCGCGAAGTTGCAGCAAGTACGTCTATCTCCATTAGACGTAACATTAGAGGCAAACACTGCGTAATGGAAAGTAAACGACGTAGAAGGGGAAAATAAATTTGTTGATTCATATACACAGCATTCAAATTGAGAAGCAATAAAACATTTATGAAAAATGAAATATGTAAAATATTCAATCATATTTTAGGTATGTTTAACACAATTCTGTCAGTTTCAACTCGCCACGACGAACCTATTGGGAACCGCTACATTGCACTGTTTTTTTTTTTTTTTTTATCAATTTTACCCTTTCATCTTTTGGTGTTCCGCGAGGCGAGATAAAAAGTGTAAGTGTTCCGCGGCCGAAAAAGTTTGGGAAACTCTGGTATAGTGTATACCTGATACCTTTTTATAATTGCCTGTACGTACCATGACTATGACAGAATGTGTGAATAGATGGCTTTTGTGTAGTTTCTTAGACAGAGCTTGATTCTGATCCAATGTGTGGTAATCCTCATTCATTTTGAAGTATTACAATAAACACTCTTATGCTTTAGCGTAGTTGCTTGTGTTAATTCAGACTGGGTGATTGTCGATGATAATTTCGCAATAACGGTCAAGTCATTTTCGAGACCAAAGCAGTACATTTGCGCGAAAATCTTAGGCGCCAACCTCTGCTTTGAAGTAAAGTATTGGTAGGCAAATGGCGCAATGGCTGAGTTACTGGTGCGCGCGCATGAGGATTTCAAGCTGAAGATCTTGCCCTGCAATACATCTTTTCCATGTGGAACTCAACTTTCATCAATTTTCACTGGAAATCAACAAGACGATAGATCTGGTTCTTTCATTTTATAGAAAATAGCCGTGTAACATACTTGTAGCTGACAAGTTGAACATTGCCCATTATGGCGTACGCTCATTATGACGTAATAAGGCATGTGTTTTCCCAAATATTGTAATTCTAAAGAAACCAGTTAATGAGCTACTATTCGCTGTCGGGTACCATGAAACTTCGCCGGAATAAAGTGGGAGTCTTCCCACCAGATGATGACGGGGGATATGGCATATCACGTACCGGTAGTACCAAAAAGCGGAGTCGAAAAAATCGCAAAAAGTTGGATACAGTGAGTGAATTACTTAACTAATTTTTGAACGCGTTTTTCTGTATTGTGCCGATTGTTGACAGACAGATTTTTTCTAGCGAAAAATATACAGAGATTTGCTGAACTCTATCTCGTCACAAGGAGTTTCGTGATAACCAGGGGTGGGAGTTTATTAAATTATATAGGTTATTTGTCTATTATAAGAAATTGATGTCTGTTTTTTGCATATTATATGTAAGTTCACCGCAGATCGTGCAATGTGATCAAAAGCAGAAATAAATCTTATGTTCCTAGGAAAAAAAGATCCCAAAAATTATCTATCCACATATCTCATCGACTCTGTTTTTTAAATACAGAACCAGTATTTTATATTTAAAGCAATAATCAGTCACTGTTTTGAAAAATCTACGGGAAGAAATTCAAGCCTGCAAAAGAAGAGCGAACGAAATTACTAGCAATAGCCATAGCCCGTCAGGGTGTTCCTCCATATCTCCTACAATTTTATCCAATCGATTTTACCGTTTTAGTTGAGATCTATCGAACTTTCTTTAAAAAACATAAAGAATCATAATATTCCTGCTAAATGCTGGTTGTATTGGGTAGTTTTTTTAAATTACTTTTTAGCAATAGTGAATCTATGCATAATGCTATAAGTCTCGAGCCAAGTACGGGCAACTTCGAGTTCCGTGTAAAGTCGAGTCGGTGCTCCAGAAGTATGCGCAACAAGATGTCGCACAACCTGAACCCTAACCGGTACACACGTACTATGTTCAGGTTGCGCATACTTCTGGTGGTCCGTCGAGTAACTACTGCACCACGACAAATGACTATGTTCAACCGAAATTGGTCAATAGTCGTGATTGACATCGTCTTCGGTGATTATTCGGTGAGGTATTATCTTCATTTATTTTAGAAACCAGATGATGAAGAAATGCAGTACTTGAGCGCTGTACAATGCGTCGTTGCGTTTGTGACTTGGTTTGGTAAGAGACTGAAGAAAGCCAACAATGCTGTGGTAAGGAAAACTATATTTCATCATTCCTCATGAAGCTGTACCAAAAACCAAGCATATTTTGGCATGGGCGCTAATGGGTTACTCGTCGATTATGATTAGAGGATTTAGCTATTATTTTAAAGTTTTTATGACGTTTCAAAGTTCAAGATGAAAAATTGATGATGATGCTGTTTAGCGTTTATTCCAAATCCCGAACCCATAGTTTCTTTTGCCTGAATCTAGCCTGTTTTGTTTATTATTTTTGGTATATTACAATACTCAGTTTTATTATCCGATATGGTCGTTTGCAAATTTTCAAACCTAACCTTCACATTCCCAGGGCTTGCCATGTTTCTTCAGATATGAGACCAAAGATTCGTCATCGGACCAGAGTTGTGATTTCGAGCCTAATGAGAACGTATGATATATTATATTCATTAACCATATATTAATTGATTGCATTGTAGATAAGAAAAAGCTTAAATATTTATATATTATCTTCGTCTCTTTTAAAATAAATCTTCACCCTTTTCCTAATTATTTTAATAGAGGAATGGAAGATGGTATAGAAAACAGAAGAGAAGAAACTGTGGAGAGAAATATGTTAAAGATAACATCAACAAGGAAGCTGTCAAAACTACTTTGAATAAAATTCTTTCCGGCCTGAAGGTACAATACTACTCAACTCCTGTTAGCGTGTTGGGCACAACTAATGTGACTTCGTATTTCAGAGATTGTGGCTCAATACCTAATTTCTAATAGTAGTAGGAAATACTAGATAGCCAATGCTCTGTTGAACAACTTCCTTCTTTATAAACATGCTACTACTCTGCTGCAAGTGTCCAACCCCTTTCGGAAATAGAGAATAGTAGCAACAGAACTCATTTTATTAATTAGGAAACACACAGATCTTGTCATAAATAATTTTTCGTGTCTATAGTTACAATCAGGTTAATGTAATGTGTTTTTCACAGAGAAAAAAGAAGATGAATCTTAACATAAAAGGAGCGGAGAACCGCGACAAAAAGCATGGAAGGTCTCTAAGAACTATGATGGAAGTAAGGTTTACTTATTACTTTATTATTAATATTTATATAAAATAAGGATGCATTGTCAAATTAAGAATACATAATCTATGTATTGTATCCTATCGAATTGTTTATAACTATAATCCTTATAACAGATTATTACATCATGCTTTCCAAAGAGCGACAAACTGGATAAGATGAAAAACAAAACAATGAACAATGCATTTGACAGTGGGGGTGGTGGAGCAACCTGCTCCCCACGCACACCTTCACCAGAGAAGGTGGGAAACAAAACAATGAACGATGCATGTGACAGTGGGGGTGGTGGCACAATCTGCGTCCCACGCACACCCTTGCCTGCAAAGGTAAATTACAGATTGTTTCTAGTAAGCAGTGTTGAAGATAATCGAGTCATTGATTCTGAGTGATTCGATTCTTACCCAACACGATGTATGTACACGTTTATGCCCCATGCGATTTGAGCCCGCGCAAGGTAATAGGAATTGCTACGGTAAGCGTATTTCCAACCCTTAGTATTTTGCCCAAATTTTCGAAACACGCTATATATATAAGTAAATCTCAGTTGTTTGAGTTTAAAAAAATGTTGGGTCAATCTTAAGATGGTATTTTCAGGTGTCAATGTGATTCACATTTATCCATTATACTGTTGTTCATGAAATCTACATTGACTTTAATTTGAATTGTGACTAGAAATAGCAGTGATTCGGTTCGACTTGCCACAGGAGAGGGGGGCTTAGAACTTGAATTTGAAGCTGGTACTTGACTCTGACTAGGCCGTGACTGAATTGTGGTTTATCACCACAGAGATATATTACATTGCATTAACCCAATAATTACATTTTGATTCTGTTCATAGTCTACGGATTCAGGTGGCAAGTTGGTGTCTGCAGCTGATGATGAACCAGTGGGTGGTCGAGATGGAGATGAAAAATCGTCTGTTGTAAGCAAATTAATCTGATTATATTTTACGCATTGAATGTTTTAAAATACTTGAGTATAAAGGTTGTAAACTGCTCGATTTCAAACTCATGAGACGCAGAAGAGCCTCCAGGGCATTGGGATTTCCATCATGAAAATAGGAACATATATGATCGAATAAACCCTATTATTATCACTACTATTATTTTTGACAGAGCACAGAGAAGAATGCAGATGAGAGTGCAGCGTATGATGATGATTTTTTCGATTCGTTTGATGATTCGATTTCTGCGGTATTGAATTTTATATTATCTCACTTTGCTCATATCTAAATATTATTAATTACTGGGATAAACATCTTTGTACTATTATTTATTTTAATTTATTTACTACATACACATTTCAGGATTTCAGCGACTTCGTTACGGATGTCATTGATTCTGCAAAAGGCACCGTCAATCCTAAAGTATGAACTATTTAATGCGTTATAGTCAATATATAAATATAGAATAAATTATTAAAAATAGTTGTTTTTTTCAACACAGGCAGAATCTGGCAACAGCAGTGATGCATCTTCGATCGCGAAGGTATTTATCATATCGTCCAATCTTTTTTGCTTTTGCTGGAACAAGTTTTCTATCTCTATTTATTTTCTTTGGCAGAATATCAACGACTTTGTTGCGGAAGCTATTGGCAGTGCGAAGGATAATATCAATAAGGAAGTAAGTTTAATACGAGCATTATATCTCCGAAGTAGACCAGTTGAACTAACCAACGTGTTTTTGGCCACGTTTATTCGAAAAATATGAAAACAAAATCGCACACTGAACACATTTAGTAGTTTGATATATATATATTAAACCGTTTTAAATATCATCCTTATCTATGTATTTATCCATTTATCAGGAGGAAGAGAAGCGTAAGAGAGAAGAATTTTTGCAGTCAATGAGACTTGCCATGGAATTGGTGAGTATAATACCAATAATTCGGATATTATTTAAATAACATTACACTGTTATATATATATCAATCTTTCGGAATTTAGGCAACAGAAGTTTATGAGGTGTTGGAAGCATTAATACTTGGAATGCGCAAAAGAATTCAATATTGCCATTCATAATTAATGTGATATTTGGCAAAAGTTTTCTTCCAGAACAAAACTTTCTAACTTTTATTATTCTCTACTCTCAAAAGAAATACAAATTTCTTTTTAGAGAGAAATTGCAGGTGAAATGGCTTTCAATGCAATCTGTGGAGCAATTGTTCAACTGGAACATGAGAAGGATGAGGTAAGTTATATATATATATATGTATATTGAAAATGTTCCTTACACGTTACAAATCTAACAGAAATTGTATAGCAGAGTTAGAAGCGTGCTTCAGGGAGTATCAGTTGAATTAAATGGTCAGGGTTCTGATTGAAAACAGACAAAGAAAAATGGTGGCCCAAAACTAAATCTCCCCTATAAACTTGAATTAGATTTGAGCAAAAATTTATTTATATCAAATTTTCAGAATGTTGGTGATGACAATGTGATGAATATTTTGTCTGGATACACTGCATCAGTAGAGAAGAATCGTACCGAGGTTCATCTTTTATAATTCTAACCCGTTTACTTTAAACAAAAAACGGTGATCACATTTTCGTATTGAATTCTTGCAATAATTACATTTCAGATATTTATTCAAATGAATTTTAATTTTTGCAATTTGAAATACCACTTTAACTTTTGTATTAAAAAAATTATAACAAAGTCTAGTTTATGATTTATTTTTTGCTTACTTATTGATAAGTTATAATGTTTTTGCAGAAAATGTGCAGAGGAATTGCTCAGTCTGTGGTTCTGGATACGATGGATATCATTCGCAGAAAGGAAGAGGAGAAGGTATGAAGGATTTAGGAAATGTTTTAATTTTTTTGTAGCTGTTTTCGATTGAAGAACATACCATTGCACAATTAAGGTAGACTATGAAAATGGAATGAATTGGGCAAAGATACCTCGGGTATTATCGAGTTAACAAAATTGTTGTTGTTGTTGGTTGTTACGATTATTGTTGTTGTTGAAAAATCGCCTTTCTTCGCCCAAATCAAATTGTCAGTATATGAAGATAGAAGCCAGTGGCAATTACAGTAGTTGTTTTTCAAATTATGGTGGAACCCGATATTTCCCCAAGAACATTATTGAATTCTAGTTGAAGGGGATCAATTTTTATTACATACCGCCACTTGCCCGTCAATCATTTTAGCAAACACAGTGTTCTTGTGACTAACCGTATCGGTACTGATGCGATATTCGTGTCACTTTATTTAAGCATATTTCTCTTGTTTCATTCAAAGCATTAGATGTTTTTTGGATACTGGTTCACTATCACTCGAATTTGACTTAACTTAATTATTGTTAAAGCGTGAAATCACTTCAATTCTTCAAAAATACAAGAAAAAGGTTCCAGAACCGATTTCACTTCTACCTTCACCATCCGAAATGGTAAACCAATTTAATACTGTTTTGTTTCACTTTTTTCACACTGTATCATTATTAGATTTACATTCTAAGGCTACAAGTGAGTAGCACTCTTTCAGAGATTAATACCTCCTTCAAAGACATTTTGATGGTTTGAAATTATATTAACTATTGCTAACTAGGCTGAACTTCTTCATTTAAAAAACTGTTTTTCATAAAAAATATTCTGGAAATTTGCATATTTTGAACATAATATTGACAAAAATTAGAGCACAAGTAACAGGTAACAGATCTCAATGAACAATTAGAATATCAAGTGTATAATAGTTTATTTATTGTTCAATTTTTAAGATTCAAATCTCAAAGACCATACAGCCATTTGTCGCAGCCACCAGGATAGAACGTAAGTTTCACTATGTTGAATTCATTAACTCGTTAGAAATATCTTGTAAACAGAACATACAATACTATAAACGTCAGTTCCAAATCTGAATACCTTTTTGTTCGAATATTTATTGCCGTAGTGATAATTTGGGCAATTGAAGATGTGCTAAAGTAGCCTACATCGATTTTATTTTAAAAAGTTGTGATTTAATTTCTTTTAATAGTATAACATCTATTTTCAGCTGAATTCTCTGGAACTTTTGCCGAGTTTTCAGCTCCATTTCCAACTTCCAACACCATTGTTCGTAAGACAAGAAAACCAGTGGCTTTCAAATCTCAAATGCAGGTTATTACTCGCGAAGAAGAGGAAGAGTTACTGAGAAAGGCAACTGGAAAATGTAAGGTTTACTTCTTTATGCTAATATAGAAATCGTTGAAGAACTCTTTCAGGCAATTTCTCTCCAGCAGTAAATCATATTATTGCATAGGTGGCTTTTATTAATAAAATAAAATAGATACAAATCGAAATAAATAATTTTTTAATTCTAGGTCCTCCCAGTAAGGACAGAAAGCGGCAATAATCCAGGATATTGTGTACGACAGCACGTCGTATTTTGATTGTGCTAGTCGTGATTATTTTAAAAATTTATTTTGTTATATTTTGTATTTTTTGTAAGGCAATATTCCCAACATCCTAACGTTTTAATATGTTTAAAAATCCACTTTTTATTATGTACATTTTTTATAAAAGCTTACCCCATCTGCCCCACCATTTCTCTTTTGAAATTGATGAAACGTATCAGTTTAGCTCTCAATCACGGTCATATCCTTATTTACCTTAAATTTTGATATATTAACATAAAAAAATATTTAGCAAAGATGGTATGACAACACAACTCAACATTTTTTGGCTTATTTGGTTAGAGTTATCTATGATCCTCACCTATCACTAAGCTTCAGAATTAGTTACACGTCACATATGTGCGTTGTTTATGATTCTGTACAATTAGAACATTTCAAATAAGTGTATCGCTGAAAAAATACCGTACAAATTTTATAGTGAAGGAATATATTTAAGTAGGTAATAATGACCCGCAACCATTAAATACCTGTGTCGTGACAAAATAAAACATTTTCTATTAGAAACTGGCAAAAGTTATAAAAATTGAACGTCAAACGAATAATGCAAAACATACTGCATTATTGAACGATCTTAACGTGAATATGTGATGCAGTCCAAACACAGATTGATATTTTCTTAGAGTGAGTACCCTTTGCTATTTTAAGACATGTTCTACGAGCTAATAAATCAATTCTTAACTTGAGGCATTATTAAAAAAGCGTCACCAGCGCATAAAGTACATTTTTTGTAGTTTTAGTTAGATTATGCTTTGCTTATAGGCTACCTAGCAAAGTCTCCCTTTCGTTCAGAGATTTGTCTTACTTTAGATAATATTATTAGAATTTAAAACGATTTTCAAAAACTGGCCAGCGTGGAAGCCTAATCTTAATTTTTGGCATTCTGACAAAATCCAGTATAAACGTGCTAGAATGATTGCTGTATATTTTGAATTGGGTGTTCTCTACTGGAATGATCTTGTTTATTCCGCGGTACCAGTCCATTCCTGATTTGGGAATATTTAGCTGATAATCGTTTCAGACGCGTGAGTGTAAATTGTGGAGCAGTTGCGAGAAATTACGTAAACCACTCAGTGATGTTGAGAGATTTATGTTTTCCACATTTAGGTTTTTTTATGCTGGAATAAAAGAATTCCGGTAAACGGTGAATTCATTTGACGAACCTTGGCCTCTCGCCGGCTTTAAACAGCCGCGCCGGGTGTGGGATTAGCTAGTTTGATCGAAATGCAGTTCGGAACTATCCTTAAGAACTATCAAAAATTTGGTGGCTATTACTATACCCGACCGGGACTGTTAATTGCGCGAGAGGCCATGGGCCCGTGGTTCGACATGTAATTTAGCCGTTTCATCAACTTCCTTAATTTCAAATTAATGTCTGAATGTGAGAAAATCGAAATCCCCCTGACATCACTCGTTAGTGCACTTACCCAATTGCACTGCTCCACCATTATGTTCATGTCTTTGGAATTATTCCTTGGCTAGCTATTCTCACGGCCAGGAGTTGACTGGCAATAGACGTGTCTTTGCCGCAATTAAACAAGAATAATCTAGTGCCGATGAAGTGACTTCAGTGATGCCCCGACCTAATATTTCAAAGCAATCCACTCAGTTTGACTAATATGGGCTCGTTATCAGCAGATTTATCTGCCCCAAATTAAGAGTTCACTACCTATAACACTGGGGTTGTATGAATTTGATTCAGATATAGGTAACTTGGTTCCAGAGTATGAGGTTAGAAAAATGGTGTAAAGTTAAGTGTATGCATAAGGGACTATTATGCCTATTCTGAATATATAGCGTTTTATTGTGAAATATGCTTCGCTTTCCCATAGTTTGTAAATTTCAAAATGCTCGGAATGATTCGAGAGTTTCCGATTTTTTAGGACAAGTTAGAATTATTGCAGAATAGAATTATCCAATACATTTGAAGAATTATCCGGATGATGGGAAAGTTCCTATTTTATATGTTCGAGAAAAAATGTATTTCCTGATCACCCATATCAATTTTTTTTTCATTTTAATCACATTTATATGTATAATAAAAATGAAATATAATATAAACGTAGCTCAATCAAACACTATATTAAACCATTCAAATCGGAGATTTCATTATAAAAAAAATTAGGAAGTTGGGAAAAAATTCACATTCAGGATATGATATATACAGCAACGTAATGTTCTTCGATGCAACAGAATCAATAGAACTTCATATCTCAAACACCAAAATGACAAAAAAAATTTGTCATATTTGAAGCAAAACGTATTCAGAAAAACACAGTGGAGTCATTGAAGATCATAGATAACTACAACATGCATTAGAATTTCTGTGAGTGCGATCAATAAACACGAATTCATATTTAACGAATGAGTAAGCCAATACAGTATATGGTAGGCTATTTAGTCAGAAGGTGTTTGGACATTGTGTTGTCTTACCATTTTAGGATCTAATTTCAATTTGTTAATATTAAAGATCTAAAATATAATATTTACAAAGTAATATATTAATTAAATAAATTATTAACGATAGCATTAATTTTAAATAGAAATAAGGACTTGTTGGGAATATTGCCTTGCTTTTTATTTTTGTTTTGTTATTTTTTTTATTTTAATGTTTTTGTAAAAAGTGTATATCAGTAATTTTATTGGTCAACTACAAAACTGCTATCATTAATTCGGATTAATGCAAAACATGATTATTAAATAGATCGTGGTACACGAGGCGCCGCGTGAGGGCCACCATTTCACAATCTAATAAAAGGTTATTGTTATTGAAAGCATGTTTTATTGCCTAATCTGGAATATATATATCGCCGGATGAGAACAGAACAGGCCTAAGTCACAATTTTGAGTTTTGAGAAAAACGCAAAAAACAATTTGAAATTTTTTTATTTTCGAATTTCTAGATATTCACACTTAGTAAAGTCCTGAGCTCTGGTTATTTTAATGTGGATGAGAATATCTTTGTAATCAATATTTTTTGGCACTTCAGTTTCAATTCCTTCCTGCTTTTTTACCCCCATAAGAAACTTTGGCCCATTCTGTTCCCATGGGCCTAAGTCCAGTTAAAATTTTTATTATTGAGAAATTCAGGATTTCAAGACCACCACCTTGTAGAGCATGGCTCAAAACCCCAAAATATTGAAAAAAGTCAATTTTCCAAAAATGTGACTTAGGCCCCTTCTGTTCTCATCCGGCGATATATTAATGCGTATAGTGGTAACGTCGTTCTTCAGTGTTATATATGCAGAAACTTCGTAGTCACTTCTGCTGCTCCAGACATGATTCGAAGATTTTATTCATGTTTAAATATTTCACAGTTGGGGATTTTATAGTCTAATTTGTGTGTTTATATAGTTTTTTAGTGTCCTAGCCTTCAATATAAACAACATTGATAAAATTTGAACTCTGGTAAATTTTGATAATATTCAATATTTCTATACATTTCTGGTAATGTGATTATTAAAAACTGTATTTATTTAAATGTGTTTTTGCAAGTTGTGACGGGGGATATTTTCCATTAAAAATCTACATAGAACATAGTATGAAAATTAATCTACGGAAACTTGTTTATGAAACACGAAGTTCTTCATAAAGAGTGAAGTCTTCGATACGATAAATCACCACCGTGGAATGTGCAAACATCACCTATTTTCGTTGAATTCAACATGTTATTAATACAAGAGAGCTATGCTCAAATATATGGAACCTAGAATAAAACGAAATATATTATCATCCCTTCACCGAAAACCACAGGATAGGGTATCCTGCACGAAACTGAACTGCGAAACAGCTTCATGGCTATGGTAACTGACTTACTAGTACCGGTATCCAGTACAACACAGTTCACCTATTTAAAAAGGTCCCCATATTAAAGGTCATTAATTATAACTGTGACTGCAAGCCCCGCTTATGAGAGACTGTTTGACTTTTATACTTACTTCTTCTCGGCAAAGCGGCACTTTTACAGGTACACGGATTTTTCAGTTTCTTCCGCAATTCTGTTTCAACTTCAATTGAAATACCAACTGATTCGAGTTACCACGGTATCATAACAGTAAATACCGCAGTCTACAAATATATGGACTCCAAGAGAAACAGTAATTCACAACATTACGCGTACCGGTAATCTCAAAAATCTTCCGAGTTTCTTGAGCAAACATTTTCAGAGTCGGCTGTCACGCTTGGCGGATTAAAAATGGTGTTCCCATGATTGAAAAATGAAAATTAAATCTCCCAGTTTTAAAAATTAAAACTATTCCCAGAAAATTTGAAAGAAAATAAAAGTAATGGCCTTTTAGAAGAAAATTCTATCTTACACCACTGAAAATTTCGAAGCAATTGGTCCAGTAATCGAAGAGAAAAGCGACTTTTCAATACCGTGTCAAAGATCAAGAACGAGCATAAGAACAACGACAACAAGAGAGTTACGCTCAAATTTATGAACATGTGGCAAATTTTAATGGTGTCATAGCACACAAAAAACGATAAATAAAAGTAATAGCCTTCTAGCAAAAAATATAATCTTTACTCACTGAAAATTTCAACAATCAAGAAGAAAAGCGATTTTTTCCAAACGATACGAAGAAGGAGAAGACCAACAAGAACAAGTTTGTCTAAAATATGAAAACGATCCATAGGTCCACTCACGTGTCCAAAAATATCAAAACGATCGTTATGTACACTTACGTCTCAAATAAAGGGGTTAAACATCAATAAAATTCATAGTTATATTCCACATTTGCTACAAAGTGATCTGCTCCTGAACTCCGCAGGGGTGACGTGGATTTGATGACTTACTAGTCTTTTGCATGGCAAGGCTGTTCATTGCCAACGTTTTAAAAGTTTTTATACATAGAACAAAATAATTTAAAGCTTGTCCAGTTGCAGTTGTAAACTTCGAAGGCGTGAGAAAACGAGGGACAAATATTGTTTTCTTCAAACTAGAACTAAACTTAAAAAGAAATACTGCCGGTGAAGATTTGGTTTTCTTCCCCCAGGTGAATCCGACAGTGAGCAATTGACTAAAGTTGTTGTCTATTGCAAGAATATATAGCTGTTCTGGCGCCACGATTCGAACGAGTTAATAGTCTCGAACTTGCTAAGCTGCCATTGTTTGGGAACTTCAGGTGAAGCCATTTCAGTCCTGAAGTGATAACGTGAATTTTGTTTTCAACGCATGCCACCATTAAATAACTAAACTCCTCTGTCTAGTGATGTACAAGCGAGGACAGAAAACACACGTTACTCCAACAGAAGCCGAGACTCGAATGTATTGTCGTAAACAAATTCACACAACTACAGATCACGTAATCAAGAACGCGCCCACAACAATAACAGAAGACAGCATAATAATCATTACAGTACCAATCTGGCGATATGATGTGCGTGGCCCGTAACGGCATCCAACATGCCGTAGATACTTGACCGTTTGCAAATATTTTTTACATTTACACCGTTCGATTGACAGAGCTGAAATCATTTCCCGACTTTGTTGATATCGAGCATCAACGGCTATTGCAGCATGGCAGCACTTGGCTTCTCTCCTCTCCTCCCTACCTGCTCTGCAGAGGATTACGGAAAAGTTTGAAGGTCTAAAAAGTTATTTCATTTTTCAAAAAGAATGTCCTATTTTTATACAAAAATGTTTCGACGATCCAGTGTAAAAACTGTACTTAAAATATGACCTTGGCAAGCTCATGTAGCCTTCTTCAACAAAATTATTCTGATTTTGGAAAAAGAAAATACTAATGCAGTATATGTTGCAAATATGCTGTCAGAGCTGAAGCTAAAATTGTAGGAAAAAGGGGAAAACACAGTAACTTATAGTCATAAAATTCTTGGAGCGCTCTGACCAATGACATTAAACAACATGATGCGCAACTCCGGCATTTTTGTCCGAAGATCGTATTGGATAGCACGCTCCAATGCACATACTTGACGAGACGAAAACGAGCGGATGTGTGCTGCTTTCAAGGCGTAGCACGAATGGCGTTCGTGCCTGCTTCGACAGTTGTTGTCGATTTTAATGATATTTTGGAAAGTTAAGGTAAAAAGAAATCGGAAAAAGGCAAGGTAAATACTATTGTGGTATATCACACCCGGGCATCGCACTGTTAAGTACATGTGGGAAAGACAGCCTTTGTCAAAGACTACGAAGTTATTAATTCAGTACGGTACGTAGTTGCCCATTTGCCGAAATTACATATTTACTTACTCCTTATGGTTTCAAATAGTTCCTGCACCTCCGGTTAGATTCTTTTAACCAGTGAGGATATTTACTCATTGTTGATTGCTGCTCATTGTAATATACTATTGCGCATTCACTTATATTTGCGTATTGAATCAAAGTGTTAACAAGTTCACCTAACATTTCACTCATACCGGTCTATCTTGTATAGTCTGATCTCTCAAGTATTTGGAGCCGCGAATGCTTGTAATTTTCTGACTAAACCCTTTTATTAGTTGGTTTATATACCAAATTCAGTAAAATATGAGATATTGGATTTATTAGCTTTTCCATTCTAAACCATATAGACTGCTTTATTTATTCTTAACGAAAATTAATAAATCTCCTCTCTTTTTTCACATGTGAAAGTTGTGGACAAACCTGTCTAAGCATTGTGAGACTCCTGCAGCACAAGAGGTAATAGCAGAAATAGTAAGTATATCAATCAAGAAATTAAGCCGACATGAAGCAAAACTTTCAACTATTCGTCTAATCTTAATTTCCTATTATTTATTCACAGGACAACTATAGCAGAAGGGGAGATATCAGAAGTCTGGCGACATATCAGTGACAGTGTGATTCCAAGAAATATAATTAGAGTACTCCATAAATGTTTGCAATAGAAAAACAACCTATGGAGGCATGCAAAGACATTTGACCCTCCGGTAGAGTTGTGTATGGCCCCCACATCCTGCAGGGCTTGAGGAAAAAAACTAAAACTTCCCAGCGTAAGATTGCATAAGCGGTCTTATTTTTAAAAAGGCACAAAACACGCCAGACATACTTAAAACAGCTTTGGAAAATGAGGATTACGGGTAACTCACTGCACCTGTGTTATATTTGGTTCATCAACTTTTGTTAGTACTATAGAAGAAATTACGGAAGGCGTATAATCATCATTCATGATAAAATACTATCATATATTTTTTGGACAACTTCAATCTAGACCAGGGATCTTAAACTCGCGTCCCCAGAGAACTTCCAGTGCGGCCCTCGAACGCTTAACAATAATTGTAATAGTATTTTGGAAGTTTTTTTTTATCTAAATGTAATAGATTTTTCAAACCTTTTAAAGTGAGATTGATTATCCACACAGAAAACAATTTACTGAAAGTAGTTTTGAAATATTAATATTTTTTGTCCACATTTTGACCCAATTAAGAATACACATCAAGCTAGCAAGAGAATACTTGAATAAAACACTTGAGTGATTAAATCAAACGCAAAGTACATGAAGAAAGTGGCATTTTCGAAGAAAATGGGAGTTGCAATATTTCTGCTTTCCACAAAATTTTGAAGCACATTGTTTAATTTGTCATATTTCCATTAATACAATGAAAAAACACAATAAGCTCAGCAGTCAATATGACAAATTCGAAGACCAACTTCGAACAGAAAATTTCCATGTGTTTGTATATTAATATAATTATACAACGACTTGGTTACTAAAAATCTATATCAATAATAATTCAAGCAATCCTATGCCACGCAATGTGGTGCGAAATGTCTTGTCGAAAAAATCTGTCATTTTTTTTTTACTGATCTATACATGAAATGATAAAAGTAACTTTTTTTGCATTACTGGAATTAATTAAACATTTGCAAAGATCCAGATTAACCCATGATCATGTGGCCTCGTTATTTAGAGTTGGTACTATAAAATCATTTCAGCCTGGCCTTAGTATGCTGGTGACATTTTATGATTTTTTATAATAATTACAGTAACTTGCGAATGTTGCAATAATAGTGGAATGCAAATATCAATATGTAATTGCATTTGAAATTGAAGAAAATAATAAAACTTAATCCAACTGTTTAGTTGCATCACAATATATGTCACAAACTAAAACTATCTTAAAAATATCTTTCAAGTATACATTATCAAAAACTGTTTGCGGCCCTTTTTACAATTTCCAAATCGCAATGCGGCTCTCGAAAACCCATGAGTTGAACCACCATGAACCACTGATCTATTCTAGACGATTCAAGCATTGCTTTGGGAAATAATATCAATTCAATTAAATTGAAATAATCATAATCTTGCTATATTAAAGACAAAATCGTTGCTATCATAAAGGTAAACCAATTCAGCCACTCGAAATATATTGGCCTTCACAAAGCAATGGAGGCAAAATTGAGAGTTTATGAGCTATGAACATTTGTTCCTTTCTTTGTCTTAAACTTTTCATACTCCACAGCCCCTATTAATTTTTTATAATTTTAATTACCATGTGATGGTCATACATATCTTTAACTTGTATTTTCTGTCATGATGTATTATCTCAATGTGCCAAACTATTAATTAGTGTGCATATTTTGCTTCCAGATGACATAAATGTATTGTCTTGTTTATTACCTCAGCTTGGAGTATTGACAAGAAAAAGGTGCCAGTAAATTAGGTAAAATTTTTTTTAACTCTTTGTTATAATCAGAATTCACAATCAATAGGAATTATAAACAGCCAACAATCAATAAGAATTTTATGCGAAATGCCTCAGAATAAATTTGTCCAAAATCGGAGAAAGGCAAAAATTATAGGTAGTTTCCACTTTCCATCCACACAAGCATTTCAAGAAGACTTGCTCGAGCCAAACTAAATGAGCATCGTCAGGTGATCGGTAAGGCTGCAAGTTGAATTCAGCCCTGCAACCTCCTGCATAGAAGATAATATTAATTAGTGGGCTATGAGCTAAATTCCTAAATTTAAACAAACTTATCTACGATGCATTATGTACCAGCAATGTTACCTACGATTAACTGAATATGTAATATGTCTAATAAATTCAACTACAAAAGCAAGTTCGGTAGGTGCAAACTTTGTGTTATGGAATTGTATCACAGCACAGTTTTGTATGACACCCTCTTTAAATGAAATTTCAATGATTAAGCGCAAACATTAAAATTACTAACTTTGAACTTTGTCATTATCTGCAAAATGTTCCACACAAATCTTTCCGCTATCGCGTTTGTAATCTTCACTGATGAAAAAAGGCCATGATGTCCAAAATTGCTCTTTACAGCTTGCCTGCCATTCCAGCTTTCCAAGTGAGCAAAATTTCTTAGATATAGAGATTATTTTGTTTCGTTACAGGCGCAAAAAGGCAGGTACTACACGTAAAAAAGACGCCGAGTAGCAAAAGCGAGCGGAAAACGGACGCGGAAGGCGACGAGAAATATGTGCAATAGAGCGTATCATGAAATACAATCTTTCGCCTGTAGTCTTATGGAGTGACGTCAGAGTTGCCTATCATGTTGTTTAATGTCATTGCTCTGACGTAACACTCGATTAATACGTTTGATTTTTACGAGAAATGTCTATCGTAGCATGTTAAATGATGCAAATAAATATGATAAATCGATAAATGCAAAATCGGTAAATGATATGTTCAGTAGACAGATGTTAAATAGCGATACACTTTTCAATACAGTTAAACCGGACGAGAAATCGTGGTTCGCCAAGCCGGCTTATCGGTTGTCAGTTGTTACCTCCGGAATAAATTATATAAATCCTATCCTATCCGATATTGCTAAATTGGTCACGTGACATACAATGATTCGGCAGATATCGGGCTTTGTTCGCTCAAATCTAAACACAAACCATTTCCGTATTTGTGCATTGAGGTGGTTTGTTTATCTGGTTTCAGGATATACAGACCTCAGGATCTAATAGTCGTGTAGCCTACAAGGTTGAGCTGTTGGCTTTCGAATTTTCAATTGAATACTACAAGCATTGTTGTGAAGACAGGAAGATGTGCTGATTAATAATCGACGGTGAGTACGGTGACGGTACCGATATGTTACGGTACTACAAACAGACACAAGCACGGTACCGGTACCTGTAGTGTTAACTGAATTAAACCCTCTCACTTATTCAGGACAAAATCTCAGACAGCTCAGCTCAGGTGTCAGTTGTTCTGTAGTTAAAAGTTTGACAAACTAAACTAAAACTAGAAGTTTAACAATCATCCCAATAGAGGCCTATCACAGCAATCACAGTACGGTACCGGTACCGGTATTACCGGTAGTCTTTTTTTTATACCAGTACGGTAAAATTGACAGATTGATGTAGTTAACAGCAACCTGCGAATTATTTTTTGTGTGTAGACTACTGTGCCATGGGATCAATTAAAAAGTCTGATACTTGAAAAAGAGTTACACGTTCATGTGTTTTAGAATAGTACGGTATGGTCTTGTGTCTCTTTAATGTTGATATTTACTAACTCCTGTGTTTTTGCTTTTAATAGACGAATAAATACATACATACATGCATAAGCTCATGATGTCTTTCTGCAATAATTTTTTCGTGTGAATAAATTATTGACTTTGTAATTTTCGACTTTTCGGGTTGTGGTTTTCTGAATAACGAGTTCACCCAGTTTGGATATTCTTTTTTATAGAGAAGACTTAAAAATTTTGATGTTTGCTATCTTTTAACACCTCCTTTTGAATAGAATTGTGCTCTGAAAAAAGTTGGCATTTATTCATACTTTTTTGAAATATTTATAAATAAATTTTTATTTCAATACAGGTATATATATCATCATCATGCTAGAGTAAATATTTATGGTATAATATTTCTTTAATACAGTTACCAATTACAGAATTAATTTTGCATTTTAATTGTAATATGGTCTTGTACATATGTACATTCGAAAGGTTATTTTCAATTTTCACTTTTCAAGACAAAATGACAAAGAAACATAAATATGCCCAAATCATGGGGATGTCCAATACCTGAGAAACAGGTCTGGTTAGAATGGAAGAAAGACCAAGAAACCATGGTTAAAATGGAAGGTACTAGAAAAGTACTCCTAATCAAGGCGGTTATTTGCCATATCACCCCTTCTTATCAGTCGTCTCTCTGTCACTGGGTCAAGTATGAGAAATCTTTTCATAATTCATACCTTTATTTATTTTTTAGCGTGCAGTGCCATCTGTCGATGGATGCGATGCGTCGATAACAAGGAAGAGGAAAAGAATGGTGTGCATTATTTTTTGTGCAATTATTAAATTTGATTTTGTGACTGCTAACTGTATGCGCTAATTGTGATTCTGTATCGCATATTAAACTGTGAAAGGCTAATCAATAATTATCGATTTATCGCTACATGACTATTTCAGTAGACTTCAGTTGATGTACTTGTTGAGGTCATAATTTAATGGCCCGAATCTAATAACCTTACTTTAAATTTCAAAAAGTATATAAACTTTACAAGTGTTGTGATATATGAAAACTATCCATATGAGGATACGTGGATTTTTTCGCCAAAGATATAATATGTTACTTCGTCTTTAGCAGTGTTTCAAAGGTCTTCATCGATTTCCAAATACCAATTACGATTCCATTAGTTGTTTTAATAAAATATCATGCATGGAGACTAGGGTAATACTCAAATAGTTAAGAACAAATTTCAACATTTATATTTGTTGTATTCAATTTTAAGGCTAGATGCATGGATCTCGAATAGCCTGGTATAATAATTTTGATGCCTTTGAAACACATTTATTCATAAACTTTCATGTTACACATTGAATCGACTACTTACCTCGAAAATCTTATAAATTTTTCCAGTCAAAAACAAAAGAGTCAAGTTCCCAACTGTATTTTCCAAGATTTAGAATATTGCTGTATATGAGGTTTTAGTTCAGCCCTGCCCAACAGAGTTTTAACACTGATTGTTTTACAGCTCCACGATCTTGCTCACTTTCGAGGCAACAAGTTTCAAGTGTCGCCCAGAAACAGCAAAGCAATGAATATTATGGAGCAGGATACAATCCTCCTCCTCCCTACACAGAGAAGGAATCAAATAGCTGATAGTAGAAAACTGATTCATTTGTGTTACTGTACTGCATTAAACTAATTTTGTTTTAAATTACTTTCACAGGTTTCGATAATTTTCAAAAATTCTTCAAAATGGTTTGCAAAGAATTTCTTGCAATGACTTAATCTAAAATTTTGCAATTGAATCTATAGTATTTTCGAACGATAAATTGTTTCAAGAAAAATAACTTGTTTAATTATTCTTGCATAATTCATATATGAATTTTCAGTGCATTTATTATTTCTTCTTTCACGTCAGTTATTTGAATAAACAACTAGACTTATATCATCTATTTTCACGTCTGTTTTAGATACATACTAATATGCATCCTTTTTTACTCTTCAATTATGCAGTACAGTGATACCTTCATGATCTCTATATACTTTATATACGAACAGTTGTCAACGAATTTTGTAATATGAATTGTGCTAGAACTACAGTTAATGATGGGCTTATTGTCAAATTGCTAAGCTGCAGAGCGATGTGCCTTGATATGAATGTCGTTCATGATCTCATATTACTCTTTTGTTGGCAGCTGTCTATTTTTATAGCTCTCTTGTTTTGGTGTAAATACAATCGAGTCTTGTGGACACTGAAATTGACCTATATTTGAAGTTTGATAACGGCTTCTTTGATGAGCGATCTGATGGAATATATGGGAAAGGTATGTTGCGACGTGAATTTCGGTAATTAAATATAGGCCCCATTCGCCAAACTTCTTTATCGTTTATTAACGTGTTACTAAACCACGTGTTACTATCCCTAAAGGTCTAAACTGGGTAAGAGTGATTGTAGTCTAGTAGCTGTGGGCAGTTTACCGTGCTAAACTGGGGTTAAGATTGTTCAGTTGTCAAACGTATCGAACAAATCTTATTTCATGTTTATTCTAGCGTTAGCCTACACTACAGTATATATAATAAACAAATAGTCGCAGACGAGCATGGCTCCTGAAAATTAAATAGCGGAAGGTCCTGCCTGAGGTAGGACTATCCGGATAACTGGTTAACCGAGATGTATTTTGCTATCTGATATCATTGACACGGTTTTGATATTTTTTGTTAAGTGGCGGCTCACATCCCCAAGAGCATATATTAACAACTTTCCAACACACCGCCTTGCCTATATTTTAGCCATCCGTAAAATGCTGTAGTGAACTTCCTCATCACATCACAAAATATGCAAAACTAATGTGATTATTATGCAATAGAAAAGCGCATTCGCTTTATAAAGCTAGGTTGGAAGTATTATCAAGGCTGTGTGAACTTTACAGTGTAAACGAATTCGGTTAAAAAGCTTTGAAGGTTTTGGAAGTGTGACTATTTTTTGCTGTCGCTGTTTTGGAAATTCGGGTATTTTGTTGGGAAAGTGAGGCTGATGGGGATGTGTTCATAACTTCATTTATATATATGCTGGTAAAGTGTATGTGCATAGGTTTACAATATAACTGTGTCGTGATTTGTGTGTAAAATCTTGTGAAATCAATTCTATAACAATGAACATACGAATATATCAGTTATCAGGATAGTAAAAACATAGATATCTGACCTAACCCTAGTGGTGCCCTTGTTTCTGTTTCTCTGCTATGCGGACTCAACATGCATGATGTCTCGTGTTTTCTGGCCATCGTCATTTTTTAGATTTTGGTACCATAATTGAATACTTTCCTGATAATGGCTACTTTGTGAGTTTACTTCAGGGTAAGTTTATTCCATTGCATAAATGTTAATTCTTACACTGCTGTGGATCATTGATTCTGTAGCCGAAAAATTAGTTATGAGTTTGAAATAAAAAATATATTGAAAATTTAAGACTTCGGCTAGTGCTTGAAGCAGATTGAGCATTGATATATCCTAGCTGATATTATGTCATTTTTTTTTTCATTTTGCTATAGTAGAGATATTCTTTGCGTAGACTCTGGCAAGGGAAACATTCTTTCTCTCGCACTCCTCCGAGGAGCATCAAGAACGGGCAAGTCGGTCTGGCCCATTTGTTGTTGTTCTATGTCAGTCACGTTCAATTTAGTGAATCGTCTATTCATCATTCTGGGCCAATAAGTAGTTTGTCTTGCACGCTTTTTCATACAGAAATTGCCCTGATGCGCGTCGTAGAGTCGATGTCGAAATAGTTTCCTTTCTTGACCCTCGGGAAACTACACATACTGACAATATATAATATCAAGCCGTCGTCCACAATCAAATCATTTCGTATTTTCCAAAAGTGCTGTGCGCAAAATAATGCTTGTTCACATTTTGACAGAAACCCATCATTGACCACTCTGATCAAATTTTGGTACTCCTGATTCTATTGAGACTTCGCGGAGAAATGTCAAGTAATGCTAATTACAAATTTTTGTATTCCGCATCAAATTATTGCCTACGCGAGATCGGGATCATAAGTGAGACCGTTGTTGTAAATATTGAATACACTTTCGCACATGCTTTTACTTCAACTCAAGTGAGACTCCTCTTCAGAGCAAGGTAAAAACTAATATACTATGGTAATATCCTTGTGAAAAACAAAACGGACATGAAGCGCACATTGAAAAAATGCACGCATCCGTGCATGAACACAACACTCGCTCTTCAATTAAGTTCAATGTCCTTTCACTTAGCAAATCCCGAAATTCCCCAAAATACGAATACTGAATTACTTTAAAAACAGTATATTATAGAGCGTGGTCCCTAAAAAATGAAACCATCAACTTCTCAATCACTTCTACGAAAATGGAATGAATCATTTCATTTTGTCTACACCTGTACGTCTGTTTGTACCCAAAAGTGTCGAAAAATCTAGGACGTTTTGCACAAAAAATATGTTGTTCATAGAATATGTTTCAAATGCCCTCCTCGGCAATTGCATTTTTTTTGCAACATTGTCAATCACTTATCTTTGGATATTTCTCTATATTTATTTCTGCAATTGCAGCCAGCCTTTAGTTCACCAATCGTTTGAGGATTGTTCTGATACAAATTGCCCTTTGAACACCCTACCTATCAGAATCTGAGAGGTCTAGTCCGATAATTAAGGTGCCCACTAGATGTCATTTCCGACTTTTCTCTCAGGAAATCATGTTCTGTATTCACCGTTTGAACTCTTTCATTTCCATGTCCTGACAGCAGAAAGTGCGCTTCAGCAGCAAACTAAGTAAGTGGTTGAAAAATTTGCCAAACTTTTGAGTATAAGCAAACGCAAACAGAAGTTCAAGCGCAAATAAAATTAAATAGGTTTTTTGGAGATAGTTAAGAAGTTTTCGTTTTCTAGATAACCCTGAATGTCCAGAAGCGAAAATGCACCCCTATCATTGGATTTATACTTTCAAACCCATGTTCAGTCTTTCAGTGTTCGATCTCTTTAGCAACAGAATCAAATTGAAATATCCCCACGTGTGAGATCGGATCAAAAGTTTTTTTTATTGCTCTTGCCAGCTCATTCATGGTAGAGCGTGTACTATTTAGTGCAGTGACCGCACTTTTACATATCAAGAGAGATTTTCTCAACAGTGTCAGATTAGACTCAAGACTCTTTTTGACTGAAATGAAGCTAGATATTATCAAACTGGTGGTATTTCACTAGGCTCAACCTCCACATTATACTAATGATAAATGGAGAATAAAGTTGCCTTGACGTATTTGTCAGGGGGGCGTTTGCTGGTTAAAAAGTCGCCTAGCGGGCGCTGGCAGAAAAAAAGTTCGAGAAACACTGATTTACTTTATTTATTTTAATATAGGCTTGCACGTAATTTACGGATTTACGTAATTACGTAATTATTTGGAGTTACGGAAGGGAAGTTACGAATTACGTAAAGTCGTAATTATTGCATTGAAACGAGCTTTCTTCAAAGCAGTCAATTTCGTCGATTGCGAAAAATGAAAGCTCAACAAGTAGAAGAAGTTAGAGTTCCGGTATTCGCAGCCGTTTTTCTCCCTTTTCTCTCTCTTGTTACGTAGGTGAAGGAAGGCATGACGCGTTGCCATTTACTAACCTATTATCAACTTATCTGGCATGGCCAATGTAAATTATTAACGTAGTTAAGGGGGAAGAACTGAGCAGGGCCGTTTGACGCCAACACACCTGGTTTTAACTTCTCCCGCAACTTAACCATAGATAAGGGAAAGAATTGCGTTGAGACCGATTGACGCCAACACACCTGGTTTCAACTTCTCTCGCATCTTATCTAGCATGGCCATGGCCAATGTACATAATAACCGTAGATAGGGGGAAGAATTGTGTTAAGACCGATGGACGCTAATACGCCCGGTTTCAACTTCTTCGGGTGAAATGACTAAGGAACGCAGGAGATCAATCTATCAAACATGGTCTATCAAACATTTGTATCCATTTTACTTTTATTTATTATTTACTTGTTCCAGTTTTCCGTTACTTATGGTATATATGTTCCGTTTCTATTTTATAGTCACGCGTTTAAATAGTGGGAATTGTATGTATGTATGTTTATTCGTCTCGTAAAAGCAATATAAAAGAGTAAGTACTTATAAATACTGAAGACGGGATGTATGCACAAGACCATATTGGCCTAAAACACAGATGTGCGGCATACACCCCTTTGATTTATATAAATTATAATAGGGTAAATCAAATATGTACAATATGGTCCTTTATACAGGCAGTTGTGCGAGGAGGGTGGGTGGATGCGGTAACAGGGATATGGGTGGGATATGGTCCCCACCAAGTGTGGATTAGCAATGCTTAACCATTCTTTATTGTTAATATCAACACTTGATATATGAACATGGAATATCATACGGTTTTTGGCTGTTTTATTTCAGACTTGGGGTATAAACAGGAAAATATCCATAACCTTTCAACACGACGATCATGGGAAATTTAACGAAGAGCTTTCGCGACGAATTGGAACCAAATAAGCGAAAAGAGCGATTGATCACTCGCGCCAATACCTCGCCGTGATAATTAATGTCACGCTTATCAAATAGCAATATAACGACAAAAGAGAGATTGCGTAATGAACCAACACAACTTCGTCTTCTCGGCATCGGTAAAGCGATTGAGACAGCAGAGAAACAACAAAACGACGGATTCCTCGCGGACCGCTAAAAATTTAACTGCTATCAAATATGAGCCAGTGTGTTTATTCTGTGCGAGATCCATTTTCTATTACAAAATCTTGATGTTCTGTTAACGGTTTTATCGTTATATATCAGTCCGAACTTGGCCTTGCCCATGATGTTTTTCACAATTCCTTTCAATATTTCGGCCATATATGATTAACTGTCTTACCAAATGCGGCAACTTATTTTGATTTATCGTCGACTTGAATACCACCGGCACTCGACCAAATTTGTGTCAATCTTGGCCGATAGGATCGCCGACTTGAGTTAGCAAATAAATGTCGTGAGTGTAAAATAAATGTCACAAAATGCATTGTTTTGCGATATAACTTTGTATTTTCGGAGAAGGCATATCATGTAAGTTCGGTATTTAAATTATATACGAATAAATAATATTTGATCTAAATTTATCGCAAATAATGTTATAAACATTCAGTCCGCGAAATGATTAAATGTAAAATGAAGCATGGTAATCGGAATATCGTCAATAAGTCGACATCAATAATTATTATTATAAAATGCTA